CTCGATACAAACGTACTCCTCCTTCGAGCCCCTACGTCCTCCCTCACCCTCGTCATTAGGCAAGCCGCAAGCAGCGCGAGACTTCAAACGGAGTCGGAAATGGGGCCGTCGGCTGCTGATATTCTCCGCTATAACCGGCACCATCTATGTAATTGATAACCAGGCGTTTGCCGCGGGCATCAGACGGTCTCTGCTCACCTTCGGTACGGGTCTCTGGGTCGCCCTCGACTACAAGATCAACTTCCGCGCCGAACCGCTTACTGGTGGCACGATCGAGGACCTGCACCTGCGCAGCGCCGAGAGGCTGTTTAACTTGCTGCGCTCCAATGGCGGCCTCTACCTTAAAATCGGCCAGGCCATTGCTATGCAGAGTGCCATCATGCCGCCCGAGTTCCAGAAGATGTTTTCGAGGATGTTCGACGATGCCCCGCAGGACGAGTGGAAAGATGTCGAGAAGGTTATTCGGAAGGACTTTGGCGGGAAGAGTGTCGAGGAGGTTTTCGGCGTCAGCTTCACCGGCGAAGAAGGTAAAGGGCTGATGGAGCGGAGGGCGAGAGCCAGTGCCAGTGTCGCACAGGTACATTGGGCCAGACTTCCGGATGGAAGAGAGGTTGCGATCAAGCTGCAAAAGCCCGAGATTGCCAAGCAAGTGGGATGGGATCTCTGGGCTTTCAAGTAAGTTATATAATCCGTAATTAGGATCACTATACCGTAAGTGGGCTAATCGCTACAATAGAGTCGTGATGCGGATTTACACATGGTGGTTTGACCTCCCTCTCTACAGCTTAGTTCCGTATATCACCGAACGGCTAATGCTCGAGACGGATTTTGAAGAAGAAGCCAAGAATTCGGAGATGATGCGAAGCCTCGTCAACTCGGAACCCAGTCTCAAAGGCAGGGTATACATCCCCCAAGTCTACTCAGAATTCACGACAAGAAGAGTCCTAGTTACCGAGTGGATCGAAGGCGTCCGTCTGTGGGATAAAGATGCAACGGGTGGTCGATGGTTAGGAGGCTTTGGCGCTGGGTCCCCTGGCGTCCAAGGTGCTCAGTTACATTTCAGCCCGTCGGATATGGCGGCTGCTCGGCAAGAACTGCGAGTAAATCCAATGAAAGAAAACCTAAAGCCCGATAGAGAGACCTGGAAAGGACGGGCAGGTAAGGGTGGACTCGGTTTATCGAGTAAGGAGGTTATGACTACTATGGTGGATCTTTTTTCGGCTCGGTATGTATCAAAGATATCGCCCTAAGCCCTTTCGTGGTCCATATCTACCTCTACCTCTTCAAATTTTTTTTATTTTTTATTTTTGCATATGCTAACTAGACGGTAGTGAGTATCAATGTCTATTTTCGCCATCTCTACATTATGTCCCTCGACTATTCGTGGCTTTCAGTTGGAAACAGACTGGACCAGCGCCACGTTCATCTGAACAAAGCTAGAAGAGTAGAATTTGAGAAATAGTACATGAGACTAACATGGTCTAGAGATATTCAAATGGGGCGTTGTACACTGCGATCCGCATCCCGGCAACATTTTCATAAGACGACTACCATCAGGAAAGGCTGAACTAGTTCTGATCGATCACGGGCTTTACGTTTACATGACTCCTAAATTCCGACACCAATACGCACTTCTCTGGAAATCGCTTTTAACTTTCGATAATAAGACAATAGCCGATGTCACAGCGCAGTGGGGTATCAGGGCACCCGATCTATTTGCGAGCGCGACGCTTTTGCGCCCTTACGAAGGAGGCAACCAGACCACTCGTATTAAGATCATGAAGCAGCTTGAGGGCAAGACGCCGTCGGAGCGGCACTATGAGGCTCAAAAAATGATGAAGCAAGGCATTCGCGAGGTACTGTCGGACGAGGAAAAGTGGCCTCAAGAGCTTGTCTTTATCGGTCGGAATATGCGTATCGTCCAGGTAAGCTTTCCGGTTTATATTACTCCTGTCCACAATCATTACAGCCAGTCCTATCGGTCCACCCGCTCATTTCATATTAGGGCAACAACCAATTTATGGGATCTCCTGTCAATCGTGTTAAGATAATGGGCAACTGGGCGAGCCGGAGCTTGTTCCAAGACCCGAATCTACCTTTTAGGGATCGCATGTTCAACGCATGGCGACATCTTTTATTCAAGACCATCCTGTTCGCGACAGATGTAGCGTTCTACACTTTCAAAATCCGGCAATGGTTAGGATTGGGAGGCGGCATGGAAGATGAAGTCGAGGCCAGGATGAGGGAGATGGCCAAAGATTATGGCTTCGAGCTGCAGCAGGTACGTTGAACAATATGCCAAGCTGATATACCGAATCTTACCTTGGAGTCCCTCATCTACAATAGCTAACCCCTTAACAGTAAGTGGGATTTTCTTTCCGAAATATTATTCAACAACTACTTAACGTGGAATCGAGTTATGTTTTCTAGAAAGGTAAGATTTGGAAGCTAACGCAATATGTTTTTAACACACTAGTGATGTCTTCGAGGGTTGAAGGTCTAAGTTTAGATCTAGAGTTGGGGGTTACCTCGGAAAATAAAAAGACTCTGTAGAACCATAAAACATAGATGGGGTTAGACGGCTGGCATATACATAGAACAGCATCAGGCCGACTTGTATTATAGGTGGAGACGAACCCCCCCTTGAAAAACCACTTACACCTCTCGATTTCTTTTTGGAGCGATCTGCAGATGTTGTGTAAAACAAAGAGGTGGGCAGTTTATATACTTGATACTGCCTACCCGGTTGACATTAGGAGGGAGATGATATATGGAACTATACTGAATTATATAGCGAGATACAGCATCATAATGAAATCTAACTATTCTATAAGTTTCATACTTACAACTATTATATTACACTGTGCATATTGGACCGGGCGCTGCTGAAGACGGTTGCCAGCTTATTATGGTTTTCCTAAGTCATATTCTGAACGGGACACAACATATATTCGCATTAAATCCACGACTGGTTTTGGTGGAGATATATTGGATTAGATGCACCTAGCCGAGACAGAATGGCTACCGTGCACAATAATACATACTGCAAAGCATTCGCTAGTTGAACACACAGCACGTGGAAAGCCCACTTTGCAATCCACACGGATATTGGAGCTGGCTATTAGCCATGTTTTATTAGTAGCTTAGGTGGGTAGCCGTCGGAGGAGTGTTTGCGCAAGGGAATAGTTGGAGTTCGTTTGGTATGTTAATAATATGAAGCTAGGTATTACCGATATAAAAGGTACCTAGGTATTAAATATAATTGTCTGTTGGCTCTATCTGCGCTGGTAGTAGGCAATGTTGTAGGTATTAATAAGAGTCATCGAGGTAAACCTAGGTAGGTAGTCAAGTACTAATATGGATGTTTACCTAAGCTACATGTACAATATGTACATAGTGCTGCAATTACATTCTGATGTTCTACATACAAAAAGGAAAGCACGATACGTACGCGTTATCCCATACGTGGATGTTAAATTCACTTCCGCAACGCTAACCTATTAAGGTAGGTATGTACCCCAAGAGCCCGCCGTCCAGCTAGGCTCTCGGGATATTTACTGTGTCAGTACCAAACCATAGCTAGCCTTGCTTGGGTTGCGCCGACTGGGCCAATCACGAATAAACTTTGACTTGAAACCGCATAACCTAGCATGGCAGCAGGGCAGCAGCGTGGATAATGCTTATGGAGCGCTTCCCCTTTTCATCCCAGATTGGCAGTGGAAACAATTTAGGGTTAGCAGCTCATCTCATCTGCTTTCGTGATGCTTGACAACGTCGTCTTTTGAATTTCGCAACGCATACCTTTTATCAAGAAGGGAAAAAAAAAAAAGTGGTCTTGCGCGTGAAGTTCCAACTGTTCCATTCCTTCCTTCAAGCTTCTGAACATCATCAGATATTAAACATTTTTTTCTTCTTCTTTTGTGCATTAACTCTTTTACATGTGCAATATTCCTCCGAATCCTAAGGCTGGTCGATCTTTAACGACACCCCATTAAATCGTGCACACTGCACACTGCACACAGACCATACAAGAAGCAGACCCTTTTTTCTAATCTGCATCGACCGACAGCCCCAATTTTGCAACCGTTAAACGCCCTCCCCATTCTTCTACCCAAGATCTTGTTCCAGCGCGACATCGCGAACTGACCACATCTTGCGATTCGACGCTCGTTTACATTCGTTCAGGTTAGTGAATTTCTATTATTTGGTTGGTGACTGGTGACTGGTGACTGGTAACTGGTGACTATTCCTGCTGCGTCGCGTTTATCCTATGGGGTTTCAATTCGACTTCATGGGTTAGCTACAGATGGTTCGCATAGCTTTAAGCTTGCATTCCATCCAACTTCGAAAAACCATTGCGCCCTCCTCCCGCAGGCCGGTAGATCACAGAATAACAACCTTCGATTGGCTCATTCTCCGTCAACAACCCCCTTCTCACCTACTTTACCCTACGTACCTCTGGAGAAGGTACAAGGAGGTGCCAATCGAAGCACAATCCGATCTTTGCCCACCTCCGCTGTCGCGCCACGCAAGATCAAGTACAGAAAGCGAGGTAGAGAGCTAGAAGCTCGTTGGTCAATACTATTGCAGCTCCTTTGGATTCTCTTCCTTAATCTCCCGAGCATCTTCATTCTTGAAGGCGTTCCTCTGTCCATATCAGTACAAGCAGCACCACTTGATACATTATTATTTCCACCAGTTCAGTGCCACTGAATTGCGACCCACTTGTTTGCGTTTACAAGGACCTGGATTGAATTCATTTTGTCGCGCGACAACTTCGACAGCTAGCTGACCCCTTTGATATCTTCTCTTTAGGTCTTTTCGATTTACTCTGCGTTCAGCGTTCGCCTCTTGGTTTCGTCCATTTACCTTTACGACTATACCCGGCAGTATAAGTCGTTTGAGTTGAGATATTGAGATAACTACCACTACCTCTAAATCAACTCTTTTGAAATACGTTTCTTGAAATATTCCAATTCGTTGGAAAATAGACGAGACAGACAGACAGGTCGCCCAATTTACACGCGCGCATCCCTACACCTTCATTCGTCTCGGATTCACCTACCCTTAGTACAAGACAGGATCTCCCCACAGCAGTAAGATCGAACACGAGACAGGAAGATACACTTGCCCCAAATCGCAACGTCTTTTTAGTCGCTCGCCTGCATAATTACGAGTACGCCTCTGCGCAACCCCTCACTAGGAAAGTCGACCACTCAGAGCTTGAACAGAAGGAGATCTTGGCCTTGCAGTCAAAACCTACTTTTGAACTATAAACTGTCCAGCAAAGTACAGGCTCTTGCGCTTCTCCCTATAGAGGTACCTATCACAGGTAGACGTTTCCAAGTACATACTTGTCGCTGTTTCGTCGTTATTTGAACCTTAGATAGCTCTTGCCATCTAAGCACGGTGAGCGTTGAGTTGATGCTAGCAAGGATAAAACCATGAGTCAACCGCCTCATCGATCTAGTCTCGGGATGTTGCTTCGACGCAGCAAATCGGGCGACTTGGGTAAGGGTGGTAGGAAGCACCATAAGGAGGTGCAACGGGAAAGCGTTCCTAAGTCCCCCCCTCGTCTGCCCGATCTCTACAATGGTGCTCAACCTCCTGAACCACTTCAGAGCTTTGGAGGCGATACCCGCCCGGATTCTCTCACCATCATTTCTGGAAGAGTCGACCATTCATTTCACCACTTCCCACCTAGAGCGTCTATCGAACCCGGTCGTCCTTCGATGTCCTCGATTGCTAGTCCTCCCATACCTCCCGTTCCCAGCGGAGTTTACGTTGATCCCTACGCTCGTACCGAAAGTATGACGCACCGTGGCCGATACAGCTATGCAAGTAGTGCCATGAGCACTATTAACAGCCCTAGAAGGGTTCGTAGGAGGAAGGACCCTACTCCTTTCAAGTATGTTTTCCCCATTCATTTCCTCGGCGTCGAAGCTTACAATGAACTCGCAGTATTCTGATTGTGGGCACCCGTGGCTCCGGAAAGACTTCATTCCTCGAATTTCTCAAGACCGCCCTGGCCCTGCCAGAGAAGAAACGATCTCAACGGTCGACTGAGATTGAACAAGAGGTTACTTCTAATGCAACCCCCTCGGGTAACTTCATACCGCACTACCTCGAGAGCGAAATCGACGGCGAGCGTATCGGCTTGACCCTCTGGGACTCTGAGGGACTCGAGAAGAATGTGGTAGATTTGCAATTGAGAGAAATGTCAACGTTCTTGGAGAGTAAGTTTGAGGAAACCTTTGCTGAGGAAATGAAGGTGATCCGATCACCCGGCGTTCAGGATACGCACATCCACGCAGTTTTCCTCGTCTTGGACCCTGCTCGTCTAGACCGGAATATAGCTGCTGCGAAAGCTGCTTCGGCCAACGGCCATAGCGGGAAGTACGAACGAGACATTGGTCGCGTCGTAGGTGGTCTAGACGAAGATCTTGACCTACAGGTTATGCGAACCCTCCAGGGCAAGACAACAGTGATACCGGTTGTCTCGAAAGCCGACACGATAACCACCGCTCATATGACCGTCCTCAAGAAGACTGTCTGGGCTAGCCTCAAGAAAGCAAACTTTGATCCCCTCGAGGCATTGGGTCTCGATGACGACGATGATAGCACGCCAGATTCTAGCAGAATCGACGAGGGCGAAGAAGAGGACCAAGAGGAAGGTGAGGAGACAGTGGAGTCGGCAGAGTCAGGAGACGATAAGCAAGGCGAGGAGGAACCTGTAGTTATGGATGACGATAGCGTTGGAGCAGAGGATGATGAGCTTCCCATTCAAGGCAGAGTTTCGCCGGCTTCAAAACGCCGCTCTAATACCTCCACTCGTCAACCTAAGTCATCCGAGGGAGCAACAACTGAAGAACTTCCTTTATTGCCAATGTCTATAATCAGCCCCGATATCTACGAGCCTGGCGTTGTTGGTCGCAAGTTCCCTTGGGGTTTTGCAGATCCTTACAACGAGGAGCACTGTGACTTCACCAAACTGAAGGATGCGGTATTTGGCGAGTGGCGTGGTGATCTGCGCGAGGCCAGCAGAGAGCAATGGTATGAGGGATGGAGAACCAGCCGTCTCAAGCAGAGACAACCTACGAGTCGACGTCGATGAGAGAGGATGGCAGATGTCTTTGGTAGATAAGACGCTTTTTCTACATGGTTAGCGGGTCTTTGACCTTTTGTGTCTTGGTGTCGTCATAGCATACCCCCTTCAGATATTTTTCTTTCTTTCATATACCACGATATTGTCTCCTCCGGCCAGCCGGGGTGGCGCAGGAAAAGGGCTCCGCAGGCGTTGATTCTGGGCTCGGGCTATTAGAAAATATTTTCCTTCAGGGCTCGATCGACAGCTCAGGGGCCTTGGCTCCCAACAGCCACATGTTTCATCATCACATCACGGTGCCACGTCCACCGATTTCAATTCCTTTGTACGAACGTTTCTTCACGCAACTAGGCATTCTACTAGGCTCAGTTACTACACATCAGGCTTCAGGCGATTGCTGGCACGCAATGGAGAAGAACTAACTTTATGTTATTATGCCGCGTCTTTTTTTTTCTTCTTGGAACTTATCACATATTTCTTGACCATTAATGCCTGTTTCACTTACCTACCTGCCTAGGTATCTAGGTACATAGGTATGCAAATGTTAGGAAATTTTTCTTGTGTTTTTTACTAGTGCCCCCTTTTTTCGAACTTCAAAACTACTTTCCGGCTATCCCACGTGCAATATGAGGACCCCCGTTTGAGGGATGCAAGGAGGTGGACTAGAGGTTGCGTGTGTTAATTGGCTGCCTACTTGAGGTAGTTTTAAAGTGCTTTTTGCTTTAGCTGTTGAGCAGAATATTATGACGAGAGGCGAGGTGTTTCCGGAGGAACGAAGCCAGGAGAGTAAGAAGGGGGTAGGTAATAAATAAGACCCAGCGAGCAAGTATTCATATTTTCATTAGGAGAGAAGGAGGAAAGAAGAGAAGGCGCTGGCCTTTATTACTTACGGCTACCTTGTGGAGGCTGCGCCGTTGAATAGGCCAAGTTAGAATTATGTTTAGGTAAAAGCACAGCCATGTGGCCCCGGAGGAGAAGGGGGTGGGCAGGAAGGGATGAGAGACGTATTTTAATGGTTGGAAATTTTATTCACGTTTTTCTAGGTTAAGTGATGCTGCTTTTGTAGCTTGGCTTGGCTTGGCTTGACTCTGATTAAGTGTATTTGTGATGTGAGAGAGTGGTAATGAATGAATGGTGAGGATGAATTTTGTCTGGTGGAAGTTGTCTGTTTATATGAGTGTAGTTCGTTATCTACATAGGTAGGTACCTAACCTAGTGAACCAAAGTATGATATTCTATATCAGTGCTTACCTGTGACTAGTTAAGCATTTCTTCCCTTCGAAGTAATCTAGATTACATACATACCCAGGTTAGATATGTACCTAATGTAAGTTTGTTTATATTTATGTCCCATGTATTGTAATCGGACTTAAGGGGTCTGGGTTGGACTTTGTTGAGAGGTACGGAAAGGTTAGGTACTTATAGCAGAGTTAACTACCTAAGGTATATATTTAGTTGCTGGACCTAATCCTACCTAGGTAAGTAGGGTTACAATATACCTAGGCAGTCCTCTTCTTGTCAGTCCAGTAACTTTTTTATCAGCTTTAGTTATAACTACATACCACAAGTCGTCATTTGTCGTGATAGGATGAATCATAATAAAGCTACATAATCTAGCTATCCGCCTACCTATAAGAGCTCTGCGGTAAAGTGTTGCATAGCGAGAGGCAAGGATAAAAACGGAAGTAAATGGGGAGGATATGAGCATACGCATGTGCTCATATTTGCATTAATATATGAGATAATTACTATTACAAATTTCCCCCCTATCAAAATCCACAAACCCCTCAAAGGCACAGATGCACGAAGAGGTGAAGTTTACCTAACAAGTCCGACTAAACGCAACAAATCGACGCACAAGACACACAATCTCCATAGGTAAGTCGCGGCCAAGTTGGGAGATAAACCACAAAGAATATGAAATCATTGATCAACGATTGCCAAAGCAATTTTGTACATACAAAGCTCAGTACCCTCGTTCGATTAGAGAAGAAGATTCCATCCTGATACAACCGGTCAATGCCCATTACTGTCCTGTAGACGTGATGCACACGCGAGAGCACAACCTTCTAATCCAAAACTCCGCTGCGATGCGGTCTTCGTATGCTTCCGAGATCCTTGAAGAATACAAGCTGATTATCCTCGAAAACCCCCTAGTGGATCTGCATCATCAATAAAGTGCCTTTCGCACTCTTTTCTTCCACAATCTCTTCTTCTTTTCCAGACGTTGCCTCATGCATATCCCTTCAACTACTTAGATTGTATGGTCCAATCCTTGTAATAATGATTCCACCTGTGTCTCTTATTCGCGTAGTTGCCAAGTCCACGACTTGGATATCTATACCTAGATGCTCTAATCATCTTAAGCTGTTGTGAATTCTCCATGGAAGAGATCTAGCGCAGTCTACCATTGTTCGGGGGTTTCTGCTGCGAGAAGAGCCCCTGGTTTCTTTCCAGAGATTGGTACAACACGCTTAGGAGCGGCTCAGCGTGCTCATGCGTGGGGATCGAGTTGGCGTCCTCAACCGAGATATAACGGCCCTCAACCTTATTCTCGGGCTTAAGCTTCAAGGAATCTTGGTATTCCTGAGACTTAGAACCAAGGGAACGTGTTATATCACGGGTGTACTTATCGTGGATCGCTACTCTCAAGTTCTTATTGATCATGTAGTTCCCGTTGTAGAAGTCTCGATCGAGCTTATCCTTGTGAGATACTTGGAATTCGGGCGTCTGCTGCCATAGTAATTTGCTTTTCTCAAGCTTCTCCTTCTTTTCCTCCTCCTTCATATGTTTCTCTGCCCAATCATCAGCCACTGGCTGGGTGTGAAAGTTGAAGTCCGGGGGAAGCCCTTTTGGAAAGAACGTCTTGGCTTTCTCATAGGTGAGCGTGTCAACAATCCTGATGCTAGCGTTGCTCTCTTTGCTCAGACATAATGCAGGGGGGTGGGTAGAGGAGAAAGTCTCACTCTTGTATGAAGGGGTGGGCTGTCGAGGTGTAGGCTGCATAGGTTGCTGGGACTGGAATGATGAGAAAGGCTGATGGCGAGGAAGGCCGTCACCGAAGGTGTCGAACTCGTGAGCCTTCTCAAACCCTTTCCGCAGCGAACTCGGGGCTCCGTCGAAGGCCGAGGGCTGGAAGTGACGTTGCCCAGGAGGACCCGCAGTTAGGGGTTGCGGAGCGCCTGGTCCCCTGGACAAGACGGCTGGGTAAGAATCGTGCTCTCGGGCAGTAGTTGTCGTAAGGTTTAGATGAAGAGGGGCTTGATGCTGATTATGGTTACGCCCGTCGAATCTATCAGACTGAAATAGGCTCTCGACGCCAACTGGGTCAGATCGAATATTTCTAGGGCCGAAACCAGGTGGAATATTCAAACCGCTACCGTTCTGCGAGATGGAGTCCGAAACTTGATGATGCGGTACTGGAGGTGCCTGTCTAGCTTTGGTGAGAACTTTCTGTGCAGCCTTTTGCATGGGGTTAGGGTAGGATGCCAAGTTAGTGAGTGTCTTAGTTGACATATTATTGAGGGTTACATTCATGTCCTCTTCTTCCTCCACGTCTTCGTACTCGTAGTCATTGCCCCCATTGCCATGGTGGTTGTCTGTTTCGCCCTGTTTGCGGGGGGTAGCAGCAGCGGTGCTGGGTAGGAGTGGAATAGCTGGGACAATCTTCTGAGGCATGTCTGCAGAAGGAGTGGAGGAATACTGCCTCTTGAACTCGGAGATTCGCTTGAAAACAGGGCTACCGGGGGGAACAAGATTGTTGAGGTGGTGAGGATGATCAGTGTGCATAGGGTTATCGGGAGCTAGTATACGAGTAGTCTGGGCGGGACTGACAGCGCGATCGAAATTCTGCTGCAAGGGTGAATAATATTGCGAGTGAGAATACGGTTGTGCAGTGCCAAAGGTATTGAAGGAGTCGTCCGGGTAAGGTTCGAGCATAGACATAGACATAGGCATAGCAGATCGAAGAGCTCGGCCGCGACGTGCGGGAGGCTGTAGCGGCATTGATTGCGGGTTCCAGACCGAACCAACAGTCGTGTATTGTCGCTGCGATGAGCTGGGTTGATCTGGTTGCTGAGACAAGTGAGTCTCCATGGTGACTGTCAGATAGATAGGAAGAGTCGTTGGCGATGACTTGCCAGTATCCGCCGAGAAAGAGAGCAGGATAGAATAAAACAGGAGGAAAGAAACGCGAGATGACGATGTTGTTGTAGTTGTGGGTGGTGGATGGTGGGTGGTGGAAATGATGATGGAGATGGGGATAAAGTAGAAGAAGAGGTAACGTCTACTTTTCTCTGTTTCTCTGTTTCTCTATTTCTCTGTATGAGACTGGAAGGTATTGACTGGGTAGGTATGTACCTAATATTTTTAGTCTACTCGACTGTAGTTTCCGAGATGACACTTTGGTGTTGTACTTATTTTGGTGCTAGTGGTGTTCGTGTTGGATACCTAACATAGGTACCTAGGTATGTCACCTAATTGATTGTACATGTAGGCAGGAACTACACCTGCAGAGGTAAAATCTATGGTAACTGTAGGAACTAGAGCGGGGACGGGTTGTTTCCTTCCTTCCTCTGTATCTTGTAAGGAGTCAGTATATGGAAACAGAAGGAAGTTCTCCCAAGTGCCTAAACAGGAAAGAACAGTCAAAGTTGGAGGCTAGGGGAAGTTGTGAACTTGCTTATCTGCTGAGCCTTATGTCTTTTCCTTTTGTACCTTTTGCAACTCTAAAGAAGAAAGACCAGACCATTATCTCAAGCACAAAATATTCCAAGTGCAAACAACTAATGGCATCTGTTTTGTTCCATTCAACTTCGTGAACTACGTCACGTAGTAGTCAAGTAATCTAATAACTTCAGACGGACAGACGGAACAGCCTATCCTGATATCCTTTAGATACGCTGCACTACCTGACGTACGCCCCTCAATCCGTCCTATTCATAAACCACATTTGTGAAGGTTGCCAGTTATGGTCTACTTATCGCCTTATCATCCTCCGAGTGTGGTTAAGTCATATTGATAGGCTGAGCTGGAGGCGACTCATTATCCGAGTGTTTGACTCAACTGGCGCGAGGTCGAAACGGCTATGATACAAACAATTGTGCCTGGTCAGGTTCAAGCTATTCCAACTTTCCGAAGTTTGCCTCTGCCGTACTCCTCCTGCTTTATTCTTATCTCGTATTGCCACGAGAAGGTCCTGAGACTTATCCGATTTTGACCGGATACACAACGCAATCGTACTTCTTTACTCAAACACTAGATCGGTCATGGTTCTATTAGCATTGTTAGGGATATATGGGATATTGGATGAATATGAACTTAATGTGTGTCCAGATCTTATAAGGGGCAGTCCTTGATGTTCTCGCTATACCTTGATCTAATACTAGGGTCTGTAACAAATCTACATCGTCGGCGAAAGTACATATACAAGAAAGAATGTTTGTTACTTACCTATCAGTTTAAATTGGGGATGAATGCTAATATAACATTAGTATATCGTTAGACCCAATACCGTTCGGCCTCCAAGTCTGACAGCTTGTTGATTTTTGTATTATGGTACCCCCGAAACACTCATAATACAGAACAAACTTCTCGCCCGTCTATACCTGAGTAACCGAGAAATAAAGGAGGGCTCCTGCTCGGGAAACCCTATTCTATCTTGCATTTCGCCCAGGGCATTGAGAAACTAGCTGGACCGATGTTTTCAGCATAAAATCTCGTCTAGCTCCCATTGCCTCGGAGAAGCCACATTTCGACACAATGGTCAAGGGTGAGCTGAGCTCCCTGATACTGCCAAAGGTAAACTGGGTTTACTAATCGACGTATGATCATGCGCTTCGGTAGCGAACCGGAGAAGACCCCACAAGCTCTAGAATGTTGTCCATGCCTCTCACTTGGCGGTAGGCTTGGGAATCATGGCCCCATTCTCTGCATCCCCTTTGTAGGGGGAGCAGTGTTACCCTAAATCCTGCTATCGCGATATTCGCCTCGAAAGTCTTGGATTAGCGACCCTAAGAGTCCAATATCGACTCCAACTGCTTTTAGACGACGCAGTGTGCGAATTGGGTTCCAAGATTTTCCCACTAGATACTTCCTCGAAAATGCGAGTAGGTGGAATGACCCAGTATTAGCAAAGCACGTGATGACCTACATATGGTTCCTTAAGTTAACTAATATGCTATTGAACGGCAATCAACTACTGCGCTGGCTAATATCGTGTAGACGCGGTACCGATTCCCCAGTCACATTACGGAGGTCGCCTCGATGCAACACGACCTATAGGAACAAGGCCGAATGTAACCTAGATGGGATACAGTACATTCACGGTGTCATCAGACTTAAGATATGTTGGGTATTGTCTACTACGTACGCAGTCAATTATTATTGCACATTACGTCTTGCAATACGCGTTAAACTTATCGTTTTTGGGAGAGCTGATGAATAACAGAAACCCTGGTTATTTAATTTCCTGGTCAGCACTGAAGAAGTTGAACACCCCAAGGGGTTTGAATAAAAATTTGTAGGCGCTCTACGTCTAAACCTGCTATTTCGGGGATGCTTGTAATTGGATGGTGCTCGAAAAAGACTAGGATATGGCTTTCATTCATGGCCAACTGTCGGGGTGAGAAAAGGTGGCTGTGGAGGATTGAGACCTTCCAATCCTCGTCCTATACCGCCTCAGCTGCAGACACTGTCAGCAGTTTAAGGGGGGGTATCTGGTGGAAGCATTGTCTAACGTCAGTGCGTGTAATGTGCTACTATCGAAGTAGAGGTTATCTGTTCCTAGCGGAGAAGTTGATCCTACGGCAATGATTGGCTACGAGAAAAATGCAATGGCAGTACGATCCCGCATGTCAACTATGTCTATTGTTGAACGGCCTACGCAACTCGGCGGAAGTGCAGCTGACGACCGAAGTACCTCAAACACTGCTCCTCTCGGAGGGGTGTAAGAAGCGTGTGTAAGTCAAGAGAGGTATGAAGGATTCGAAGATGTGCAAAGGCCAAAAAAATTTGCGGGAGGAACCTAGCTATGGTCCTAGCTATGGTCTGCTTCGAACATGATTTAGGTATCTTTTATTAGGTTAGTGACCCCCGAAGTCTCGTCATCGCCGAAGATTGAGCCATGTGGTATACTCTGGCTTGACTGGATGTTCAGGTATGTTTCTACCCAATAGGAATTGAAACATTCAACTAAATGCAAGAAGGGTCTGAAAGAAAGATAGGGCCTAATCTAAAGGGTTTTTTTTTTTTTTTTTTTTTTTTTTTTTTTTTTTAAATTTTTTTTTTATCGAGACGAAGACTCCCTTTCGTTGCAGTTTGGGGTCGTCGAATCACCACGGAATGTTCTAGGAAGGGCGGGTGGCGTGGGATATGCAGGTGGTATATTTTAAAGTCGACAGCGTCTTTTCGACATCCCCTTTAGACCAGTTGAGTACGGGACAATCCACCCTTCCCGTCTGCGGAGATGGAATGGGTAACTCCTATTTGTCACGTCAACCGAAGGAACATGGCAGATTGCCAAAATTAGTAAGGGTCTCCTCTTATTTCTGTGGCGCCAACCGACCCAAAAGGCTTGAGGATACATATTTCCCGTGCTCTTCAAATATCCCTCGACTGTATTTCCACCGGAGGCCGAAGCAGGGACACACAAAGCGATGATGAGACTTCTGTTCTCGCCTACGTACTTAACTTTGCCTGATATCAAGAATTACCTGACCTTCTGATCTGCTGTGCCGCCAACTTGTGTCAATCCCAAGCACGCTACGCAGATCTGGTAGATTAGCAAGCCTCCCCTGTGTTCGGGGAACGGCCAAACCAAAGAGAGACACCCCTGAACCTTGTATTAACCCCCCCGTTGCTTGAACCATCCATCAGCAAGCTTTCCTGCTTCCTGCTTCCTGCTTCCTGCTTGCTTGGACGTATTACTGGGAGACCCGAGTAATAACACCAACGAACCGCCGGTCTCGCCGTGCAGGCTTCTCTTCCACTTCCTCTACACTTGCTCGCCACGTCTACGCACTCTCATCCCGTATACCGTATAGTAGATATCTCGCGATCGAGTCTTCTCAAGTCAGAAAATGGATTTCTCACATCCCTTCTACGGTGGAGCTCATCCCTATCACTTTATCGGGATTCCTCCCTTGACACCGTCTCATTCCAACTCAGCCGCATCCGACGAGTTCAACAACCACTCTCCACATGTTAGTAGTGTATTCCGTTCCGTTCCGTGCCTTTGCTCTGCTTTGCTTTGTTTCAGTTTTTAGTGTAGGGTTATATCAGTTATATCACCTTGCCTAGAAAATGGAGCGCTGATCTCCCTACGTCATTCAGGATGTTTACGATGGCTTCCAGAATAGTGAACAATTCCAACAGAACTTTGAGCCCTATGCCCAATTCAATCAGCAACCTCAGGCCTTCCCCGGCCCTCCCGGCCCGCCAACACCACCGACGCATCCAATCCACGGCCAGAGCAGCCAGAGCAGCCAGAACCAATCTCAAGTGAATAGTGCTTCGAGTGTGAAGAGCAACCCGGCCGACATACTACCTGTGGCTAAGCCGGATCCCGACGCAAATAGACAGACGGCATCCAATTCGGATGACGACGATCTGACGCCTGCCCAATCCCGCCGGAAGGCGCAAAACCGGGCCGCGTGAGTTACCCCCGGGGTCTTGGATTGGAGGGACGACTCAACATGTGATAGTTGAATGAACATGGCAAGGTGATTAGTGTTTGACTAACATTGCGTCCGTCTCTAGTCAACGCGCATTCCGAGAACGCAAAGAACGGCATGTTAAAGACCTCGAAGCGAAGCTAGCTAGCTTGGAAGCACAGCAGCATCAGACGGCCAGCGAGAACGAAAAGCTGAAACGCGACCTGCAGAAGATGAGCACCGAGAACGAGATTCTGCGCGCCACGTCCAACGTCCACGCCCAGAACGGTTCCCTGTCGCCCCCCGCCCCGACGACCACAGGGCCAATGCAGTACAACCCCACGGACTTCTACTCGGACCTCCTCCAGAACCACACCAACAAGACCCCGAGCCACCGCATAGTAGAGTCTGGCGGGGAGCGTCTCTTGGCTGCGGGTGCTACGTGGGATTACATTATCAATCATGAGTTATTTAAGCAGGGCAGGGTCGATGTCGGCGATGTGAGCCTGCGGCTAAAATCCCAGGCCAAGTGCGACGGACAAGGTCCTGTCTTCGAGGAACGTGTCATTCTACAGGCTATCGTGGAAAGTGTCGCGAGTGGTAGCGACGAGCTTTTATGAGCGACCTAACTAAAGCATGGTGGTGATAAGATTTGTCGTACCGGGGAAGAATCGCTGCTATCAAACCAGCAGAGACAGGGGGGGGGGGTACATGAGACTATGATGGCGTATAGGATCACGGGGAAACGATCTCGGTTCTGATATTGGCGAATGGCGGGCAAGATACCGAGCATCGATGAATGGACGAGCATGTTACGATCGAAAGCGCGTAGGTCTGCTTGATAGCAGCGAGAGGAGGCCCTTACTGGTTCCCCAGATGCCCAAATCGTCAATTCTCGGAAGGGGAACCGAATAACAAGCACCGGGAAAGCACCGCGCGGGGAAGGATAGGGGGAGTGTGGAGGGGAATGGCATAGAGGACGACACCAAACCCAAACATGGTCGGGGAGTTTCTGGCCGGAAGGTTATATTACTGCAAGGGTCATCATGGTGGTTGCTTTTTTTAAAAACCAGGAAGTGAACAAGAGGAAAGGGATACAAGACATTTATGATTCCAACCTGTTCGGAATATCTTCTTCGCGGCCGTGTCTCGTTTATTCATCCCGTGTCCAACAGTAGGCGGCTGGGTTGGCTGGCTGGCTGGGTTTATATATAGGTTAGGTACCTATACCTGTGACCATTGATATATTATATTATTATTATTATTATTGTTATTGTTATTGTTATTGTTATTATTACTATTATATAGCCATTGCTGCATTTGAGGCGGGATATATATTGGGGTTTCTGTTCTCTCGTCTCTTTGTTTTTTATTCTGTACTCTCTTAGGGGTAGGTGGGTAGGTGAGGGGATGGGGCTGTTGTATCTATGTGTGGTTGAATTAACTAGAAGATATATCCTTATAAATCCTCGCCTTGTTCTCTCTCACGTCTACTTGTCTTGGCTTGATTTGATGTGTTGAACTGGACGGATACAATGAGAATATATATATATATATATAAAGTTGATATAACATAACATAACATAGCATAGTATAACAGAGCGGGGTGTAGACGCCCAGCACTTGGTCATCATTCATCATTATCTCGAACGTATATTCCCCTGATAGGCAGGCCGTCCTTCCACCCAGCTCATTAAATCTTCATTATCCCCCAGCCAAGCAAAACCGAGATATTGCCAACGCCCTCCTGGAGACATTTCACCCCGCGGAATCAATAAATAAAACGTCTGCCTGTCTCTTAATCCCAGAATAATATGTGCTTGCTTCCACCCCCCCCTAATTTACCTTCTTCCCATTAGTATGTTCCTCAACCTCGACATACGGGTGCTTAATCGTAAGGCACCAGATATCCAAGTAATCACAAATCGTAACAATCACATCGACGACAAAGGACCCGTACACACCAATCGCGACGCCCAACATGGAGAACATAAAAGCGACTTGGTACACGTCGTCTCCGAGAGCGCTGGGCCAGCCCGAGGCCCAGCCGAAGTGCGACTGGAGGATAGGGCCGAGGGAGTCGATGATGCCGTAGGCTAGGGGTAACGCTAGCACGTTCCAGTAGGGGAACGGGAGCTTAACAAGGTGTGCGGTGATGACCTGGCCGACGCTATACGCGTTCACGAAGCCGACGAACAGGGCGAAGGGGATCAGATGCTGGGTGCGGATTAAGGGCTGCAAGTACAAGTACCCAACGACGAGGACCCAGATACTGCCGAAGGGCAGCAAGCCAAGCAAAGCCCAGCGACTGCGGTCGCCGCGGGCACGACGGGCGCGGATGACGTTGCGTGCGCTCTCGATCGTGTTGAAGACCATGACGACGGTGCCTTGCGCCATGTACCACTGCGTGAAGGACAGGTTATACAGGTACTCGGGGATGCCGAGGGACTTTGGGATATGCAAGGTTTCGAGCATGGACTGCTGCCAAAATGAGGCGCCGCCCATATACCCCGTCAGCGCATACACGAACACGATGATTAGGATGCCTTCGACGGGGCCGCTGACGATGCCCAGCGTGAGGGTTCCGGTGTGGTATTCCTCCCAGGTCTGGACGTAGAAGGTCTGGAGGGCTGTTGGGGGTGGATGCTGGTTAGCTACTGTTGCGGAATATACTGTACTTATTTAAACAAAGAACTGGGATTGTGGTTCTACGTACCGGCAAAGAGCGAGCCGACAGTATACCAGCTCTGCCCCATGTTCTGCGAGGCGGCAAAGAGAATGCATTCGAGGGAAGTATTCAGGGCGTCGACGCCGTGGTCGAATAGCTCGCCGAGGGGACCGCTTTGTCTCGTTCGTCGTCTGAAAGATGCGAATTAGCCACCTCTGTCGCTGTCTCTGTCTATCTATAGCAGGGGTAGCAATTCCAGTCTGCATGAAAGATGTAAGACATACGCTTGCGTCCCATCCACCGCATCAAAAGTCTGGTATAGGAATAGGCCAACAGCCCACGAGTAATAGACCCAAGACGGACAGTCCTGGTCGAGAGTCGGGTTATACCATAGCAGCGTAAAGAAGTTGGCGACGATGAACATGAAACCCGTCAATGTGATAAGATTCGGGGCCATGGACATTGGGAAGCACTTGATGACGACATTGGTGTAGAAGGGCTTTAAGATGTACTTGGACGTCAACGAGTGGTCGACGCTCGAGTACTTGTACGCCTTTAGATTCGGCAGGAATTCCTGGCGCACGTACACCATCTTGACCAACGAAGCTGACCGACGAAGCCGCTATTCGATGTATTCGAAGAAGTATCCGAAGAAACCTAAATCGATCTTGACGATTCTCTTCTCTGTATATGTTAATGGACTAACCTAGCTGCTACCACTTCGGATGCCGGATAGCGGATAGATACACAGGTATCAAAACGCTTCGACGCAGACAGGACAGACGCCCCCTTCCTTTATTTGAAGACGATCGAAGACGATCAAAGACGAACTAATCGCCTAGCGGTGTATATAGTTTCTGCAGATTACTATAGTACTATGTAGTATATATGCAACAGCAAAGAAAATAAAATGAAAACGAAAAAAAGATGAGTTGGCTATAGCTAGGGCAAGGGAGAAAAAAGATGGAGAAAACGTCATTGTGTGCATCCAATGCATCCAATGCATCCAATATCGACGACCCATTTTCTAAGCTAGAGATAAGCTAGAGATATACCGGGGTAGGTACCTACCTAGGTACCTTGTTTCCATACATACAGCCCGGGCAGTACCTACTCCAGTAGCTCCAAGCAAATTCAATTAACGCGAACTGACGGAGGAACTGACGGGACTGACGGGGGGTCGCGTCCCATGTGCAACGTGTAAATTACATGTACATGAGGTACCTACCTACATTGTACATACCTATGTTTAGGTACACATGTACCTCTTATACATAATATATAGAGGTACTAACCCACGTGGAATCCATGTAACTTGAATATATCTTATATCTGCAAGTTGTTTGGCTATGCGAACTACCCAGACAGAGTAAAAGCAACATAAGTTATCAGAGCTTATTATACTGATCAATTCGTCATACCTATTCGGCTTCAGCCTCTTGGGTTCGTTCTGCCACTCAAGAGGTTACCGTAAACTCATCTTGATACTTCCTATAAACACGCATGACTCGGTCCTTATTCCGCCTAGGATCGCACAAGTCCTGCTGCTCGCCCCTTTCTCCATTCTCTAGTAATATGCATAACGTACCCTCAAAACCGAAAGGACATCGCTCGTCATTTTTTGCAGAAACGCCTTTCCAGAAACCATCATCATTACGCGACGGATGCCACCACCATAGCAGCAACATTCTCCTCCTCGCTGCGTACTATAATCTTGGTTGTTACTCCTGATTTCGACGAGTACGCCATCCTGACGTTTGCCACCACCCTTCCTCCATTGACTGTCTTGCCCAGGAGCTTGAGTTGATGTGTGGTCTGGTTTACTGGTACATCTGTACCCTCTAATGGTTGTAGGGAGAGTGTCTTGATAAGCTGCTCCGTAGCATCTGGTATTTAACGTTAGTCATAAAGCCTTAAGGGAGTAATAATAGAAGATATAAGAATATAAGCACTTACCTGCGATGCTGTTCACCCCAGACAGCTGCATCGTCTCTTCGGCCTCCTCACCAGCCGCGCCTACCTGTTCCCATACGTGATTGAAGTTGCCTGCGAACGTGGGTATCACGTAATCGCTACCGGCAAGATCGAAGTCTGATACCTCATACTCATCGTCGTAGCCGGTCTCTTCAGGCTCGTTGGTAGTAGGATCGATCTCTTTGCTCGTAAACTTGAGTATGTTGGAGAAGGTGGCAGTTGGCAGTGAACCTTCGCCGTTCGCTTTCTTGAATGCCACGTAGATCTTTCCGGGCTCATCCGTAGGAAGTTTCTCGGCCTGGATAATGAATACTTCTTCCAGTTCTTCTTCATCAGACGGTGTTGCTACCACCGACACATTTTCGAGGACGGTAGCTGGAAGGGTATTCTTGACCTCATACTGGAGTACGATGTGCTCCTTGAAGATGTGCTTGACGACTGATACGACGTACTCAGTCTCGGCCTCGGTCAACTCAACAACAGAAGACGACTTGAGGACACCGCCAAACTCCTTCATCTCTGGGATAGATAGAAGTTCTTGGGCGTACTTCTGCGCTGCGGCGGCCGCCGAAGCTTGCGCTTCCGCACCAGTTGGGACCACCTTTGTGGGACCTGCCTTTGGCGGCTTCAGAGATGGGGTAGTGGCTGTAAGCTTCTTCGTGCGATCCTCGGCATCTGCTTGTTCCCGGGTGACGACCGGGATCTGGCTGATATCGAACGGAGTTTCGAAGGCCGACTTGTCGTCGGATGTTACATACATGACAAGCTGATGTTCGAAGTAAGGTAGTGAGAACATATTCTCTGTGCTCCTGATTAGTCTTTCATATTGTTTATTGGATATAGCAGTGTACTTACCGTTCTTGATGAAGCGTTCGCCCAAATCGTCCTCCTCGTGCATTAATCTCAGGTTGAGCGCAGCACGGTCACGGACTTCATCATCCACGTCATCCAAGCACCTAGTCAACAGAACGTCGACGCTACGCTTGACTTCAGGGTCTTTCTGACCTACACCGAACTTGGCTAGAGCGGTTACGGCTGCCGCTCTCACAATGGCGTTCTCTAGAACGACACGGTTGTAGATGTATCGGATGTACTTGGTAGGTTGAGAAGTCCTGGGACCTTCCAAACCTAGCAAGTGGAGGATACGAACAGCCAATTTCGTAAACTCGCAGTCTTCGATAAATTCGCAGAGGTGAGCGAGAGCGTCTTCCTTGGAATCCGGTACGAACTTGATGAGATCGAACATGCTTTCCACTACGGCCCGCTTGAACTCATAACCACCTTCGTCGCGCAGGATGCCGCTCAAGAAAGAAAGCATACCGGCTTGTTTGCTCGGGAACTTGAGGCACAGGGTTCGGATGGCCTCAACAATAGTAATCTTGAATTCGTCCGTAATTTCCGACATGAATCCAGAGATTTGCTTCATTAACCTATCTACACTTGCTTCATTGCCGGTCTTGAGGAGCGTAGTAATAGCGAACGTAGCAATTGATCGGTTGCTGTTGGAGATGAGTGCCTCGATATCTGGATTGCAAACGTTGACGGCTTGCGGCTTGAAGGAAGCAAAGTTGTGTAGAATTCGGAGGGCAGCGAATTTAGTTACGGCACGAGGCGAAGAGAGGAATAGCTGCAGCACATGAACAGCTTGGGTGACTTCGGCGTCCGTAACATCTCTTATATCACAGATTGCCTTGGCTGCCTCGAAGTTGACCATTTCGCTCTTATGTCTTAACCATCCGTCTAGTAGCTGCATCATGGGCTTCCTGAGAGATTGATCCTCCTCGGCCAATTGCGCAGCCAACCTGACCAGCATCACTATAGCGGCAGGGCTCTTGACGGCACCAGCTGCACCAAATTGCTGCACCATCTTAACTAAAGCCATCCTATCATGAGATCGTATCTGATATAGGAGACCAATGGCGTGGTATTGGGTCATAGTTGAGTTGTTGACCGGGAGCGAAGCAGAGGAAGATGAAAAGCCAAGAGAGAAGCCACCCGAGGACTTGGTCGAGGCAGCGGCCTCCTGAGTTTCTGACTGCCATCGTCGAACGACGTCCTTGGCGATCGGGAGGAGGTGGTAGGAAGATACAAGGGCGGCGGAGGATACTGAAGGGTTCTTGTCGACTATCGCAGTCTTCATTACACGCTCGATCGATTGGACAGTTGTCGCCTACAAGGCATCAGCAAGGGGGAATTAGGAGGCTAGTATTCTGCATTGGGCTCACGTCGATAATGCGACATAGGGCTCGTATGGCATTCGGCCTGTAGATTGCGTCCGTACTACCACCCGTATCCTTCATTATGGTACTCGTAACCATAATAATATCTTCTGCCGAGTTGGCAATCTCCTTGATGACCAGATGAACCATTTGTCGCAAGCTGGCATCCTTATTCTGGAATAGCTTCGAGATACCGAAGAATAAGGTGGTGGCTTCGTTCGTCGGAAACTTCTCGCCGGTATATAGGAGGAGGGCAATCTTGGTTAGGAGAATGCGACATCTTCGTGGTTGAATTGGTGAACTATTGAATAATCGAGCTTGGTATTTATTTAGCTGTGTACCATACAGCGGAGTGGACAACTAGGGGGGAGGGGGACTTAGATCTTAGATGTTGAATTGAATTAGACTTACCTTCTTGGAAAACTTGGGTGCGGTCGACCTTGACCAGGCCGAGGTCGGCATCTTCATCTTTCTTGCCGTAGCTCATGGTGGGTGGTGAGACGGCTGTAATAAAGGTGAAAGTTGAAGATAATCGCGGTCTTTGGTGTAGTTAGTGCTTTAGTTCACACATAAATTCGGGCCAGCTGCATTTTCCATAGTTTAAGCCTTTGAAAGGAGCGACGTTGCAACTGCTCCAGTCAAGCCACGTGGTCCGTGCTCAACCAAGCCACATCTCGGGTACGTAGGTACCTATATTATAAAATCATATAAAATCAAGAGGTATCACAATTCCATTCACCTATTTAATTCTTATTTACTGTGTTGAGTATCTTGATTCTTTACACTCCAACATCTCCTTAGTGTCCTCTCGGCTTGTTCTGTATCAGCTTCATAACGTTATCTGCGTATCCTTCTGTACCGCCATATTTAGCTATAACCTGTTGGATGTCTACCGCTGAAGACGAGCTCCTTTTTCTGCCGATCAAGCCAGTATTTCTTGTGCTTGGTATCCTTAGCATCTCAGTTTCTACCTCCCACCCGCAGTCATTCTCTATATTTTTTATCCATTCAACAAGTGACGAATATGCCGACGGTGATTTGTTTTGCGTTTTCGGCGGGGGAGCCCGAAATCTTGCGCCGGTAAGATCATGACTGCAACATGGTATCATGATGAACGGACAGTTTGATACAGTAGCAAGTATCGGCGTCCACGGTGTCAACTCATCCGCATGATTAGATATGATAAAAGTTCCCTCAGGAAATAAACCGTCGTGTATAAGATTAGTACTATCTACATTGTAGATGGCCTCACCATCCCCGTATTTCGTACTTAGATCATGGTCAATCACAGAGGGAAGCAGGACGTGCTGCCGGAGACTCTCTTGATGTTCAGGCTCGTCACTAATTGTATCAGAATACTGTTCCCACGACTTGCGTTTTCGAGCGTCAAATCCCCATCCCGAGTATCCTTCTTTTCGAAGGATATGTACGAGAAGACCATTGCCACAGCCGATATCAACAAATCCAGGGAACGGAGAATCTTTATACATCTCAGCCCACAGTTCGATGAGAAATGCCGCGATGCTCAGGTCTTCAAACACGTGCTTGGATGGGTCGGTGACCTCAACCCAGGTTTGAATAAGCTGACGGGCGTAGCTTTGTTTCAGCCTAGTATACGTATTCTGGACAGAAATCTGGGGAATGATAGTGTCGTGATGAACTCGCTTAGTATACCCCTTTTTAGTTCCTTCGCCATGCTTATGGAGCACTGATAGTAGGTTAAGAGCCGTACCCACCAACTTTGGTGAACGGTCCTCATCGCCAAAGAAATGGTAATGTATAGACACAGAACCCTCGTCATCAGCGCTCCATTCGTGGAGAAATGCTATGCCTTGCACTTTGGGATGATAGAATGGCATGTCATCAGGAGATGAGACGTGGGGTTTGTAAATAACCATAGACCTTTTTACATCCCCCGGCCCGCTACCATAGTAAATTAGGCATGTTTGATCTAGAGGCTGATCTCTTCGAGTATTTCTTGGAATAAGCTTCCGGACCAGAGCTTTATCAAGGTGCATATCTTCGAAGTAGAGAATGGTCGGCTGTGTGACCGCGGAATCAGTAATCACATCTTGTTGACTTAGATCCCTCTCCACTAAGATATCGGCCCGGAATAGCCAACTGGAATTGATATTCGGATTGCGAATCAAGTTCATCATGACTTTGAAAAAGATTTGCGACTCGAACTCACAGTTCTTCCGAAACAAGGGAGTCCATCTTGAACCAGACGAATCTTTAATTAGACTCGGAGAACCATCGGGAAGCTCTTGCGCCTCGAAGCCCATTGCGAAATTGAAATTGAAATTGAAATGATGAGAGGTCTTTTTGAATATGTGTTATGTTACCTGCAGGGTCTTTGGAATCGGGTCGTGGATAGGTCGATCGAGGGGACACAGGATGACATAAGTAGAGGCTTTCCACTCGAATTGGCCAACGATCAGACCGATGTTCACTGATGTTCTAGATGTCCTCCCTTTAAAGAAGGCCACATGCAGATGCGCAGGGGGGTCAGCTGCTAAGAAGGGTAGGTATCCTCGTGGATATGTAGGTTTGCATACATATGAATGTGAATATTGGGGATAAAATGATTTAGGCGATACAGAGAGTGGATAGTGAATAGGTACATACATAACCTGGTAGAGTTGTTGTTGTTGTTGTCGTTGTTCGTCACCCGTCACCCATCACATCGCCAATGTTCATGATTTTCGAATGAAACTGAAATCTTAATGGACAATTGTGTCTTAGTCTGGATTACTGTTATGGCACATGTCCGACATTGGTGGCATTAGTGGCATTGGTGGTATCGATTGTGTGGCATGTGCTTGCTGCATTCTTCCGGCATTTGCAGCTTCTCGGTAACCGCAAATGTTGAAAATTATTCACGTAAGTTAGGTACTTGGTTAGGTACTTGGTTAGGTACTTTCGCTCACTCCGCAAATTTTAAAGCTTTTGCTAGGAGGTACCTTAGGTACATGTACATAGTAGGTAGTTTCCCCATAATTGCTAAGTTCCAAAGTTCCAAGGCTGTCTGAGTCTGATAAGGCCGCTATGTATTTTTCCTTGGGTGGCACGAATCTTCTACCCTTATGCAAGGACAGGAGGTTCGACCGCCCCCAGCCGTGGCTACCTCCTACCAGCCTTTCAGGTGCAGGGGAGGACCCACTCACCCCTTGCCGATTCGCTAGTAGCCCGCTAAGTCGATGTTGCCCCTCCATTCACTGCCTCTTGCTATGTAGTTGCGGCCTTTCTCTTCTTCCCTCTTCTTCTACAAATTGATCCTTAGCCACCCATCAAGAACAAAACAGCAACGTCAACATTTACACCATCTCTTAATCTCACCAAACGCAATCAAGAATTGCATCGTTCGGCCCCCGCCAACCACATACAGAGCACTACTTCTTAGGATCTCTACAGTTTAGCGAGGCCACTAGTACAGTCGTCTGTCGCTTCACCGAGTTCTTCATCTCCAAACCCTTTTCCCCAAGTTACCCCGTAAACTCGAGTTTATGTCAATCGAAAACCTCAAGACCTATGGTGCGTGCAGTTTATTCTTCATCTTCATCGTGAGATAAAGCTAGGGGGGCAGAGAGAGCTATTGATGTCTTCCATCTTCCATAAGCATCGATGTCTCTGTTGCTTCTGTCGCCTTTGCTATCTGCTCCAACGATTCTTTTGTTGATACATCTCCCTTTCGCGTCGTAGGCTAACCAATATTCAAACAGACCCCTTCGCCGAAGCCGATGAGGATACAGGTGATACCAAGCAGTCCCAGAACTATATCCATATCCGCATTCAACGTACGTGTACATGTCATACTTTCGATGTACCTCACGTGTGGTAGTCAACTCGCGCCGCATTGCTCTGTCTCCCGTCTCCATCCTAGAATATGCGACATAAACTTTGTTATACTAACTAATATCTAACAGAGCGGAATGGACGTAAAACCTTGACCACTGTGCAAGGTCTTCCGAAGAAGTTCGACCAGAAGAAAATCCTGAAGGTCATCAAGAAGAAATTCGGTATGTTGTGATGATGCCCCGCTTTTTCGTGTAGCCCCTTTAATGTCTGTTTGTTCATCATACTGACTGCGCTTTTACGTTAGCATGCAATGGCACCATCGTGAACGATACTGAGATGGGCGAGGTCATCCAGTTGCAGGGCGACCAGCGCAAGGATGTACAGGAGTTCCTCGTTGACAAGAAAGAGGGTCTAGAGCTTGATCCGAAGACCATTAAGGTCCACGGTTTCTAAGCCGGTCATGTCCGCCAACCTTCCGTAACTCCCAATTATCGATCGCGAGTTGCGCAACCAGATGGTCAGCCCTATTTAGGTCAAAATCCCTGGCCGTTATGCGGTGGTCTTGATAGCTATCCGCTACTCGTGCCGAGGGCTGCACTATTGGTCGAGGCGTTTGCGGAATGGTTAGGACATGATACCCCTTGTTAACTTCAAAGAAGCTCCTGGCTTTTGGTATTGCTAGGGCTAGGCTGAGGCCAGCCCGAGGAACGTATTATTGAATGCTTTTATGGAGGCGTGGTATTGCGGATGGCCTGGACTTGCAGGACACTCTCGTTCCCTGTTCTGCGATAATGTTATTATCTATTAATCAGAACTATCTCCAGAACATACTGTTCATAATATTCGATGTGACATGTCCGTATTAAATCCCTGAATCGCAAAATCGCCGGCTAAGTGCGTTAGTTTTCATATGGTATCCCATTCACTACCAAATCCAGATTCAATTGGGAAGTATACGAGGATGTTTACCTAGGTATGTAATATGAACTCGGACGGGTCACTAGGTATATTCTAAATATTTTTTATTAGGCGTAGGTACTTCATTTCTACGAAGAGAGTTATCATGTTGCTACTTTTTAGTGGATTCCTACGGATCAAATAGTACAGATCTTTCTCAAATTTTATCTTAGGTGCTTAAGCATTTCCGGATTCCTCGCTGGTCAAACTCTGATTTATACTATTATACTACTATTCCAGCAATTTAGAGTCAACTATTTGCCCGTTTGAGAGAAAACCAGGAACCACCAATGAAAATGAAAGGGGACCTGCCCCTCCCAACGCCGCCTCCCACCTTCACCCGGAGAAAAACCCGGATCCTGGAGCAGTTGGCCCGCCCAGATGACGAGTACACGGATGCTTCGCCTAAGGGGTCCGTAGACGCGGGGATCCGCGAGTTGATTGGTGAAGTTAATGGGCTGGATGGGTTCGTCACGACGAGTAGTTGTGCGGGGAGGGTAAGCGTGTTTCTGGAGGGGAGCAAGAAGGCTGTTGCTGTTGGTGAGGAGAACGGGGGAGAAGGAGATGGGGTCGATGATGATGATGATGATGACGATGCTGGGAAACCCGAAGTTAGGAAACTTGCGGGTGTAGGCGGGAAGGGAGGTGGGGGTGCGTGGTTGTTTGTCTCGCATGACCCGGTTCCGTTGGCACAGGGCGAAGGGGAAGAAGATGTGGAAGAGATGCTGCTGGGGTTGAGGAGAAGCCCCGAGGAGGGAGACGAGGCTCGGGAAATACTGGCGGGTGGTTCTGTTCAGGATGTCGCTGCTGCGAGGCTTGTCCACTTCAAGTTCGAACCTATGGTAAGTGCACCTATTCCCAGTCTTTCTTTTGGCCTAGGGATCCACTGCGTCGTACACCGCTGCTATGACGGTCTACACATACATACGCGGATATGCATTCATTACCATTACTGGGGCAGTGGAACATAACAACCTGACCTGATCATTTTAGATTCTCCACGTCTTGACCGCTTCGCCGGAGCACGCCCAGCTACTCCTCCGGTGTGCTCTGCAGGCCGGGTTCAGGGAGAGCGGTGCCGTGAGTCTCACCCCGGCCGCCGGAGAACAGCGTGCAACCCCTATAGTTGCCATCCGGTCTATGGGTCTCACATTCGAGTCCCTGATCGGATACCAGTCCGAAGGCAACGATAAGCTACACCGCACCGTGTCGCCGGCTTATCTACGGACGCTTATCCGCATAGCCAACGAGCGGTTCGTCGAGAATACGAAGAGGATCGATAGATTCCGGGCGGCCCTTGCGGAGGCAACCAAGCCGGTGAGCGAGAGCGGGTGGGAAGACGCGCAGGTCCGGCGGGAGAGAAAGAAAGCGGAGGGTCTGAGGAGGAGAGAAGAGCTGCGGAGACAGAAGAATGATAGTGGTGCCGCGGCCGTGGAAGACTCGGCTTTAGATATCTCCGTAAATACAGATTTCACATGAATAATATCACTCAACAACGTACAGCACGGAATCGCAAGAAACAGATTGTCATCCATCTTTCTATACAGCTCTGTTTTTCCCTGGGCGCTTCCTAAAACGCTATGCTATAAGTGTCGAGTATTGTTACAACAGAGAATCTATCGTAGGTACCTTAGGTATATTAGGTGAGAATGGGCGTGGCGATGGACATCGTCCGAAGAGGCGATATATCTATTCATATCTTTCTCTTCTTCTTCTTCTTCCTTTTCCTCTACTCCGAAAGCCCCCCGGCACCTATTCACGAAACGACCTTATCCACCCACCCCTTCTCCAGCCTCCGGACCTCCTCCTTGAACGCCTCGACCTCGCGCCAGCAGTCCAGCGGGCGGCGGTCGTTCTCGAGCAGGCAGCGCACGACGTTGCCGCGGGCCTGCTCGACGGTATCGGGCAGCGGGCGCAGCTGCTTGCGCTTGTCCAGGCGCGCCCGCAGCGCCTCGACTTCTTTCGACACGGCCTGCCGGTTGAGCTGCTGTTGCTTGCTGTCGTCCTCGCTGTCCGCGAGCTCCGCGATCTTGTCCTGCGCCGCCTTGAGCGCCGCCGTCTCCTGCGCCTCGAGCTTCTTGAGTTCCGAGGCTACACGCGCTTGGATGGCTAGCTCGAGGGTCTGCGCGCGCGTGGTGTCGGTCTGGTGGGTTGGGACGGGTGGTTAGTATATATATATATATATGGGGAACGGAAGATGAGGGAGAGGTAGGTGGAAGAGGAGGCGGGTGCTCACTTCGCTACTCGACTGGAGGGTTTCGACGACATCGTGCGAGATGCCTATAGGTGAGGATCTAAGAGCGACCAAGAGTGTCAAGTTAGTTGGAGGATGCTAGGACGATGATGTACGATATAATAGATACAATAGATATAATAGATACAATAGATACAATAGATACAATAATTTGAGACAAGAGACTGTTCGGAATAGTTGTTTGTAATGGTTTGGTTTAGAACTTACGCCTTCCAGACATGTGAGGATTGGCTCGCCTCCGGCTTAGACGAGCTCGAGCCCATGGTTGTCGGCTTCGTCGGTGGGCTGGGGTAGTAGGTGTTGCTCTGGATCTGCCTTTCTGCTGCTTGCACGAAATAATTCCCAATTCCCAATTCCCGAGCTTTGATGATGCTGCCGCCGAAAAATGTCTACGGTGCGAATTGAGCGACTTGCTTGGTGGATGCGGTAATTAATACTGTGAAGCCACCTTGGATGATTTAGCACGTGATATTTGCATAAATAAATAGGAGCATAAATAGAGGTATGCATAATTCATAATAGGTAATATGTTATCACCCGTCTAACCTAGCTTTGTACCTCATTCTCCCCCCCTTTTCTAACACACCCGACATTAGAGTGAATATTCTGAATCACTCTGTTAGATCATGGAACACGTACTACACATGTGCTACCATTTATCCTGAATTACAACAGAAGCTACATGCAGTACTTTTCAATAAACACCCCACAACTTCAGTCTTTAGTCTTCAGTCTTCAGTCAGCCCTCGGCTTGACTCCGACCTGGAAGCCCACAGGTCTCAAGTTAAACCAACCGTCTTGTTCTAACACGTAACTCGGATCAACGCTCTCAAAATCAATCTCCTTGATTAGCTTTGCTAATACAGCCATACTGAACTGCCAAGCCCAGTGCCTCCCAATGCACACTCTCTTCCCGTTTCCAAACCACTTCTTAACTCCGGAGGGGAGATCATCAAACGCCTTACCCATCATCCGCTCAGGCCTAAAGGCAAGAGGTTCGTCGAATACAGTCGGGTCTCTGTTGACTCCTGCCAAGACAATGATCATGGCCTGATTGTGTGCGACTTGGTACTTGCCGCCGGCTAGCTGCACAGGGGCCTTGTTATCACTGGGTATAGGTTCGATGTTGAATCCCGGCGCTGCGAATGAGAGTCGAAGGGATTCACGCATGATTCCCTCGATGTATTCGAGCTGTGCTAGGTGCTCGAATTGAAACTCGCCGTCGCCGATGACGGAATCTAATTCCTGGCGCGCATCGGTCACGACTTGCGGGTTCTTCAGGAGGAAGTATATTGCAGTGCTAATCATTGCTGGTGCCGTACTGCTGCCGATCGGCATGGAGACTATCTCGTCGATGACTTGTGAGTCCGTTAGAGATGTGCCCGTCACCGGATCCTTGGCGGTCAGTAGTGTCGCAAGGAGGTCCTGCCGATTTGTCGGATTTGTCTTTCGGTAGTCTACTAGCTCTTGCGCGTATGTTCGCATCGTATTCGTGGCCTTGGTGAACTTGCTGCCGTACAGTAGCCAGTTCATTATCTTGGGACGATTAGGTCGCTTCATCGCTTCAGACGTTGAGTCCTCCATCGCTTTTATCATTGGATGCTCAGGCCCGGCGAGACAGTTCAACTTCTTCCCAAAGAGAGTCAACGTCGTCACCTCGAGGTTCAATCTGTTCAATTCGCCGATAGCGGATACCTCGTTGTCGGTGCCGAGCCCTTTCCACTTTGTGATAAGTTCGGTAGTAATGTCTCGCATCTCAATGAAATGTTCTGCGAGTGATCGCGGATCGAGCTTCGGAGCAATGATGCGGTGCGCGATACCCCAACTCGGTTCATTGTCGAAGGCCGTGAACAGAGCATCGTGTACGGCATATCTTATCTCAACTATCGGACCACCAACATACTTCCGGAACCGTTGCTCATCGCACAACTCCTCCGCAATGGCCGCGCCGGCTACGAAGACGATAGTATGACCCAAGACCTTGATCTGGAATATTTCTCCGTATTTCTCCGCTAGCTTCCTCAGCGAATCCCACGTATTACTTGGATCGATATCGAAGATGTTGCCTAGGAGGGGCACGCCCGAAGGCTGTGGGATAGGGACTGACATGATATCTATTGCTTGACTAGAGGGAAGAATGGAGTGAGGAAACGAACTATCTGCTACAGCCTATTAATAATACAAGAACAGATGGCGCACGAATATTCAGGTCCCACCGCAACTGTATATACGCCTTTTACGTCACGGGTGTCCTGTACGGTATCGTATCTTCTTTCTTCTTCCGACAACTTATAGCGAAGCGGTTATGCTGAGTAACGACTCACGGTACGACTATCAATCTATTCCAGGACGAATATGGTAAGCCCATTTCAATAGAGCGAGCTCAATGTTCCCCTCATTTCCTTTTCATGCGACTTCATATATAATTCTGAAGTTCGAATTCTGTAGAATCGACAATCTTACCATATGAGCTAGATATGCTTTTCCTCTTTTACTTTCTTTTTTCTGTCTACTGTGGAGAGAGCATCAGTTACCTACCTACTGTAATCACCTTGCAAAGACGACTATCGTTGTGGCTTATGCAATATTGTCGATCGCGAAGGGAAACTCGTACACTATCGGACAAAGATGCAGGGCGCATGCATTAATTATGTTACCATAATTTAAAATAGGCTGGAGAAAGCCCATCATAGGTGGGACATTCTAATTAATAGAAGTGGTTGGTCTTCAGGGTATTCCGAGCGCATTAGCTCCATCTCAATAGGGATTTTCAGCTGGTGATTATTATCAAGCGACGCACAGAGCTTCGAGTCATGTTGATATAAATATAGGTAGGTACTAGTTCACGCAGAACAGTAGGTTTCGATATCTCAAGTTGAAGCATCTAATCGTCGCGTTTATAAGTTTACCTACATTAAGTACCTGCCTATATATATGATAATCATTTGATATTAGATTATACTAACATTCTATTACTACGTCTAAGTCTATGATTGCTACTAATAACAGCAAGAGACGATGCAGTGGTTAGTTACTGCGACTGACGCCTTACACTTATTCCATGTATACTGAGTATCTGAGTGTAAATAGCATTCCTCCATGATTCAGAGGTGTCTAACCTAGTAACTTCGTTATTCGTCAACTTAAGTATGAGATTATTTGCTTAGTATGGCTTGAAGCTATTTGTGCCCCATCTTTAAAATTAAACCTTGTAGCTTATGAGCTATACTAACAGGATTAAAAATTAAAAATGGCATACCTGAAAAATGAATAGGATAAGATTTATCTTCAACATTATACACTTCTTGATTGAAAATGGTTGATTACGACCGAATGAAGAATCCGGTATCCATTTTTATAAATAGGGGGGTGGGCGACCACCTTTAACTTCCAATGACGGAAACAAAGTACGAAGGGGCATCTAGTTGTTATATACACAAATACGAACTGCTTTAATTGCTCACATGGGACGTTTATGGTATTGGTGAAGTGAACATCAACTATCTAGGTACCCAGTAATGCTTAGAAACCCTGCAGCTAGTCTTATTTCAAGTTCCTCACGTAAGTCTCGCTGAATGATACAGTACATGAGCTGTACTTGTATTATATTGAATTAATTTATCAACTGTATGAGTGAGGAGGGAGGGCCTTCTTATATACCTAATACATTCCATACTAAGATACCATGTACTGTACCTGAAAGTAGTCCCTTGATCACTCATCTCAACAAGTCTTTTGAAATAGCTTCAGCGGTTCTCCAAACCCCGCAACTAGACTATAAGCTGGATTTGGGTCACGAAGAAAAGTCAGTATCTCTAAGCGACTAATTTAAGATCTGGGCTCAATATGATCATCTCAAGCCAAGATGTCCACGCTCGGGATTAACCGGCTGGAAGTATGGTTGGAAGCCTGACCCCCCTTTTAACTTCTCACCAATCATGATAGGTGGATTGGTACTCTTAGTTAGAATCATCGCCGATGGACCAATTAGTGGATACGAGCTTATTGAGGACGACTTGTAAATCTTAGGAAGCTCTTTCGTTTTGGGAAGATGTGGGATACATGAAGAAACTTGCCCTGGCTATATCGTGGACATCAAGCTCTATCCGTATTCTGGGAAAGGAGTTAATACTAATCTAGGCCCAATAGCACTTGTTATTCCCAAGTTACTACACGTCCGCCTCGATACTGATTTTTCTATCCGTCCATCTCAGCGATAAAGTTTTGCTTATTCCGAGAATGACTTGGTCAGGTAAGTGTATACAATATTGATTGGCCGGAGAATATAGGTATATAATTCGGCATTTTGAAGGATCATGGTGTGTAATATTGCAGTTCAGTGTAACGGATAAGGCCTATAGTATAGCTCTATAGTTGCCGACAACCCCGCCTTTAGGAAGTATTTACCTGCTTATACACTTGAGATAAAGGAGAGCCAATCACCATAGTTCTGTAACCATACCGAAGGTATGCTGTCATCACGATACAACATGTTTTACTACTCACAATCCTTATTTGGTTTGTAGAAAAAGTAACATGTCATAAAATAACTGATTAAGCTATACTGATACTAAGTAGTACGTGATAAGAGAAATGAGAAGTGCATGCTAAGTAATATAAAGGGCGAACAGTCTCCCGTAGCTATCTATCTCTGGAGATTACTTCGTCATACGAACTATAGAATACAACGAGCCAAAATGGGGATCCAAACCGACTTTCCCGTACTTGATAGCTTCTTTTCGCTGCCCTTTCCTTTTAAAATTGCTTCGTTACTTGTCGTTGGTATTGCGTTCCGCCTTCTATGGAATAGATTCAGGAAAGAATTGCGTGATATCCCAGGACCAAAGGTTGCCGCGTATACAGGACTTTGGCGCTGGCTTGATGTGCGGGCCGGCCAAGCTCACAAGAACGCTATTAAACTGCACAAGAGATACGGCTCACTCGTTCGAATCGGCCCAAACCATGTCTCAGTCTCCGACCCGCGTGAGATTAACCATATCTACGGCATGAAATCCAAGTACACCAAGGTATATTGTGACTATACAAGATATCAATATCATACCCCCGAACCTCAAGTATGAATACCTAGGTAGCTTGGATACTTAATAGTGCTACAGACTGAATTCTACCATCCCATCCAATCTATTATCTGGAAAGGCAAAGCAGAGCCACACTTGTTCACTATGCGAGACCTAACTGTCCACCGAGAGTCGAAGAAGATCCTCGCCAACGCTTACAGCCCGACATCGGTCCTAGCATACGAACCCGCTGTGGACGAGTGCATAACCCTATTATTATATCAGATTGAAAAGCTCGCAGAAGAGAAGAAACCGATAGACCTCGGCGAATGGATGTCGTACTACACCTTCGATGTCATTGGACAATTGTCGTTCTCGAAGATGTTTGGATTCCTCGAGAAGGGTTGCGATGTGGATAAGATAATAGAGACGATTGATATTGTTCTAGTAAGTATCCCGGGCTTATGAATTGTAGTAGCATGGCTGGTATCTTGCTTATACAACGAATAGACATATGCTAGCCAATGCGGTCAACTCCCTGAACTCCATAAGTTTCTTTTAGGGAACCCGTTTCTTCCCGGAGGAGCAATGAACCAAATCGTCGACTTTGCTTTGAAAGCTATCAATGGGGCGGCTAGTCGGCACACATCATTAAGAAAGGACGGAGTACTGGATGCTTTGGACATCGAGAGCAGAGGCGATATGTTAACCAAGTGGTACGCTCTGAACCAAAATGGCTCTCAGTGGATGACCACGAAGTATCTTGTTGCACACTTGAGCGCAAATGTGTACGGAGGGTCTGATACTACATCTATCGCCTTGCGGTCTGTATTGTACTACTTGGGCAAGAATAGGGATAAGATGCGGAAACTGGTGGAGGAGATTGACGGCGCGGCGGCTGCTGGCAACATCAGCCAACCGGTCTCATTCAAAGAGGCCAACACGCATCTGCCATATCTAAATGCGGTGATCAAAGAGGGCATGCGGATCCACCCATCTGCTGGCCTCATGTACGAGCGCTACGTCCCATCTGGCGGTGATACCATCTGCGGAAAACATATCCCCGGGGGAACTGTCGTTGGAATCAACCCATGGGTCACGCAGTATGATCCCGAGGTATTCCCCGACCCCGAGAGCTTCGTCCCAGAGCGGTGGCTCGACTCAACCGAGGAGCAGCTGAAGCGAATGGAGCAGTCCTTCTTTAACTTCAGCGCAGGCTCTCGCACGTGTCTTGGAAGACATATTGCTATGATAGAGATATCGAAGATGATACCGGAGCTGCTGCGTAGGTTCGAGTTGACCCTGACGTATCCTGACCGCGAGTGGGAGACTAGGAATGTGTGGCTTGTGAAACAAAAGGGGGTGATTTGTAACATAACGAAGAGATCGTGAATCGGATATATAGGTAGCTGTTGGGTCTTTTGTTTAACCATATATGTATCTTATGTAAATGACCAACCCCTGCAGCATACTGCTAACGGACGGACTTATCGACGAGGTCCTCTTTTTGTAATAACTATATGGCCAATCGGATCCCGCGCTGTTGTTTTCTAGGACCGGAGCTGGGAGGTTTGATACTAGGTACTAAATGTGTTCTTGACATTAGATATCTCATCTAGAACCCTAACATCATAAACACTACGCTCTCTCCTTGGATGTGACATAATTGATGCACCTGGCATGAATGGTTGCAATAGCCTTGCCAAATTGGAGATCATTACTGTATATTATCACCGGGTGGTAAGAAAATTTACTTATTGAAGGCGACCTCCTAGGATTATGGACTGTGTGACTTGTATTAGATTTTGTCCGGAATACTTCGCTGTCTTATTTGATTATAGAATAACGCCTCTGAGGCTGTAGGTTCAACGTAGTCAATTGAATCTACTACCTTTGAATCGGTAGACTTCCAACCCGTCTTCTTACTACTGCACTGCACCACGCTGCGAAACGGGGTAGCGTCGAGATCGTCGAACTACTTCTTGAGCATGGTGCTGATATCAACGCAGTGACGGCTAATTTGTCGACAGTAGCGAGCCTGGCTTATTGGTCCGGCCATAAGGCTACGCTCTCTGTTTTAGTCCAGCGAGGGCTGGATTTAACCCCTGACGGCGACAATGCTAAGCCCCTCTTGAAGGAGGCCATCGAGGAAGGCGATGAAGGTCTTGTTGATATGCTACTCGCTAAGGGGGTTTCGCCTAACACAATTTTCCGTAACGGATCGAGTGCGCTCAACAGTGCAATTCGGTCTCAGAAATTAGTCGACATGTTTCTCAAAAAGGGCGCCGACCCAAACATAGTGGATGAGAATGGATGGGCACCGTTGCCATTGGCAGCAGGTTATAAGAATGTTGATATTGTGAGAGCTTTGGTCAATGCAGGAGCCAGCATAGTTTGTGATTCCGAGTCAGACCCTAAGATAAAATGTCCGCTCTAAGTTGCCGTCATCGATAACTGTCTCCCAGTGGCCAAGTTTCTCGTCGAACGTGGCGCGAGCTTAGACCAAAAGACAAGAGGTGGCCACACAGCACTGATGTTTGCTATTTCTATGAAACACCAGGATATAGCGGAGTGGTTATTGGACATGGGAGCATCGATCCAAGGAATATCTGAGTATAGCCAGCAGTCGCTCTTTGATATTGCAGTTAAGACGTCTGATCCCGAAATCACAGAACTTCTAGTTCGTCGAGGTTGTTTCCAGATTCACACGCATGTTAGCTATTCACACGGGTTCGTAGCATCTGAGGCTCGTGATGATAATAGCCTAGTTATGTTGGCTTATCAGGGCAACCTAGAAGGTGTGAAAAAATGTCTGGCCGATACGAGTGGATCCTCATACACCCAAACAGTCGGCGAAGCGCTGCACGCTGCCTCAGCAAGAGGATACTTACACATTGTGGATGCTCTACTTAAGTAACCATGCGAACGCCAGCATGGTTGACACCACTGGACGAACAGCACTTCACCATGCAGCCAGACACCTTCACTTCAACGTAGCAGATGTTCTTGTGGAACATGGTGCAAGCATTCTGCTCGAGGATATAGCCGGCTCGACACCAATCGACCTTGCAATCGTTCACGGGCTCAAAGCTTATGAATTCATCAAAACCCACATGAGCGACTTCACGATAGGAATCAGTCGGCAACAATCCCTGCTGGCCGTGGTTCCAAACCAGTCGACGAGTCTTACCGCTATGGGTATTATCAGAAAAGCCATCTCGGGATCATGGACTGGCTACTACGACTACCTTTACTGGGCGGACGGTCGAAGTGAGTCCTTCGCGATCGACGTCCCAGCCGAAGCACATAAAAACTCGCAACCAAGCACTTTCTCAAGCAAAAACGGCGATCTATGGGGGCATTTCAAGTTCCACGGCTTTGTTGACTCTAGTGGTACAGTTTGGTTCATCAAATTGTACGAGACACGGGGATGGCTCTATCGCGGACGAGTAGATCCGGAAAGGGGTACTCTAAAGGACACTTGGGGCAGTAACCGGAAGCTATGGTTTGGGACTTTTCAACTAAGAAAAAAGGAATGAGCATTGTGCACGATCTAGAAGAAGATATATAATGGCTCTGAATATTACCGTAAAACCATGCTTCCTTTTGACGGACGGTTATATACCCCTTCCTATTCTCCTGTGCCCCTTTTTTTTTTTTTGGCTTCGCTCATACTTAGACGGTTCTTGTCAGAATGGGGTTTCTTAATTGCAATGATATTTTGTCTAAACCTCCTTGTTTAGCTACTCTGGCTATTTAGCTGTTCAACTTCCTGGCTTCATTCAAATTTATCTTATGAATAGCGGTATTAATATTGGTGTTCACTTAAGGCAATAACTAAATCATACTCAATTATACTAATGAGTGATTTGGATGATAATATGCGCGACTTACAACACAGATGGTGATATCTGCAACCTGCACGGTACGGGATTATATATGATACTCGGAAAGACGGCAGATATGTTTGAGACATATGTTTAGCCAAGTTATTGCACTGCATCACCGTATCGGAATGTCTCGGACTTTAGTATTGGAGAGATAAAACCGGCCTAAAACCTCTACATCTCATCTTGGCATGACGTCTATCGTGAGGCTGCGAGTAAGGCGTGAAGACATAGCTAACAGTGAAACAAATATCATAGGTGCACCGTGGCGGATATCTCGGAGCCGTATACAAATATAACCTTGAAAAATATCGACAAGACTCCATTGACGAGTTAACGGCCAGGATGCAGGTTACACACATCTTAGATTATGGCGTCTAGGTGCCATGTAAGTTGCCTATTTCATGCAGATCTTACTGTGGAAGACCCCGTGATCACTGAATATGGTGACTATGAATTATACACATGTTGAACATCCTGCTGTTATGACATAGTGCTCTTTCGACTCAGGCGTATTAGAGCTTGCGGCTAATAAACTTGTCTCCGAGATTATTATCTATCTACCATAATAAAAGGATGGCAAGTACAGCACCTGGATGTCTATCCGGGACATAATCAGTTGGAAGCAGATCTGAGAAATCTGAATATGCCATTATTCTGAATAATCAGCACATCATATCCTTAAGGGTACCATCGCTTTAGTTACTGCTGATAGCATAGCTGTCTGTTATGTACTTCCTACTTCATAGCATATATTCCTAGGGCTTTGTTCTTATAAATTGGTTTGACTCAAGATTTAGTGTTCCCCCTTTTCACTACTTAAATGTCAGTAAATTTAATGGGGGGGTTTTTTTCGGATTTCGTCTACCCGGATACTTGAGCAGGGGTATCGGGTCAAAAGTCTTACATCTTTATTTCTTATACCATCCGCTCTTCACTCTCGTCAAAAGTAAATCCGGTGATAATATGGTAAGCAGAGCAAGGACCATGGCCTAAGATCAAGCTAGTTGTACACCTTGAACAGGATTCTTTGGAAAACGGTGTTAGACCGGCAATTGACTTTTATAGGGAAAAGTCTTTAGATAATTACTTACAGCAATAATTGTTGCAGTACGTAAAATGGCGGATATTATGGCGGAAGAAATATTGGATGATATGACTACCCGGCAAGTTGGATCTTGTAACTGATAACCCTAGAATAAGTTTTATTTAGGGGAGAACTGAATATTGAATATTAACATACCTAAGTAGATTTACATTCATGAGAACTCGGAGATAATGCTCAACGTTCGTTGTCAGTCATACTATTATATGCTATGCTATTATGCTACAGCACTGAGTACCTGTCTCGGTTATATATGATATCTAAAAGCACCATTCGAGATATAGACTCGCATATCTTCATATTCAAAGGCTTACTGCTCTGAACTCTACTAAGTACCTAAGCCATCAGGTTGAAGGTTCTTGAGATCAATCTAGATCAATCTGTTTAATCCGGGCAAATTGTTCTTGGTATAATAAAGGCAATTTCAATGGAGAGAAATGTCCACGCTTCGATCCCAATCTCTGGTATCGTCACGGAAGAATTTGAACGTAACAATACGTAGAAAACTAATAAGGGTGAATAATTCTGGACTACTAGAGGAAGTTCCCGCCAGTTCAGGAACGAACATACAAGAAAGATGCCGAGTTTCCATAGTGTATAATATTGAATTGGGGCCACCCAGAGGTCTTAGCTGAAGCAAATACACTATCAAGTGCCTAATGAAAGGAATATATCGTGGCTCACACACTTTGCTTTTTGGTTTCGGGTGAATATATCAATAATTTAGTACTCAACGGATGTATGTCTAAGACATCTACTGCGTGTAACCGTAGTGCAGCTACACTTGTTAATTGTTAGACACTGGTAGAAATACAAAAGGTATGTGCAACCTGAGCTATGAACAACAGAAAAGCAGCGGGGTAGGTATTCGAAGGGATGACTCGGTAACATATCCCTTTATCTCGGACTTTGAATTATTCAGCACCCTCGTGAGCCTTGGCTTGTGGAAATTTAATAACCCTATTGCTCCCTATTCTTCCCTTGTGGAGGTTCTTTCACTCATATATACTTTGGAAAAGTCTATCTCTAACGCAGAACTTCACTCCTATGTGGTGTTTCAATACTCAACACGCCCAAGCCAGTATAGAGGTACCCAGGTACCTTTACTGTAATGTCTCCCTCTATAATCGAAGAGTATGACTATGTTGTAGTAGGTGCTGGTGAGTGATCTGGGTTTTGTATCTTTCCATTTATTAATATAACGGAGTCTCCAGACAGCATTACCCCCTTTCTCTTTGCCTTTTTCCTTTTTGTAGACCTATTTAACTGAGGTGAATATAGGGTTCCACGGGCTTGCCGTAGCAAAACAATTACATTGTACGCAGCCTGACCGTACTCTGGTGATATTTGAAGTACAATCTACTCTGGGTGGCAAATGGGCCAAGAATAGGCTGCTTCCAGGCCTAAAGAGCAATAATCTCTTAGGGACATATGAATACCCCGACTTTCCTATGACTGCGGATAGGTTTGATGTCAAGCCGGGCGAGCATATTCCTGGAGAAGTAATTAATACTTACCTCGAAGCGTATGCCGAAGAATTTGGCATCATTAATTTCATCAGGCTTGAAACTACAGTCCTTACTGCGGAACACCAGGACACAACAGAAGGCGGGTGGATTCTAACGATCAAGCAACAGAATCAACAACAGACGAGCAAGGTTCTGGCTCATAAGCTTATCGTTGCCACTGGATTATTATCGGAACCTTTCATGCCAAGATTCGACGGACAGGACGAATTTAATGGGAAGATATTTCACAGCAAGGATTTCCCAAAAAACTTAGATACGTTGGAAGCAAAGACCGTTACTGTCTTTGGGGCTGGAAAGTCTGGATGGGATGCCGTATACCAATATGCCCTGGCTGGTGCCAAGGTAAATTGGGTCATTCGATGTAAGTTTTACTCGTAAAGCTGAGGTACTCCTGATATGAGCTGAGCAAAGGAAAGCGAGCGGCCATGGCCCTGTATGGATGGCGCCTCCATATGTAACGCCGTTCAAGAAATGGCTCGAGAAACTTACGAGTAAGTAATGTCTATGTTTCAGCCTCCATGTATCTATCTACTAATATACCCCGTCTTGAGTTATGCATTTATGCTAATATCCTATCCTAGACACCCGCTTTCTTACCTGGTTCAGTCCGTGTATCTGGGGTGATGCCGATGGCTATTGGGGTATACGTTATTTTTATCATCGGACCGCGCTTGGTCGCTTTCTAGTAGATCGCTTTTGGAATATACTCAGCCGGGATATCATTACGCTGAATAAATACGACTCTCACCCGGATACAGCCAAGTTAAAACCTTGGCTTCCCGTCATGTTTGCAGGATGCAGTTATAGCATTCTCAACTACGAGCAGGACTTTTTCGAGCTCGTTAAGAGTGACAGGGTCGATATTCATATCGGGGAGATCATCCGGTTAAGCCCAGGGAAAGTTCACCTTGCTGATGGTACCGAATTCGCATCCGAAGCATTTCTAGCGAATACGGGCTGGACGCATGTTCCACCTATCAAATTCCTTCCGGAAGGGATTGAAAAGGAACTTGGAGTTCCCCACGAGGTTGCAGAAAATGCGCCCGTACAAGACCTGGCAAACAACCATACGCTTCTAGAACGAGCTGATAAGGAGATTCTGGAACGCTTCCCGAGACTCAAAATACAGCCAGTATGGAAGAAGAATTTCGGCCCCCTCATAGACCAGAAAGGAATCAGCACTGATGCACGATCTCATACACCCCTTACACCATATATGCTACACCGTTTCCTTGTTCCTGCGTCCCCTCGTTTCCTACGGCCTCGAGATATAGCATTTATAGGCCTTCAAACCAATATCAGCAACATCATTACTGCTCACATCACAGGGCTCTGGATCAGCGCGTACTTCTCAGGAAAACTGGCAAGGGACCCTTCCAAGGCCATCGACGATAAGGAGGAGATGAAGAAGCTGCTATACGAGACCGTGCTGCACAATAGATTTGGCAAGTGGCGATATCCTACCGAATGGGGGAATAAAGGCCCAAACTTTACCTTCGATGCTGTTCCTTATTTTGATCTACTCCAGCGGGACCTCGGATTGAATCCGTTTCGGAAGGGCAATGTTCTTACGGAGATGTATGATCCATATGGGCCGGAGGATTATCGTTACATCAATCAAGAGTGGCTAGAAAAACAGGCTCAGGCATCTGGCACGGGGAGTTCCGTTGACTGAACAGGACTTCGCCTTCTTCGTGCCGTGTTAGGGCTGGTGGCAATTTTTTCAGTAGATGAAACTAATACACTTAGAACGTATAGTTACCTATAGTTGTTACTTCAGGCTTTGCTGGATTAGATTGATAGCCACTTTATGTGCTTGTTCTGAGCCTGCTAACCTAGAGAGCTACGTAATCGAAGCGATCTATACACTTTAGCAACAGCTCTACTCATCTACTGAATACCTCTCCTTTTGCACTAGCACTCCGGCACTATCGACTCTGACCTGCTCCGTCCAGAATCTGACCTCGACGCCAAACTCCGTAATGTCGGGCCCGAGAAGCGCAGATGTACTATTAGTCCAATCCGCCAGAACGGTTATTCCGTCAACACCGTACCACAGGACCGTATAGGCTTCCTGGTGCGGGTTCGGCACCTGCCTAAGATTCGCAAGGGGGAGCAAGGTGAGAGTAACGTTCGTCGAGCCATCCGGCTGAACCTCCTGCGTGATGTCGTCGATTAGGGTGAGTTGGTCAAGCAGAGACAGCCACAGTCCCTCAATGCAGGCGTTGCAGAAATTAGATGAATAGGTGTCTCGCATTAGACAAAGATCGTTTGTCGGCCTGTATGAGGTTACGTTCTTGTCGGAAAATCTAAACGGTTATTAGGTATTAGTAAAGGTAGTGAGTGGCCTGCGTGAGGCAAACTTGGCGAAGCTCCGTTTACTTACGTCGGGTATAATCCGTGGTATTGTGGCTCGAAGTCGAACCTAGACAGAAGCGTGTGTGAGACAAGTGAGTTTTAGGTAGGACGGCGAGTAGCTTACTCTTCCTCATCCCCATACTCAATCACCTCGAAACTACAAAGCTGCGCGCTTCCTTGCCTCTCTCCGTTTAGTAGTGTGAATTTAATCTCATGTTCTCCTGGAGTCAGTGCTTCGTTGATCTTAATATTGTAAATGTAGCGATCCTCTCCAACTGCGGGATTCCACTCCCAGCCCGCGTCCTTCCCATCCATCTCTACCAGCAAGTCGCTAGTCGCCGTCACGCCGCTTACGCTGACTTGGAGCAGATGGGTGGAATATGTGCCTGCCGACGTGAAAGTCTGACTCCAGCTCTGCGACGTATTCAGCAGTGTCCAAGGATATTCCTGTACTGGCATGTTTGTCCGCTGGATCTTAGGCTCGGTAGACGCATCTGTATACCACTGGGTCCAGGGCACCGATTTGGTGGATTTTGCCGCATTGACACCGGTGTAAATTTCACCGCCGTCATATTCTTCGCCAACGCCAATGATCGAGTGGCCTAACTCGTGACGAATAATCACAGGTCCGTTATTAGGCGAGGAGGTTGTAACGCTAGAAAGTTTAGCGACGAATAAGCACGAGATATTGTGTGGCTTACGTGAACTCGCCGCCTAGTCCCCCGTAAAATGGGTCGTTTCCAAGGAGAATGGGAAAATCGCATGCATCTGTTGACTGACAGGCAGCGCGTGCTACTTCGGGCTTATCGTAGTATACACCACGAAGCTCAGTGCCATCGCGGTAAAGTCCATAGACGGTACTATTGGGATGCATTGGTAAGTATCTAAATTGGGCTAACACGAAATTTGCGTAAAAGGGGGAGACTTACTCCAGGGGCTTTCCACCACTACCAATGCCACTCTTTTAAGACGTCAGACAAACGAAATAATGTATCATGTATTATATCATGTATATCACGATGAACACCACTCACCTCGTTGCTCGGTGAAAATCCAGCCCAAAAGTTTAATACAGGAAGCACGTCGACAAATGTCTGTCCGTCAGTAATGTTATTTGCGAGAAACAGAGCATCGGCGAAGAACTTGTCTTTCTCATCTTGGGTATCTATCCGATTAGGTACAGTATTAAGTCAGTTTATGAGCTTAGAACGTCTTTATAGAATGTAGTCTTTTATACAAGTACGTACATCCGTCACCGAAGAAGATGAGGTCGACACGATTGCTTGATGGTCCATTCACGATGAGAGGCCGGATCTCTAAAGGAGGCGGAGCGACGTCTTGCCTCGCTTGCAGATGCGGGACGCCATCTATCTCGTGGTCTGCGAATTTCCCCTCCCACTGGTGTTCGCAGAACTGCCCAAGAGCGGCGCCAATGACGGCGGCTTGGACGAGGAAGCTCTTGACAGTATTCATTGCGGGGTTCCTGGCAGGCGAGAGGAGATAAGGCTCACTGGCATTCGGGTTGAACGATGGCCCTCAATTTATATATTTGCCATCGCAACGCTCACCGCATACGATGGGTATTTTGCCATGCGTGGGATAATTTACCTTCCGGAAGCGGGTTGAGTGTGATCCTTGTAACCTTCCCTAATCAACCATTAGGTCGCACCCGTTAGCATGGGTACGACGGGCCGGTATCGCCAATTCTCGTATGTATCTGCCAAAAACACAAAAACGTGTTGTTCGATTGTTATCGCGAATATACATAGTAGATATAAGGCAAGGAAGAGATAGACTCCCGTGAAATCCTTGGTTATAAATTTTAAAAGTTGTAAAGCGTCTACTCTGTCTCAGTTTAGGTTGTCGATTGGATAAGATCTTTTCGTATAGATTAGTACCTTTTTTACAGCTTAATATCTATTTAATCTTACCATATCTTAAAGATTAATATTCGGCGCCTTTGTATGCTCTTCGTCGTCGTCTGTCTGTTAACGTAGCGCCTAGTTGTCTATGATTGGTTGCTCGAATTGTGGAATTATAAAGAACGCCCGGACCACTTAGTTCGGTTATCTTTCCGAGGGAATTTTATGTTCAAACTCTGGAAATTGATAAGGTAACTAATTGATAAGGAAATTCCCATGCTTACGTAAAAATGCGCGGTACCTAATTGATAAGTAATTGATACGAGCCGCGAACTTTGGTATGTTATGAATTAGAATTATCTACCTAAGTTATTCAAAAAACTAAGTATACGCTATTACCGATATGCTAAAACAACTAAAAACTATCATCTTAACAATTTTATAAATATGACGACAACCATTATCGCCACCCAGATTGTATATGAGGTAGCTAACGGCTTCCACAAAATGATAAGGTAGCTTGTTTCTTGTTATTGTAGGTATATGCAAAGAGTTATATAAAGCCTTTCGTATGTTCATATATTCATATGTAACGTTGAAGATGACGGAAAGGGCAACTAGATGTTAAGGAAGTCCACACTAACCGGGATGTAGTTAATGTTTTCGTACAAAATAGGTTGATAGAGTATCGGGTATAGAATGTGGAATACCTCAATGCGCGTGTTATTATCTTGATAGAGTGTACATGTACCATTCAAATGCTGTATTCAGATGCTGTCTTGACGGAGGCTATGTCGGTTCCGGTCTCGATTGAGCAGACAAGGATAAGTGATCAAGAGGCAGCCAAGACCGGGGTTAATCCTTGCCATTTACATACCTAGATTAGATACATATTGGGGATATGGAGCACCGCCGGAAGCCCGTCGTACATCCTTGTGCCGGCCGGGATGGACGCTTGCGAGCAAGTGACCGATCATAGTGTCTTACATACGAATATCCATAGTTACTTTTGATGTTTTAATCGCTACTATATTATTACGAGCTCTTTGCAAATAGTGACTCTATGTAAAACATAGTTTGGAAAGAGTACGCGACTGATGACACTAGAGTCGACAACGCCCTGAAGTCTCCGCCAATTGTTAACTTAACTAGACACGGGATTAACGCGGGTTTACTGGAACTACGCGTTCTTTTAGTTTTTTTAAAAATTAACCCATTAATACATTCTCCCAAAGTCGATATGTACCTATATAAATGTTTCATCTTTGAAATAGCTAGTTCGTCATCATTTCGTATGATAGAAATTCCTTGGACTTGCCGCGTAATGGTGTTTTAAATGGGGTTTCGAACCTGGTAGATACTAGCGTGGCTCGCGAAGGGATAGGAACTTGTCTATCTCATCAACTTGTAGTTCCCTATGGGTAAGGCTATTGCTAATAATAGTAGATATGAATCCTAGATTAGTAAAGTAGAGTCGTACGTATTGAGGCTTTGCGATTTCACTACTACTGGATGGTACTAGGGAATGTTATGCACGCGTAGTTCCTCATCTAGCCACTTACCCGGTGTGGGTTATGGGTAGAGATCAGACAGGTAAACCTACTGTTTCTCGCAATGTACTCGTGTTTTTCTACGCATCAGCGGCTGAGTTAATTATGGGATACCGATGACTGACGTTGGATAGAAAAACAGCCCCTTTTCAAGGGTATTGTCTATTAAAAAAAGGGAATAAACGTGTACATATGTATAACCTGAAGAAGTCTATTGCTCAAGACTCAATTTACCATAATCTTAGACACTCTAAAGTTGCCTTTTCATATACGAGAGCTACCATTACCGTCTTTACTGTCGATACCTCTCACTTTTATAACATCTTGCTCTTTGAACGATCGCAGCGTATTTCTACTAGACGCTTAACTACCTGTCTTCGGTCTTTCTCTAATCTATCAAATTACCATTGACTGTATCAAAATGGCCTACGCGTCGAAATACACCCCGAAGCCACTCACAGACATTTTTACCAGTGATACCGATATCGATCGGCGACAATGCACTCGGACTGTTCCAATGAAGGTCCTTATATTGGGATGCGGACGAACAGGAACCATGTGTAAGTGTTTCTCAAACACTAGAGTGAGTTCTCAAGAATTACGGTTACTGACTTAAAACAGCTATACGAGCCGCAATGAAAAAGCTTGGATATGTTGATACCTACCATATGATGAACTGCTCTATCGAAAACCCGCCTGACGCTCTCCTGTGGATGGACGCGCTACGGGCGAAATACGACGGTGTCGGCGAACCGTTCACCCGCAAAGACTGGGATAAACTTCTCGGCGGCGCGCAGGCAGTATGCGACTGGCCCGCCTGTGCATTCGCAAAGGAACTCATCGAAGCGTACCCCGAGGCGAAGGTTGTGCTTACAGGACGCGACGTCGACTCGTGGCACGCATCGACAATGCAAACGGTGTACTGGCGAGCGATGGACCCCGAGCTTCGCATCTTGTCCCGCTTCAGCTGGGCTGCTAGCATGTACTACCCGATGCTGAAGAAGTTCTTCGATACTTTTTTCGAAGGAAACTTCCCCGAGAAGGGCAAGGCTATTTTCACACGCCATTACGCCGAAGTCAAAGCTATGGTTCCCGAGGAGAAGCTGCTCGAGTATAGAGTCACCGACGGCTGGGAGCCGCTGTGCAAATTCCTAGGCGACTCTGTACCGACGGACTGCCCCTTTCCAAACGTCAACGACAACAAGAACTTCGTGTTACGATCGCGCCGGAGGAATAGATGTCAGATGCTTAACGTTGCGGCGCAGGTTGTGGAAATGCTGCTGATGATTGGGTTGGCATGGTACTTGGTATTTCGCATTCAGTGGAACTTGTTTTAACTTGGCTTGTTCTATGGTGTTATGGTGTTAATCCTGTATTTAACATATCACAGTCGCAGAACCCAACGGACAGATATTAGCTAGGGAGATGCCTGTTAAATACACTTGGTTCTATATTTAAGAATGACTCTTTCTCTCTACCTACAAGCATTTCTATAAAAATGTCTGTGATATAGTCAAGTGCTAATAGAGTTCTTATCGACGAGTTGTTTAAGTGAGTCCCTGTCATGCGCACTTTGCTCTACAACTTGCTACGAGATCATCTTAGCCGCGTGCATCGTCATTCTCGGAATGTAATAATGTGAAATATCATGAAAGAAAATATATGGTATAAATTGGTATCTTGTATATATAAAAAATGCTAATTTGGTACAGTTGGTAATTGCCAATAAACTGTCGGCCTATTATTCCAAGCTACAATTCCTATCCACAGACAAACGGCGATAACGAGAGCACAGCCAGCTATAATGACAAGCTGAGTTGATAGACCTTCACCATCCATGTAGCTCAAGATACCGGTAGGTTTTAACTGTGATACATTAATAGAGTGTATATGTGCGCGTGAGGGTATAGCAGTCTTACCTGGTCTTCCATCTGTTCCGCACGAATCGGTTCGCTAACACCCAGCATGTATCCTTCGGTATGCACTGCTATCGCTCTTAAAAACCGAGGATATGGCTTAAGTATTTCGAATTCCGTTTCGAATCCCAGACGATCCGTTCGATTCAGCTCTTTCCAGTTGCCGTCAGTGACGTTAAGGTCCTCAGCCCCCTGAAGAATCCACTGAGAGACCTCGGTTGCCCCATTCCAGCTAACGTAGAAGCTCCAATTCCTTCCGCTGTTCTTTCGGATAGCTGATGTGGGACTCGTCTTCGGCATTCCATGCCATTCGTACTTATACACCCGGTAAGACTGGACTTCCGCCGTCCCAAACCTGCTCTCGGGTCCGAAATGCGTGTCGCAGAGGACGTCACCGTTGCTAGCGAACTCTGTAAATGCTGCAGAGTTGCCATAGCCGAGAAGCACGTTTCCATTGGGGAGTGATTGAAAAGACCCCTGAGATATACCATGGATCTTGTGCGGGTTGAAATATTCCGCAACAACCGACACGGTCATGGCTTTCTCGTCAATTTTCAGTTTCAGACCGCGAGTCGGTGCTATGTCGCGATGAACATCGTCGACTCCATTGTCGAAAATGGTGATTGTATCTTTACCAGACCATCGCGCATCATGCTGGTAAGCGAAGTTCGTCGCAGTACCATTCGAAAGATCTTGGAACATGTTCCTCTTACCGCCAAGAACCCATATTACTTCACCGGTGGTGCCGTTGATATATGTCAGACTATGCATGTAGCGACTTGAAGTGAGGTAGTTTCCCCTGGAGTCTTTGTCTATACTGTTCATATGGAAGAAGTCGTACGCACGGTCGCCCTCTCCGTCGTCACCGATCTCCCTGTAACTGTCGGCCAAGTTCCAATGATCTAACGCCTGCCATTGAAATATGGCTAACCCTGTCTCAAGATCGATTTCTTGAATCACACAATCCCATAACGGTCCGATGTGAGTCTTTCCAACTTCGGTAAGATCTCGTTGGACTACATTATAGACTGTAATTAGGGCAGTTCCGGCTTTGGTGATTCGGAAGTCGTGTAAGTCTGCATCGAGCCCATAAGCCGCTCCAACTTCTCTGAATAGAGAATATGTTTTATCCAACTAGGATCTATTAGTAAGGATTGCGTATAAAGGTACTGGATATAGGTAGTATGTAATATACCATTATGATGGTACCAGCACCATGTCCGCCAACTGCATCATCCCCAGCCCAGAAGGTCAAGTACTTCTCCCCTTTGTATTCTTGCACCATTAAGTTATATAACTGTTGTCTATTCCACCCGGATGTCCATATTAAATCGCCGTTGCTGTCGAGAATAGTTGCTTGAGGCTCACGAGTAGCACCACCTCGGGGAGTTAGAAGAGTGTATAGCGACGAGTCGCATGCTTTGCTTGACTGCAATACGTCGAGCTTAGGTACTTCTAGTTGCGTGGCAGACTTGAACACTGTTAACGGATGTGGCCCGTAGGCATTGCGCTCGTAGCCAAAATCATACGAACTATCAGAAGGCCTTGACGGTATCCCGTTAACAGCGCCAACGACAGCAAGAAAAGAAGTCCATGATAACCACATCATAGTGTTGAGCTACCGGATATTCAATGTCGATACCATATTCATAGCACCAAAAGAACACGAGGAATAAGGCAATGGATATCCTTGGGATATCCCACATAATGGACATGCCTTGAACTTATCACGAATACTAACTCCTGCTGCGGCTCAAACTGCCTACGTACCATACAAGTACGTATACTGGCCTATTCCACTTATATTTGGTCCGGCCACACATACGACATTCTGGGGGAGGTTCTAAGCATATTTCCTAAGTGGCATAAATTATGTTTCGAAACGCTGCTGACGAAAAACAGGATGAGCCTCGGGTTGGGCTGAGTGGTAGTCTCCACTGTGCTATCTAGCATTACGTCGACACGCGGCCCGTAACATCATTTTCTATTCTAGGCGCGGGCTCCACGCCCCTCCTTTTTACCCTACGAATCTTGGCACGTCCAACGCTTCATATAGGTTTGCATTGCTATCCTGAAATGATAGGTTAGCTGCTATTGCTATTTTAAACAAGCTACTATTATTACGTAGACTTATAGTAGTTACTGCATAGGTGGTGATGATGCAGATGACTTCGTAAGAGGTACGTTAGGTAGTCAAAACAACTGGTAGCAGCACCGGCGCTCATCTTGTCACTTCATTTAATTTTGGCCAATACCTCAAAGCATTTCAGTAGTTACCCTCATACAGAACAGAACAATTATGAAGACATCTAAATACCTCACTATATTCCTATAGACGTTCATATTCTATTTTCTTTTTTAATCATTCTCTTCGGCTTCCTATTACATTCCCATTTGTATTCTGAGTTTAACTTCATAATCACAAGTCACAATGCAACATGCCACAATAGCATCAATGGCATCGGCATTCGCCAAGAGTGATAGCAAATACAGAGCCTCATATGAGGTGCCCGCCTTAGTTAAGGTGAATGATAATAAGTATCCTCGAGATAACGAGTCACAATATTCCAAGACGGAATCCAATGACGCATCCTGGATGTCCCTCCCTCGCAAAGACCAATTGGCAATCATCTTCCTGTGTCGCCTAGTCGATTTCCTGCAGGTAGCATCTCTACAGGCTTATGTCTTCTTTCAACTTAAAGCCATTGACAATACCCTCTCCGACTCCGAGATATCAAATCAGTCAGGCATACTCCAAGGTGCTTTTACTGGAGCACAAGTCCTCACTGCGTTTCTCTGGGGTAAAGTTGCAGATGCCAGCTGGTGTGGACGAAAGCCAGTTCTCCTCATTGGACTCTTCGGAACAGCAGTTTCGTGTCTAGGTTACGGATTTGCAACTAGCTTCTCCTGGGCTGTATTTTGGCGCGCCGCTGGAGGTGGCATTAATGGTACTGTGGGAATAATGTAAGTAAAAAGGAATCTGAAACATCGAATAGCAGTAAATCATTTACTAATTGATTGCCATGAAGACGAACTATGATTGCTGAGATCACAGTCGAGAGAAGATATCAGTCTCGAGCCTTTCTGATACTGCCTATTAGTTTTAGTTTAGCAAATATATTAGGACCTCGTAAGTAACTATTTTAAGCCTCTGCAACATATAAGTATCATATTTTAATGCTGCTTATAGTGACGGGAGGTTTGTTAGCCGATCCCGCAACATCACTTCCATACCTGTTTGACGAGGGTGCTATTTGGAGTTTTGGCTGGATTCAGAAGTATCCCTATGCTCTACCAAGCGTCCTCAATGCCGCCACCTTGGCGATCACAGGTTTAGTAGTATTCTTTGCTCTTGAAGAGGCAAGCCACTCCGTGTATCTTACTGTCTACTCTAGCTAACGGAAAGGATAGACTTCAAGCGAAAGAAAAGGGAAGAGAGACATTGGCATATATCTTGCTTCTCGTCTAAAGAGCATCGCGCTTCGCGAGCCTCCTTTAGAGAGTGGTTATTCTAAACTCCAGCCATGGAATTCTCCAGACAGTCCAGTTGAGTCCAGGGAAGATAACGAGGGACTACCCGCGTACGAGAAGCCGAAGTCCAAGAGAAACGGAAGAACGCTGCCGTTTAGTCGCGTATGGACACGAAATGTTATTTCTACATTAATAACGGAAGCATTCTACGATTTTCAGCTCGGTGCATTCACTAACATATGGACGCTTTTCCTTTCATCGCCCCGCTCATCGCCGAATGAAACTGCATCTCAATCCTTACCATGGATATTCACAGGCGGGCTCGGCATGCCTGCTGCGACAGTTGGCGTTGCGACATCTATCTTGGGAATCTTAGGCATTATTCTTCAGATTTTCTTCTACCCCTTTGTCCACGCGCGCTTGGGCACCTTACGTGGCTTCCGGTGGTTTTTGCCATTATTCCCTATCGCATACGTTCTTGCACCATATCTCGCCGTCATACCATCATCCTCTCCACCGTCGGAGCCTGCCTCAGGCCCTGCAATATGGATATACGTGACTTTAATCCAATTCATTCAAGTTACCGCACGTACGATCACATTGCCAGCTAGCATTATATTGTTAAACAACTGCAGTCCTCACCCAAGCGTGCTGGGTCTCATTCATGGCCTCGGACAAAGCGTGTCAGCGAGCTTCCGGACGATTGGACCCATTGTAGGCGGATGGTGGTATGGCTCGGGGCTGGAAATGGGGATGGTAGGTTGGAGCTGGTGGGCTGTTGCATTGGTCGCGGCTTTAGGTTGCGCATCTGCGATGCTTGTCTACGAAGGAACTGGCCACGAGATCTTGCTCGAAGGTGAAAAGGACGAGGTTCATTCGGGGTAATAGTAGTTGATTATGCACAAGTGCATTCTGGTTTAAACTCTCTTATAAACATGTATTCAAATATTGAACTCACGTTTCCTTCTATCTCCTAACTAAATAATTGGTATTACTGGTGGTGAATTCGTCTTTGTCTGTCCACCTTGGGCTCCAGGCCCTTTGCTTGGCGTAGCGCACACCCAAGAGGTGAAGCCAAGAATTTCTTTCCCGATCAGGATACAACCCATGATCAGATTGGAGCGCCTATGTCGAAGACCAGGTTTCTCCGCATGCACTGTTTTTATATACCGAATTCATGGAGGTGGAGTCAGGAACATCACCGCCAAACCAGGTTTATCGTAGCATCAAGCTGGCGTTGTTTATGTAATTGCTATAATTTTCCCGTCCATTGAAAAACTGATGCTACCTCCTGGTGTCTTCGCATAACTGAGGTCGTGTATATATTAGTTCCCATAGTTGTATCGTGAAGAAAGTTGATCCCAAGACTTAGAGTGGTCAACGAGCACATATCTACCTATATAATAACGATCGCAATCATGCGTACCATCTTCACCGTACTCGTAGCGGCCTTAGCCAATACCGTAGCCGCGAGTCCTGCAGTACCGCGGCAAGCTTCTAACTACGTCGGTTACCTCATCTCGACCTTTTCTGATGTTAATCCAAAGGTTCAATTCCATCTCTCAAACGGAAATAGTGCTTCAAGCTTCAAGTTCTTGAACGGGGGAAATGCTGTGCTAGCTTCAACAGTGGGGTCGAAAGCTGTTCGAGATATTTTCCTCGCCACAAACACTGCCAGGTCTGAGTATTATTTACTTGCTACTGGTAAGACTTTCAAGATATCAATGCCTATGACTTATCTTACTAACATAACTCGCAGACCTAGATGTTAAAGCCTCGGGATTCTCATGGGACGTAGCTACCAGAAAAGGGAGCCGTGGGATTGTCATTTGGAAGTCATCTAACTTAGTTGATTGGTCAGAATCGGTACTTCGAACGTATGTATTACCATTTGTACATAGAGACGGGCGTATTCTAATAACTCTTTTATTCTAGGGTCGAATTGGATACCGCGGGCATGGTTTGGGCGCCATCAGCAGTATGGGACGACGAAACCTCCCAGTATTACCTATTCTGGGCTTCGCGGCAATACTCTGCTTCGGATACAAACCATACAGGGTCGGCTACACCTGATGCGATCCGCTACGCAGTTACGAGAGACTTCGTCACCTTCAGTGAGCCACGCGACTACATGGCTCCTGCGAATACCCCCTTGATAGATCAAGAATTCCAATACCTTGGAACGCCAGGAGCCTTCACTCGATTCTACAAGAATGAGACGACCAGCCAGATCTCGCAGGAGATCACTTCCGATGGCCTTTTCGGCACTTGGACCCATGTAGGCGACCATATCGCAACAACCTCTCAACGTGAAGGTCCGGCATCGTTTGCCGACAACGTGACCCCAGGCCTCTACCATCTATTCCTCGATGACTACACGCAGTACATTCCGTACGAAACTACAGACATCAGGTCGGCGGGAAGCTGGAAGCAGTCGAGCACGTCTGGATTCCCTACAGGGTTGAAGCATGGCTCTGTAACACCGTTATCGCAAAAGGAATATGATGCCTTAGCAGCGGCATATCCAGCGTAGGGTATTACGGCCTGGACACTAGGAAATTTTCAAATGTAAAGTGTTTGCTTGTTATCCAAGCACTAACCCAAGTTTTTAACCCTTTCACCTTTCAATCTTTCTTTTGAAAAGGTGTATGTATATGGCAAGCCGACGACTCGTTAACTGGGTCGAGACACATGCTGGTTACATTAATACAGATTGTTACTCAGCCTCTTTGTACGGGGAAGGCGATAGCTAAAATTGAACCATACTAACAGATTTCGGGGAACCTGTGCTATACGACATTCTGATATAGGACATAAGTGCATTATATAAATGCTGGATAACCGCACACAGTTCAGACCTAGGCTTAACAATTACAATAACAGAGAACTATTTATTACATATATCTGGAAATTGACAATAACTGGTTCAGGGGCAACTATTAAGCCATAAAGTAAAGGCTTCAACATTGGCCTGTTACCCCGCGCTCTACCCAAATTCCGCCGTTACATACTGTGCTGCTAGTCCATAACAGCAATCCCTGGCGTGTAATGCATCTTGGCTTCCTTTACGACCTTGATGCCTTCAGCGTGAGGTAGGTACCTAGGTAGGTAACAGGTTTCCACCCGCTCGCAATATTTAGAAAAGTCAAGCTAAGCATTTGAAGCCCAGGGGTCGTTGGAAACCGTTATCATCGACTTTCCCTCTCATTTCTTGCCAACGTACAACTTGGTCGGGTCGACTTCATTCTGCAAAATGTCGAGCGCGGTGGTCGCGATAGCCTTTGGTGGCGTCGCAGCGACATATATATTTCTTTGGGCACTCTTACATCTAACTCAAGACGACAACGAGCCTCCGACAGTCTCTAACTCTATCCCTTTCATCAGTCCCTTGCTCGGTATGGTACGATGGAGTATGGACTTCTACTCGTTCATGAGGTAAGTGACGATCCTTCACCGTGATTAGTGATCAAATAGTGAGATCTAGATAAGACACTGTTAACACTACCGACTGGTAGGAAACGCTATCATGACTTGCCCATATACACTCTGAGGATCCCCGGTGCTCGGATTTATGTCATCAACTCCCTGGATTTTATCCCGGTGGTGCAGCGTCAATGGCGTACCTTAATATTTGCACCCATCCAGGTCAAAGCAGCGCAGGCGGCCATGGGCGTAAGCAAAGACTCAATCGCCATCATGGAACGTGACATGGTCACCGAGTCCGGCTTCGTCAACGGTATGATTAAGGCCACCCATCCTACAACAAGCCACGGCCCGGCGCTGGATGCTTTAAACGCCAAAGCATTCTAGATTTTTGACAATGCTCTAAAAGGGCCAGATGCACCGACGACTATGTCCATGTTCGCGTGGATCGACACACTAATCATGCATGCTACTACGGATGCCGTGTATGGACCATCTAATCCGATGCGAAATGCCTCAAATATCGAGGACTGGCAGTAAGTATCTGCATACCTATCCACCCGCGTAAGTTAAGGTCTATGCGCCAAGGGCTGATCTTAACCACTAGCAAATATCATCCAGCCCTTATGTTTCTCATGTTAGACATTTTCCCACAAAATGTCTTCTTCAGAGGGGCAATACAGAGCCGCGACAATCTTGTCAAAGGCTTCGCAAAGTATTATGAAGACGGTAGCTATAAGCAAGGATCTGCTTATATCCAACAGTTCACCAAACACTGTATTGACCAGAAGATACCCGAAATCGATATCCCACGCCTACTATTAGGCACTGTTTTCAATAACATCGCCAACACCTCTCCATCTGCATTTTGGGTGATTTACCACGTCTTCAGCGACCCAGTTGTCTTGCAAGAGTGTCGCGATGAAGTAAAGCAAGCTGTCCAGGATGACCCGGACGGGACTTCCACAATCCATCTCAGCTTCGTTCTCAACTCATATCCGGTCCTTCTTTCCACATACAACGAAGTTTTCCGCTATCACGGCATGGCCAACTCGGTGCGCGTCGTGTCGGAAGATCATATGCTGGATAATAGGTACCTGCTTAAGAAAGGTGGTCTTGTCATGCTTTCCGCCAGAGTTCAGCACAAAAACCCGGCCGTTTGGGGAGAGAACGTAGACGAGTTCTACCACAAGCGTTTCATGAAGCAGTAAAACGGTAGTGGTAAGCGTATTAACGCCGTTGCCTTCCGTGGATTTGGCGGGGGAACGACGCTTTGCCCTGGACGTCACTTTGCCACAAGCGAGATCTTATTATTGACTACCATGTTGCTACTTCGGTTTGATATCCAACCGGCTGATGGGAAGCCTTGGGTGCTCCCGTCGACCGCCAAGTCATCTCAAGCAGAGGCCATGGAGCAGCCCGACGACGATATCAGTATTAAACTTATACCCCGTCCCGAGGCGAGCGGTCGAACGTGGCGCGTCTCATTCTCGGGACAACAGGGTGCCGAATAACTGGCACAGAAGTAAGTGCACCATATCGGTATCTAGCCAAGATTTAGTCCCAAATCCTGTTCGAATAGTATGTAGCTTAAGATATGTCGATGGAGTATCTACGCTGCTAGATCATTGTGGTTTATTTAGAATCGATTTACTAGATATTGTCGCTTTCGTTTCTCGCTTTCTCGCTTTCGTTTGTCGGGTTCGTTTATGGAAGAGGATAAAGAGTGGGACTGGAGCTGAAAATTAAGCTTAGTGCGGGGTCAGAAATAGAATTACCGCCTTTTCAGCACACGGGCCACCTGCAAGTCAAGTGCTTTAGCGCTAACTTTAATTATTGCGAATAGGGGACTTTGTAGTGGACCTTATGAGGTATGTAAGCAGCAGAAGTTAAAGATGTACCTACATGTAAAACATACCTAAGATTAAACCACCTAAGATTAAAGAAATATTTTACAGTGACGAGATTCCTCAAAAATAGCACACTCGCAGTTCAGAATAAAGACGCTTAGGACAGTAGAGACGAACGCAGAGACGGAAAGAAGATATCACAAATAGTCGAGTTCATCGATACAGCTGCATCTACGAAAATCATCGAGGCCATTTTAGACGGAAATAAGTAGCGTCGTAATGCTTCTTGAATATAGTCTAAAAATAGTTCCAATCAACTACAGGTCATCAGGATCTTCAATGCTATTTGGTAGAGATGTTACTTAAAAGAGCAAGGTAGGTAGGTAGGTATTAGGACACTCGAAATATTACATATGGCAAAACCCACATCTCGTTGAAAATTACCGGTTTAAGTAAAGATTAAGCTATAATCTTTTAAAAGCTTCATATTTTACTATACAAATAGATCAGTATAATAGCATTGAAGATCCTAACCTAGGTTAGTGACCTATACATTTCGACAAATCCACCGGTGGACGGATTTTGCGCCGACGGTAAAGCACAAAGCCCCATTTCAATCCTCCGATTCCAAAGATCCCGTCCGAATTTGTGGGCCACCGACTAGATGCCGAGTTTTTGTGGATGGTCCATGCAGAGCCGGCAGGATTGATGCTTGTTCGCCGCTATTCAGTCGTGGCACAGGTATGCAGGATGAAACCAGCTGAAGATTCATCGCCTATGTAGGGATTATTTACCATCGTGGGTATTTATCAATATACAACCTGTTTTGTATGTTATTTGTATAAATATGGTGGTAATTTCGTCCAAGTTTTTACTCATCATGTCAGCCAAGCTAATAAACACCAACAATCTTATAAGTCAATCATCTGGTTATATATTCAAAGCCTCTGTTTATAAGTCTTTAACATAGATATTCAACTTGAGTGTATACATTTTTATTCCCCTCCTCATAACTTACTATCTCCTATCGACCTCGTTTGAAACAATGACGACCATTCGCAAAGTTGTTATCGCCGAGTTTGGTGATGCCGATGTTGTCAAAGTGGTTGATGACATCTGCCCACCCCCACCACCAGGCCATGTCCAGATAGCAGTTGAATACGCAGCCTTTACTGGCGGCGATGTCAACATGCGAAAGGGTATCTACCCTTTTCAGAAGAGCCCACCTTTCACTCCCGGGTATAGTTTGGTCGGGACCGTCCGCGCCAATGGTGAAGGTTGCAAAGCATTTCAGCCCGGCGATGTTGTAACGATCCTGTCCAAATACGACGCCGAAGCGCAACTTTGCAACCAGCCCGAGAAATACTGCATTAAAGTACCCGATGGCGTCGACCACCAGCAAGCAACGGTGCTGCCGTGCGACTGGAATACGGCATATGCGATGGTTATGGATACGGCAAAGGTTTCGAAGGGTCAAAGTGTGTTTATCCACGGCATCAGCGGGTCCGTCGGTACGGCTCTCATGACTCTGTGCAAATTACAGGGAGCCGAAGTATACGGCACGGCCAGTCAGCGCAACCACGATGACATCCGCGCATACGGCGTCACCCCGTTCGTATACACGGACAAGAAGTGGATGGACAAGATGAAGGAACTTGGGGGTGTGCATGCTGTCTTCGACCCGCTCGGATTCGACAGCTTCGACGAAAGCTTCTCCATTCTGGCACCGGACGGCATACTTGTAGCCTACGGAAACAACGGAAAAGCGCTTGACGGACATAATAAGAGCCCGACGTGCCATATCATAAAAATGTTCGCGCGCGGTCTTAATCCGATGAATAGCAAGCGCACCACCTTCTACGGAGTCTTTCGCCAATCGTCTACGTATAAACCCCACGTCACGACCTTGTTGAACATGGTGAAGGACGGGACCATCAGGGTCCCAATCAAGAAAATTTGGGATTTAGAGGATATTCAGAGCGCGCATCGGGAATGGGGTACCGGGAGCGGGATTGGGTCTCTGCTGATTAGGATTCCTCAAAAGTAAAGCTCATTGGCGAGCTATTTAAAACTCGGGCATTTCTTTTTATTTGGGGGTTCATTCGCGAAGAGCACAATAGCGAAATGTGGTGTTTGATGGTAGCGTTTGATGGTAGCGAGTTGAGTACATGGTTGGATTGGACCTTTGATAAGCTATTGCGATATATATAAGATGCCTGTTATATATAAGATGACTAGGTTACATGTATTTACTTTATAAAGACAAGTGATGGTATATTGTGATAAAAGTGGTTAGTTACAATGGTAGATAAGTGTATAAGTGTCTGGCCGGAGCTAGATGACCCCGATATTTATCCCATTCTGTACCTAAGCAAGCGTGCCTCCATAGGACAGCGGACGTGTGCTTACGAATACTGCGGCGTCTCGGAGTGCCGAAAGTCCGTCTAGCGATCCACTTTCAGTAGACCAATAAACCTGAATGGTTAAGAAATAATTAACAGGTACATGTAACTAGCGAAATAATACCGTCGAACTATTCACTTATAAACTTAGAATGATTAGAAATACCTTATAGATACACGCGTGGCGATAGACGATTCTATTACTCAGAGTGGTACAGTGGATGACCGCCTCATATGTACGTAGACGCAATATATGTATATAACTGGCCTATGTACATGTAAGTCTGTTACTCAACTACAACCTTTCTTTCCATCCATATATCAAATATACCACAATGTCAAAACCTTCATTCGCCAACCCGACAATCCCTCGGGGTTCTACCGTTCTCGTTACTGGCGCCAATGGTTTAATTGCTTCTCATGCCGTCGATCGACTCCTAGAAGCAGGCTACAATGTCCGAGGCACCGTTCGCAACCCTTCAAAGTGCACGTGGATGGTGCCGTTATTCGCATCGCGTCATCCATCAAGCCGGTTAGAGATCGTGCAGGTCTCGGACTTCGGTGCGCCCGGCGCATGGAATGACGTTGTCAAAGGTGTCGCCGCCGTTGTAGCCGTAGCTGGTGGTGTAGGCATAGCAGTGTCGGATATCGACAAGGCGCTCGAAGAGGAGGTGCCGTGGAATGAAGCGCTCCTGCAGGCAGCGAAGAACGAATCTACCATCAAGGCATTTGTCTATACAAGTAGTGCATGGGCAACATGGACACCAGATCCCACCAAGAAGGTCAAATTGACGGAATGGACTTATAATGAAGATGCCGTGCGAATAGTCCGGAGCGACGCTACTCCTGAGGAAAAAGGAATCCGGCCGTATATGGCATTTAAAGCATTGCTTGAGCAGTGGATTTGGGACTGGGTTAAAAGAGAGAACCCGTCTTTCACCTTCAACACAATTCTCCCCGAAACAGTTATCGGCGAATGTCTAGACCCCGAGAATCAGGGCATCTTAAGCACATGCGGCATGGTGAAGTCACTCTACGAGAGCAAGAACCTAGAGGTTCTATCAATGTTACCGCCCCAATGGGCTTCTGACACGCGCGACACCGGCTTGCTTTACGTAGCGGCCCTGATCACTCCCGGGATAGACAGGGAGAGGCTTTATCCGTGGAGCGACCGGTATAGCTGGCCTAGGATTGCCCAGATTCTGAAGAAGCTGTATCCGCAGAAGGATATCCCGGTCTTGGAGGATGACGGATGGGATCAGACGGAAGTGCCGAATGAGAGGGCTGCAGAATTGCTGCGCGGCTTAGGCCAGGATAGGTGGACCAGTCTTGAGGAGAGTGTGAAGGCTTGTGCGAAAGGCTTCGTGAAGGATTGATCGCACATTGATATGGCCATGGCAAACTTTTAATGAAGAGATTGAGAATATGATATTTAAACATATAAGCATGTCCTTAAGGTTAAAGAAGATGATTTCGCTAAGCCGGACAAGTATGCATGGCAAAAGAAGATGAATTATTTTCGTTAATCCTGCCTATATTTAGATACTACCTATGAACCCCCCCTTTTACTTACGCAGCCTTCAGCACTATCTCCGCCCCCTTAAGTCCATCCGCCTCTGCACGAACTATAATATCTCCAGAACCCCCCGATTCCGAACGTACAACAGCAAGGGCAAGTCCGCTAAAGGCGTCACGCGTCAAGCTCGGAAACTCTGTAAAGTCGGCGGGGTTGCCATTGTCAGTTGATATAATCTCGGCAGGGCCAGAGATGGAGAACGTGATGGCATTGCTGGCTTCAGGTACAATCGTACCGCTCTCGTCGGTAACAGCAACAGTGATAAACGATAGGTCGTGGCCGTCGCCGCGGATTGTCGTGCGGTCCGCTGCGATATTTAGTTTCGCGGGCTCGGTAGCCGTCTTCACCGTATCCTCGGCCCATTTAGCACCGTCTTTATACGTGGCGACGTGCAGCTCGCCCGGCGCATAGGTAACGTTATCCCATCGGAAGCGGTAGTTAGATGGTTCTCTTTGGAGTTTACCGGCGGATTTTCCGTTGACGAATAGTTCGGCCTCGTCGGCGCCTGAGAACACGTGGACTGGAGTTACTTCGCCGACACGGCTGGGCCAGGTCCAGTGAGGTAGGATGTGCGCCATAGGGCTGGAACTATGTTAGTAGCTACTTAATCAAGGAGGGTATATTACATGAAGGGCTCATCATGGGTTTGCCTGCTTGTTAATATAAGCAGCAAGACATGAATCTTTTAAGGGATATCGAGGAGCTTGCTTTACGTACTATCAACCGGTCAGTTCATATACCACGAAGAAATAGTGCCCAATAAACGCCAAGGGCAAGCAGAAATATAATGGATGTGCTTACCAAATCAGGGCGCCAACGGGCTTGGTACAGGTAGAAACGGTCCTTCTTAAACCCAGCAAGATCAATGATTCCGAAGTAAGAACTACGGGCCTCGGTGTCGAACGGGGTTGGCTCGCCCAGATAGTCCCACCCAGTCCACACGAACTCGCCCGCAGCATAGGGGAATCTATCCTGCATTCCAAACACCTTGTCTGGCGACGAGCCCCAGGAGACAGCGTACAGCTCGTACGCACTAACGAATAGCGTCGTGGGATCCGAGCCCGCATTGTCGCCGACAGTCGTGCTATTAGCGCTCGTTACCGGGAATATGTAAGTCCCGCGCGAGCTGACGCCCGACGAGCTCTCGGTGCTCCAAAGCACCTTTTCGGGGTACGTAGAGTGGTAGCTCGGGTACGCCGAGTCGAACGATGTGCCGCGGCCCTCGCCCTGGTAGTTCAAGCCGGGGATATCGACGGCGTCGGAGAACTCGCTGCCAGCCTTTGCGTTGTTGATGCCGGCGCTGACTTGTCGCGTTGGGTCCTCTTCCTTTATGATGCCGTGGAGTTCGCGGGCTGTTGCGCCGCCGGAAGAAGTTGCTTGCTCGACGATTTCGTTGCCGAAGCTCCAGGCTATGATGGAGGGGTCTAAGATAGAAAGGGTCAGCTAAGTTTTCATAATCTTCTTTCGCTGCCATCGTAAGAATATTCATACGAGTCTAATATGACTTGGAGACCAAACAGCTAGGCATATACTACTTTTTAAATAGGATGGAAATTCGAATTTAAAATGGTTCTAGGTGGTACTTACGGTTACGGTCACGTCGGATGAAGTTGCGGAGATCCGGCTCGTGCCACTCGTCGAAATATACGTGGTAGTCATCCTCGATCTTTTGCTGCTTCCAGACGTCGAAGATTTCATCCAAGACCAAAAAGCCGTACGTATCCGCCAAGTCAAGCAGCTCAGGGGCAGGTGGGTTGTGAGACATTCGAAGTGTATTGCAGCCCATCTCCTGCAGCAGATCTAGCTGACGCTCAGCTGCTCTGAGGTTGAATGCAGCGCCGATCGAGCCGTGGTCGTGGTGGTTGTTGGTGCCTTGGATGTAAACTCTCTTACCGTTTACATGAATTCCCGTGTTGGCGTCGTAGGTGATATATCGGATACCAAAGCGCGTCTCATGGGTGTCGATGACGGTACCATTAGAGAGAAGCCTCGTAATGGCGACGTAGAGGTTAGGTTCTTGATCCGGCTTAGGTCCCCAGAGTCGTGGATTTTCTACCGTCACCGAAGCATTCACAGACTTTTTGCTGCTGGTTGCTACGCTTGCAGTTGACTGTGGGAAGGATGCAATCACGCCTACCCCAGCTTTCCCGGTCGCAGCGTCGAAGACGTATATGTCGGTCTTTACCTCCACCTGGCGACTGGAATTCCCCTTGTTTTCAATCTCAACGGTTAGGTCGACATCGGCCGATTCTGCAGACACAACAGGGGTCGTAATATACGTGCCATATTGCCCAATATGAGTCTGATCAACCTTAACAAGCCAAATATTGCGGTAGAGACCAGCACCGGGGTACCAACGTGAGAAGTTCAAAGGGTTGTCGATTCGAATCGCTAGCAGGTTCTCTCCAGCTTTTACATACGGAGTAAGGTCTAAACGGAAAGAATTATACCCATAAGGCCATCCACCAATAATTTGACCGTTAATCCATATTGCAGAATTAGACATGGCGCCATCGATATCCAAGAAAATGGACTTGTCGGCGTCGCTTGGCGATATTGTCAGATTGCGACGATACCATCCTACACCGTTGATAGGCAAAGCCCCCATGCTATTAGGAATTCCTGGCGCATGGAAAGGACCCTTAATGGCCCAATCGTGCGGAACGTTTACAGTCTCCCACTCGCTATCATCGAATGACGCTTGCACATACTTGACGTCGCCGCCCAGGGCGGTTTTCGCAGGACGTTCATGCTTAGCACCATTGACGATGAAGTCGTTGCCGGAAGGGAGAATCCATTCCTTTAATATGTCGTATGACAACGAATCTGGATTTGATTCGAACCGAGAAAAGCGCCAGCCCTCGTTAACGCTAACGCGCTCACGGCCTACCGATGCGACTTGATATTCGTTAGACAGTCTCCTAACGACACCCGCTTCGGTAACTGAAGGATATCCTAACAGCAGGAGTCCCGATAGGAGCAGCCCGCAGGCATTGTACACCGTTCGCGCAAGTGGCGCCATGTTGCGATGTGCGTGGACAATAAAACAAATTGACCTACCTTGGACTCTTAGTTATAGAGTGAGAACTTGCTCCGCACAGGTAAACCGGAACTCCATTCTCGGTGAGAAACTAGACCGCTACAGCTACGGCGCCGAGGAACCCAAGAAATAAAACTTGAAAAAATCCCAGTCTATCATCCGATGAGAACCGAATTTGGATACCAATTCCTCGGGACCCGGGTTATTTCTAGTCGAATAGCCGGAAAGCAAGCCACGGGAGTTCAGGCCTCTTCTTGCTTAAACATCTTCATTTAGCCTACGATTGGTGGGAATATCACATTAAATGGTACGATTATAACAGGGATTAGATCATATGAGGTAATCCCCACATTAGCTAGATGGTACCTTGCATGCGAATGGTCGATTATGCGGTGGGAGGACTATGATGGTTGATGTTACTCTTGTAGTGTACGCAAGCTCCCCAACCCCTTAAATGGAGAGCTTACGTACACTACACAAGTAAAGAAAATAGATGTCATTTTATTATCAATAAGGAGAATTTATGATTGCTGTTAACAAAAGGATTGATTGCATCCAGACTGTTATGCTCGGAGTTAGAGAGACAAGCGAAGTTCGAGTCAACTTCATTGAAAATTATTAACTATACCTAGTAGAACAAGATATATACATTAATAATCGCGTCTAATAACCAAATGTTTACGTTTTATTACAAAGCGTTTCGTTTATGGGTCTTTACTATATACTATGAATCTCACTGTAATATGGTTTGAGTAACTGGAGGTTATAATAGAGGATGATAGGTAAGATTCTCCGGTGTGCATCTTTAAGAGCCTCAGTAAATAGATACTACCTACCTAAGTATTCGAGCAAACGAAGACTTTGTGTTAACAAGAAGTAAATCCTATGAATTAGACATAATGACTGTTTTGTCACATAACAAATCTATTATATTGTAAAGAATAAGCAAGACAATGAGACAAAGCCGTATAAACATCATGGCACCCAGAATTCATAACCGCAAAATGCGCGTATTGGATTTACGTCGTTTAATTGAGTTGCAGGTTTCGTCTAAAATTGCCAGCAAATTCAAACAACTAATAACCATGTATCCTTGGATCAATTCTCGTGGAGGCAATAATGGTGGCGGCGGTGGTAGTAACTCATGGGGAAGTGGAAGAGGTGGCCCCTGGCGAGGCGGAGGAGGAGGAAGAGGCGAAGGTGGTGGTGGTAGAGGTACTCCCTGGGGAGGAGGCGGCAGTTGGGCAACCGAGAAGAGCCCAGAAGAAGAAGAGTCCGAAAAAACTCTCGACGCAATAAGGGAGTTGTTTAGAAACGATACTCGCTTTACATGCGAAAACCCACTCGGAGATATTCATAACGGCGCAGCGATGATTATCAAGGAGGAGTGTACTGTGGAAGGGCAACCGAGGGTACGAAGATTCGTCGTTAAGGCTGGAATATCCGGCGCCCATCACAGCGTCAGAAAGGAGACGCGGCACTTAAATGTGAGTCTGTTAAACTTAAGCAGCTTAATCCTTGCTTGCTACTGTTTGCTAATATTGTCGTAGAGTCTCGCCTTCGCAGAGCACATACCTCGTATTATCGCATTCCAAGATCATCCACTTATGAACCTCGGGGTTCCCCTTTTCGTTTCGGAGTATCTAGAGCACGGGACTCTAAGCCGATTCCAGGAGAGATTAAGAAGAGCAGACCAAGTCTTACCAAATCGTATTCTATGGTCTATATTCCTCTGCCGTAAGACCGAACTTGAACTATTGTCGACGTGGGCTAATTGGTACATAGTAATACGCGCATGCATAGGAATGGCTTGGCCTCCACCCGGTCCAAATGTAGAGCCAGAGCAAACTAGACCAGACGATCCGACGACACTCGCACATAACGACATGCATAACGAAAATCGTGAGTGACCTTTTGCTTATTCTTAATGTCTTTGGCTTTATGAAGCTCGTAGCTAATTTTTCTTAGTTGTCTTTGGAGACCTAGACGTGGTTTCGATCGAACCTAACTCGAGCGACCATTCCCTCATGCCAATACTGAAACTAATCAACTTTGGTGAGTCGGTTGAATTGCCTGAAGGGACTGACGAATACCGTTTAAATGAGACCCATGTTAACCAGCACGATAGGGCGTTGAATCTAGCAGCACAGTAAGTATATTAAATGATTTTACGTATCATGGATCACCATCACTAATCTAAATCTATAATCGACTAGAGAGGTATAGCAGACGTAATAGGAGTACAGACAAGAACGTATTAGATGTAGGGGTCGTAAGTCACCCTCCCTATCCTCACTTTAATCGGACCGTCTTAACTAACAACACAAAATGATAGAATATGAGCCAAATTATTTCTCAACGTAGATCAGTTTTCCCCAACGAAGCCCGCGCACTAATCCGAGACCCCGATATCCACCCCAGCCTCGATCCAGACCTCCGGTTGTTAGTCCAAAGGTGTATTGCTGTTGACCCTCTCAACAGGCCCACGTTGGATGAGTTGATGGAATTGTTTAACAATTCCTACTTTAACAGGCCTGCAAGTTACTATGGCGCCGCTGGGGAAGGAGATGGGCTCGAGTCTGACGAAACTATAAGGAAGATAGTTTCCACATACATCTTGAGCGCTGATACATCATAAGTTGGATCAGGATGGTGATATTGTTCACTAGGTAAGACCTTAGCCGGGATAAACTAACTCGAAATTGGTGAGATTGATTTTATAATGTAAGTTCAGCTCATGTCAAACCGACTATCGATTAAGACGTGGCCAAGTTTTGGTAACTCGAAACTGAACCATCGGTTGGTACCTAATAGGCATATGGATCTAGGTAGTCCTATTATTACTTTAAAACATTTCAATGAGTTTACCAACAATATAAATGTCCTTGTCAGTAGTTCAAATCCCTTTGTTAAGCAAGTAAACCATAGCCCTGAGAAACACTGTGAAAACAATCTGGAATCCAATCAGCACACGACATTCAAGAGTCTTTGCAAAGTAACATACTCGCTCATTTCCTCATCGTTTCAACTATATTATTTCTTATAAAGCCCGCGTACGATCGGTGCCTAAGACTTTATATGACAAATAAAGTGTAATATAAACACGATAACAAATGGTGAGATGAAAATAAGGTGTTTTATAAGCGCGACAAGAACTATTGTAGCAAAGATAAATAATTGCTCTCTGCTACCGTCTTCAAACCCTATAAGCCATCAATACAACCGCAGGTGCGAAGATGGATATGAATACTGCTGTTTCTATTAACCAGCTGAGCTAGTAACTAAACCTGATAGTAGTAATAATACTATAAAAACTATTCAACAACACAAACCAAAAAAAAAAGACTGCCTTCCAATGGGTTAGGTTAGTGGACTATTATGTACCTTAGGTAGTTGAGGTCAGCGGCTTTTGATAATCGGCTGTGACGTCACTCGGATTTATGCAGCAACATGACGTCAACGCGTGGAAATATATTGAATAAAATACAATAAATAAAGCATCGATCAGAGCATGAGCACAACTTAACTACTCCCACATTACAGACATTTATTAGAAAAATAAGATTGACCAATCGAAACCTTTATTACATATATAAAGATATTGCCCAAAGGGTAAACAACTTTATTCTATTAGCATAATGGCTTCCACCGGAAACCCAACCAACGGCCTCCAGAGAGAGGCGCAAATTCAGTCATCAGGAGCTGGAAAGAGCACCGTTACCACCGACGGCTCTGTGGTTACCTCCTCCGACCCTACCACCAACCCGTCCGCCAGTGTCGGCCAGAAGCTCAAAGGCGACGTAAGCGGCGCCATCAGTGGAAGCATCGGAAGCATTCAAGCCGCTACAGGCTCACTTCTGAGGAACAAGGAGTTGCAAGAGAAAGGCACGACGAAGATGCAGGAAGAAGACGAGCGGTTAGGTGCGAAGCGAGGCGTCATGCCGGTAGGTTCAGGACAGAGGCACACTAAAGGGGATGTTTGAATGTTTGAATGTGTGAAGTTATGGACCGTGTTTTTGATACGTTAGTCCGGATCGCCGCATAAATTGTACGAATATAGATGGTTTATAGGAGGTTTAAGCTAAATCCTTTTCCGAGTCCCATATTATATTAGTTTGCTGTTATCAAGGAAATGTGATTAGGAACCTATAGGTACAGAGATTTACCACTATTGATTTAGTTACTCTCACGGAGTTAGCCTCATAAACTTGGCTCATTGTATTACATAATCAGCTGAACCTCCATAAGGCGATATCTGGCACCTTATATTATTGATCGTATTTCTACACGAGTGTTAATAATCCAAAAAGGAGATATTAAACATCTTCCACTTTTCCGCGCCTTAAAGGCTTGTAATGAATTTCCCACTTATTTAATATGACACTGATAGTTGTAGTGTATGAGTGTCGAGATATGAGCGTTAGGGTATAAGTGGGTTAGGGGTAGTCCCCGGGGTAAATATACTAGTTATATTAAGGGCGCACTATGCCCTCATAACAGTGTACAATATTATATGATAGCTGCTACAGGAGCTATGATGCTATCTGGTTCTATTGGCTAACCCTATGATCCAGTCCTCCAGCTAGAATATAACTTTATAACACGATATAAGTACCTGATGTTCTGGGCTCCTCAAGGCATCCGTCATAATAGATAGATGATACCTTTTAATTTCAGCCTCATTATATGTGGTGGCCATAAATGGGGAACCGGTTTTGTCTCTGTTGGCGCGAAAACCAAAAATATCTCCTTCCCCGGTATGGATTAACGTTGAGTGTTCATGAACTGGCATCAAGATTATAGCTCCAGCGACTACACCACTGAGCCATGGCCCATTAGTCTGTCCCGGCTTGTTAGAATCCAGGTACGTAATTGTAGTATATAACCATACCTTGGGTAGGTACCTTAGGTACCTAGGTAGCCTAGGTGGGACATGGCAAAATGACATTGTCATGACAACTTGTCACTCTAGTCATTCATTGGCCCGGCAACCGGTCACTGGTCACCCCCCTCATCCTGTCTTTTATTATATGGACATATGATTAGGTTCGCAAGATTGCAACTACGCGTTTTACTATCACACGAGAAGGATATTCCAAAATCATTATAGATCATGAATTACACCATTAACAATCCAGAAGACATATTTCATAATACCTTTAAGAGGACCATAAGTTTTTATAGTGACCTACATGTGCCCATGGAAGTTAAGCACCAATGTACATATGTAAAATGTAAATAGGAATCACTGTTGGTGTTAGGTAAAAAGCACTTGAGATACATTGCTATTTGATACATGTATGTCCATTTGCATGTCCATTGCCCTTTTCCTGAGTATGTACGTACCTACCTAAGGTACTTAGGTACGGATTGGAAAGTGGCTTCCTAAAACTAAATTTGACCTAAGGTAGTAATAGCGACCGATTGAAATTGTAGTCGAAAGGAACTGCCTAAGGAACTGCCTTATTTAAATACTATTCGATCCAGCGAGTCTGTTAAATTAGAATTCTCCTCTTAGCATCCTCTGTTTCTAACGACCCTCACAACTTGGAAAATGTAAGTACCTATACCCTTATGAAAATGTCACGGCACTTATTATCCTCGCACTTTCTATCCTTTTCTCTTTTCCCCATTTCTTACTTACACTTCCACTTCCATTACATTCCATACGGCACATCAGCTCTTGAGAGATATGGGTTTGAAACATCATTCTTCAGCAGCACGAGAAACTCTCGATACTTAATAACTTAGTTAAACAATATTTCTAGGTTAAGTAACTATATCTATTTTAACAGGTCGACTTCCAATATGGATGTACCAAGTAGAAAGAGAAAGAGAAAAGTGCCTCGGATCTCCTTGATAGAGACCGAGGGAGATGCTTTCCCATTAAGCCAAAACACAATTACAAAATCCGGATTCAAAGAGTTATTTACCTTTGCTAGCTGTGAGGTAGAACCATCTGACCCGAACGAAAATCATCCAGAACTTGGGAAGCGTATGAGGCAAGAGGATACTGAATCGCAAACTCATTCAGAGGGAAAACGTATCAAACGAACGGACACCGGAACAGAAGCCGAATCTGGAACTTGGACCCAACTAACCCAGTGTGCCTTCTCTTTGGCTAATCACGTTCCTTCCACTACTCCTACGGGTGTTTCTTCGCTAATTCCCATGCACTACAAAGCTCCTTTACCATTACAGAGCGCCACACAATGTTCCCCTCAGAACCAAAATACTATGTTGACCCATGCTCCAGGTTCACGTATTCTGATCCTTCCCGGTAAGTAATTATCAGTATTAATATTATTCTATTTACATTTTAGAAAAGACTTTTTTTTCTATAACTAGTAGCACATATAGGCCATCTGCCTAACAGTACAAAGTTGCCTCTAAACAACCGTGAAGCCAAGGTCCCCGATTACTACAATATGGACCGACCGTACCTTGCATTTGATAGTCTGTGCCGAGCAGCTTTGGAAAATGAAAAATTAATGGCCATCAAGTCAGCAGCCTTCGTTACCGACATCGATACGATATGGGGTCTCTTCGCCACTTTGAAAGGTGTAGGTACTCCTTATGACAGCCTCAACCACAAGCAGAAACAAACTAAGGGGATATGCCTGGCGGTTCACGTAGTGAACGGTACCATATTTATGAAGATAGTCAACAGCCATCATGTCGATGGCAATCACCACTTCAAGGCCGCAACATACCATCTGAACAAAAATGGTCCCCAATGGTGCTGGAGTCCATGTGTTAATGATGAGAGTAACAAAACAAATGAGCTCAACAATTTTAAGCGTATCATGTCATACGAGTTTAGTGGTTTAACTATGGTAGTTGAGGATCCTTACCAGACACTCATGGCTCCCCATTGTTGCGGGGGAATATCTAAGCAGGATTTGAAAGTTCAGGATGGTTGGAGTTAGGAAACTGCCCATCCTAACGAAGATCCCACCAAGAATGGTCCACCGTACGATGTTTACCATCAAAAAGCGGCCGTCAGTCACAGAGGAATGATAGTCTTTGCAAGCAAAAGGGAAATACCCGCCATGCCATACCTGAAGAACATCGGATTAATGTGCCGTTTGTGGCTGTCACAAAGTCGAATGGCTATGGTATTCCCCTACGAAATATCTGGGAAGAATGTTGTGTTCTTGGACCGTACTGAGCTATTTGATTCCGAGTCAGTAGTGGAAGACTCTGGCAACTCTAGGGAGGATTTCGAGAAGAACTCTGGGCAGAAGTCAACACTCGATATTTGGTCAGAGCAGACAGACATTTAGAAGACACTCAAGCTTCTCCACCGCCTCTTACAGCATGTGAAGCAAATGGCTGAGACCATGCAGAGCCAGGGCGTCTACACGTTTGCCTTGAAGCAACTACGTAAGAGTGATGTGGTACTAAGTGTTGAGACAAAGGAAAGCCGCTCCGCGCATTTGGTGATTGATCTAATATCGCCGAAGGTTCAGCATGATCTTAGCTAGGTCCGGGACGACGACGAAACTGGAGGTGTTGATGCGGAAGTTGACCATGAGACGAGGGATAGGGGCGAAACGGCAGAGAACCAGAAAGGAAGTGATGGTGAGAATGGAGACGATGACTGAGGGGTGATAATTAAAACAACTGATGAAACTACAAGTTTATAAACTCTATTAGGTATAATCTATTTTCACTTAGTCCCCCTCAAACACAAAGCACTTCTTTATTTGGAATCCTGTGAATTCATTTTTCTATTGCTTACCTTAACCCTACGATAAAACATAATAAAATGGCAAGGTTTAATGATCCTTATACAGTCTAACCATAGATAAAACAGGTACTTCCTCCCTATCCCGCTATCTGGGTTTCTTCAACCATGGTAATAAGGTGCTTATATCATAATACATTGTAGCGATCTCCAGACAGCGAGGATCATGGACGGTGTTAGGTAGATCGGAAAAGTAAAATAATATCGAAAATCTTACAAAGTGCTGTGAGATTTCAGAGTCGAACGTTTCTACTTACACGAAATTACCCCTGACACAATGACCCCATTTTAGCCGACTCGAAAGCAACTACTTAGGAAACGGGCCCCTTAAAAGGACTTCTGGTTGATTCGAAGAAGCTATCCTTAATAGTAAGTTAATTACCATTATTATATCGACAATATCTACCTACCTATGTAAGATTAAATGACAACGAATATCAAGTTACTATGTAGCCAATGAAATTACCCTGCGAGGAGCTCCCGGGAGCTCTCCACAATGATGTAAACAACAAGACAAAGAGGCGTTGAATTTCGTCATGACTCGCCCACATTGAGCTCTGCTTTGCTATTCAACAAGGTAGCAATCTGTTGATACAAGAACCGGACGCTCCTATCCGCTCCAGCCAAAATGTGCCCTTGGGTTTTGATGAAAACACCGAGACGTCATGATCTCACCAGTCGCCCGAGGCATCTCCCACCATAAGAAGCCGCTGGCTGGCATCGCTCTTCGAGCTGGTGCTCTACTCAATTACTCACCAGCGCTTTGTGCAACACCACAACTCTTCTTACAACCACAACAGCCGCAGTTCTTTAGATCAGCACATCCACTCCAGATAGTCAGAATGGCGTCAAACAGCCGCAACGAGCCCTTCACCCGCGACAAGCTCTTCGACCTAAAAGGGCACGTAGCGCTCGTGACGGGCGGCGGCTCGGGCATCGGACTAATGGCGACGCAGGCGCTCGTCGCCAACGGCGCCAAGGTGTACATCACGGGGCGGACCAAGGCAAAGCTCGACCGCGTCGCCGAGCTGTACTCGCAGGGCAAAGACTCCATCGTGCCTATTACGTGCGACGTCACGGACAAGAGCCAAATCGCGAGCCTAGCTAAGGACATATCGTCGCGCGAGGAGTGTCTGTGCATCCTGGTCAACAACGCGGGCATCAGCGGCGCGACGATGCAGACCGAGGCCGGCTCGGCCGAGGAGATGAAAGAGAACCTGTTCGATAACGAGAAGTCGACGATGGAGGACTGGACGGATGTGTACCGCACCAACGTCGCGCAGGTCTTCTTCGCGACCACGGCGTTCTTGCCGCTGCTGGAGAAGTCGTCGAAGCGCTTCCCTGGCTGGTCGGGCACTGTGATTAATATCTCGTCGATCAGCGGCCTGGTCAAGACTGCGCAGCACCACTTCGCGTACAACGCGTCGAAAGGTGCTGCAATCCACTTGACCAGGATGTTGGCATCCGAGGTGGCGGCTAACAAGCTGAAGATCCGTATCAACTCGATAGCGCCGGGCGTCTTCCCCAGCGAGAGTAAGTGGCGTTCTCAATTGTTTAATCTTGGGCGTTTCTGTGCGATGCGGGAGCTAACTAGATGCTCCAGTGACTACCGACGGCAGCAATCAAGGCCAGAAGAGCCACATCGACAAGGAAAAGTACGAGAGCAAGGTGCCGGCAGGTCGTCCCGGGAAGGACGACGACATGGCGCAGGCGGTGCTGTTCTTCGCCGCGAACCAATATTTGAACGGCCAGACCGTTGTAGTAGATGGCGGGTATACGCTCGCAGCTGGAGAATAGAATAAAATCAGGGATTATTACCAAAAGGAGGGTATACTGTTATTAAGGGGATGGCGTTCATGTGTAAGTTCTAAAGAGGTACTTATATACCTAGGTATATATATATATATATATATATGTTGGTATAAGGAAGATACAAATTGAACCAATCAAATAGTCCGTTAGAACCAATACATGTATGTATGTATTATACGAACACCTGGAGCAGCGCCCCGAGTATGATTATATATAACTTAGGTAGTTTGCACAATCCAAAGATCGATCTCGTCGTATTCTCAAGCAAAGTCGAAATCCCAAAACACCTACTCAAACGAACCCTTCTTATATATCCCCCGTATCCCCCCTATAGTTCAACTATCCTACAATGCAACGTACACAAAAACAATTATTCCCATCCCCGCCAAGCCATGCAAGGACGGTGCCGTCGCATCGAGCTTATCTAAACCCGCGTCCTTGGCTACATTGCGCCGCTCGCAGATCCGATCTGCTGCTGCTGCTGCGACGCAATAGCGAGGCGTAGATATAGCCACGACTGATGTCATGTCATGTCACCATACAATTGTTCCGCTTGGGAAACGCAGCGTTCCCGGGGAGTTCGATGGGACGCACCGCGCGCATGCGGCCTATAATCGCTCGATACCGGATAGTCTTGACGGACGGCGCGATCCATTTTGTTTTGCTTCTATATATCCTTTTTGTCTTATCAATGTCCAAAACGGGGGGGTTACCTAGATCGTTGAGCTATAATCTATTGCTTTTTATTACCTACCCCAGTCAAAGTCGACTTTGCAGGGATTGAGCATTTGTTGTTTTAACTATTTAAACATGCAAAGAGCTATGCTTTAAATACCTAGGTACGTAGGTAGTTATGTAGTATTTAAACCTAATCTAAACCTAATCTTTAATCATAACCTTCGTCTCTAAGCTATAACCTAGTTAGTAACAATAAAGATATGTATCCAGTAATAGGATAATCCATGTCCCATCAGCGTTACTAATCCATGTCCGGCTACGATGTGACGCGGCAGCCCATTGCGGGGCCCCGTCCGTCGAAAAGATCCACGTAGGTACCTACTTACCTAGGTACCTACCTACCTAGGTACCTATATATGTAGTACATATGTACCTTATATGCGCTGCGCTGCACCGCGCTGCGTTACCCAAAAACCCTAACCCGTAATACACACTCCACGGAACTAGGCGCGATACGTAAGCAACTGTAACCCAGCCCACGTATTATGTAGCTGTAGGCTGACCTCACACTGCAGCGGAAGCCGGAGTGAGAATTAGATGGCGTACGATACGAACCGAGATTTGGAATGTCCAGGAATATATTTTACATACCTATACATACATACCTAAGGACATACATAGGTACCTACCTAAGGTGTCCGGGTAACAATGTGACATCACTAAAAAAAACATTTCCGAACTAAAAAGATCTACGTCCCGAATCCCACTTCAACGGTGCTGATCCGGTAGACGGCAAGGCGGCACGCCAACGACGCTAGGTTAAAGACAAGTCGACAGGGGCGGGGATTACAGCTTCGTAGCGTGTACCATAGGGCTGGGACGTGGATGGCGCAGATTTGACCTCGAGACTTGGCCCTGGCGTGTATTCCTGTCGCGTACACCTGTCGCTTGGTAATTATCACACCCTATAGAAATTAGCATCATATTTTATAAGTTGCTTCTAAATCACGTAAATATTTCGGTATGCTTGTTTAGAGCGATATAGGTAGTAGTAGGATGAGACTGTATATTCGGTTGGGAACTGACTACCAAACCGGTGATAATATCACAGACGACGCAACCATAGAAGCAGACCGTAGCAGTACCACACAAAGACAAATATTGCCAAGTATTTGAGGAATACCCAAATAACTAGGTAGCATTTCAAAACTTTGCTGTGGGTTTACCTGCTGGTGCGCATCTCTGTCAATTGTCTGCTAAGAAGCTCATTCTGCCCATGAAAATAAACCAAGGTCCATCCCACTCTGTTAGGCCAATATAACGCCACACATAATGCAAAGGTTTCCTCAATGGGGGAAAACCCAATCTGACCGAGGCCCCAACCAATGAACCGACCGACCAATAGACCAACCGACCTTCCGACCTCTCCTAAACTGGAAGAAACATGTGTGGAGTGGGGGGTAATCATAGGGGTATGAACCTGCTCACTCCGGGTATCATTGCAATCCCGTTATGCTGTGTATCAATGAAAACCAAGTCTCTCTTCCGTGATCTGATACCGTTGATGAGTTGACGTCTGTGAAACAAGTAGAACCGAGTGAACAAAATGAAAAATGTATCTCTGAGACCAATCCGATGGTCGTAATGCAACCGCCGATAACCGGGAAACTGAAGCCTAATCGAAACCAATATGCACAAACCCTTAGAAACTAGAGCCCGAAAGACCCGACAATGCTATACGTGGGCTAGGTTACCCCTAGATGATTCGATCCATGCCAATGGATCATGGCTCGGGGAATTCGTTGATCAATTACATGAAGTCGGCCATCCAGGTCTTCTCAAGCCAGCCGACCTTGTCAAAGGCTGTCCACAACTTGGAGGCTTTGTTGACGTCGATTTTACAGGCCTGCTGTGCATCCGTCTTGCGGAACTCCTTTCCCATCTTAAGACACTCTCGACGACGGATAAACATCCGTCGCTTGCTCGTCAGGTAGGTAGCACAATCGAGTCGCAGATTGGCGGCGAGTGTAATCTCATCAGGGTGCAGGAGGTCACGATGCGGGTCATTGCTTAAATCGATTGGTGTTCCTTTCCAATCCACCTTGAGGCTGTTGGATCGGTCCGGGAGCGAATTCAAAGGAGGGCAGAAGTTGGGAAGTGAGGTAAAATCTTTATCTTCCCGGTTTGGCGCAACTGCACGACGTGGTGAAGGATCAGGCGTCGCGCTTGGTGGGCGATTGGAAGATTGACCCGGGTTCGTCGTTGGATATGATCGAATTGGTCGCGGAGCTGCGGTGTTAGACTGTGTTGCTTTGACTACCTTTGCTGGCTTCACAGTCTTTGCACGCTGTGTCTCCTTTCGAACCTGAGGGAGCTTCGCGGGAAGGATTGGCTTCGGCTGGAGCTTGAACTGATTGTTGCGTGCCCCGGCTCGTCGATCTGCGAGTAAAAGTTCACGTTCACGCTTAAGCCACGCCTTCGGATCCTGTTGGTACTTCGTCATTACCCGAGAGCTGAAGTATAGGATCAGTTCGTAATCCTCTCGCTTGGGTGGGCTCGCATTTCCAAACAGATCCGCCGGTCGTACATTTACATGCTCATCTACAATTCTGCGAACGTCGATAGAGTCGTCTTGACTGAATAATGGTTGTTGCTGTGGTGAGCGAGTAACGTCCTGCGGAGGGTATAGGATAGGGTCCTGCACGGCGGTGCTTGTGGATGGCGCAGGATTGACAGAATGATCATCGGCCTTCGTGGCAGGTGAGATGGGAGGCGAGATGGGCGAAATGGGATGCAGCCGTCGAACATCGGAAATAGTTGGGCCTATAGATTTCGATTCACGTCCATGCGAAAACGAATCGAGTCGAGGAGGCTCAGGAGGCGACATTAGGTTGCTGATATCAAGGGGCTTCTTAAATCCCGACTCTGTTGAAGAGGTGATAGGCGCCATCGCATTCTTATCCATGTTGCGCAAGGAAGCTGAAAGTAAATGAGTTGGGAGCCTGGTGCCGAATGTAGAAAACTTGATACCGGATGTCGACATTGGTTTGTCAGCCATGGACTCTGATGCCAGGCGGGCAATGTGGGCCGATGTGAGCACGAAGTGGCAAACCAGGCGGAAATTCAATCGCGTAGCAATTGATTAATTCGGTGGAATTCGGGGGAAATATCTCGTTGTTAATGCGACCGTGATTGCGGTTGCGATCGCAGTAGATTATTTGTGTGTTGGGAACCAAGTGGAAAGAGTTGAGTTAGGTGTGCTGAGTTGACGGTTCCTAGATAAATACCTAAGGATCGATTTGTTGTTGGAAGCTTAGAGAAGAAGGCAGAGCTAAGTTTCGGAGATAACGTGGCGGCGGAATTAGAATTCCCTCGTCGTCACTAGTGTGGTATTGTCCCAAAGAGTTGGAAAGTTAATTGAGCTGTGGAATGACGAACAATAGGTAGGTAGCTAGGTTATATTTGTATTGTTGTCCTCGTGGCGGCGGCGATTGAGTTGAACGCTGTAAACTGCTAACAAGAGAGCCACCATTTGCGGGGACTGGGTCTGGTCAGGGTGGTCAGGGTGGTCAGGGTAGTCAGGGGTAGCGATTATGTATAAAGGGTTCGACAGACTTGTCTAAACTCCGAGGCCAAGAATGCGCATTGAAGAAGATATAATGAATTGAAATAGTATAGCCACAGGTGGCAAACAATCGTCGGTACTGTGTTTGTGAGCTTTGGTAAGAGCTTTGGTAAGATGAGAATTGAAGGTCGAAACGGAGACGGAGAGGGCAAGTTTGAGAAGTAAAAAGAGGAAGAAGTGTAAACCTAGACAGGTTGGTCCTGGTGGATAGATGAAGTATCTAAGTAGGAGAACGGGTGTGGGAGAAGGACAAAACAGCCTCCCATTAGGCTGGCGACTTTAGAACGGTCTTGTTCTGTGTTTGGGGTCCGTACCTCGTCGGATATAGACGTGGATGCGTTTTGGTGGTGGTGTCGTCAAGGAGTCACACCCCCATCCTCCAATAGTCATCGATGTCAGTCATAGGGCAGGACTAGACAGGGCAGACGCGGCGTGGCGGGCGCAGGGGTGTGCAGCATTTGGCGTTGGCTTTATTTTTGGGACCTGTCCTGCGTGAAGAGACCCAGGAAGTCCAGGAAGTCCATGTCCCCAGGCCGAGTACCCCTAAGTACCTCAGCTGGATTGGTACTTTTATCTTTTATGCTTGGAGGAGTAACTCCACTCCACCCTGGCTTTGATCGGCCACCAACGGGATAGCCTGGTAGTTCAGGTTTGGAGAGAATATTTCTCACCTTCATAGGTATGTCATGTACTGGTGTGCCTTACCTTGGGTTTTGCCGACATAACCCCATCCATCTTCCATCTTTGTTAAGTACGGACACAGGGTTAGGTACAGATCTAATGCCGTGAACAGGATTCGAAGCCGTTCGATTTTTAGGTCAAGATACAGGACGAATGTCAATAAGACCTGTCACATAATTGACAAGTTTTCCAACTCAATTGTATTTCGTAAGGAACGCAATTGGAAGGACAAAAGCTTGATGGCTTTTGCAACGTGATCAGGCTTCAATGGAGAACAGTTGCAAATGTGAAAAGCGTCGTTAGAAAGTGGGGGGCCTCACGGAACATAGAACAGAGAGGGGTGTGTATATTTGTGTGTGTGTGTGGGAGTGTGTGCGGTGCGTGCACCACATACACTCCCACACGAATACAAGTCCCTCGCCAATCTACCACTTGGTGGATTGAACTAGCTGTAGTTGGCATGTGCATGCCTACTGAAGTAATGTCAGGTCTGTTCTAATTTGTATTGAGGGTGCTTCCCCTCTCTTCTAAATAGAAGCCCAACTAGGACATAACAATTTGTCACGCCAACGGATCTTGCAACGCGGGGTCCAATAACACGGACGAATTGGAGTGGCGCAGGTCTCCCGGTTCGCAGGAGAAAAGCTCAACGGGAAGATTGAAAGCTGCAACGCTGGCACGCATAATAAGTTGATGTCGACGGGAATAACCTAGGTGCACAAGATTTCCGCCAGATTAGGCACCGTAACTGACTTAAGTTGGACGAATGCGCCTTTTCCCCGTTTACAAGAGACCCTTCTCAGCGAATTGACCTTTGTGTTTTCCTGGGGAGATCCTGATGCCCAAACTTAAGTACCTTCAAGTGGACCAGAAGTTCGATTGAACATGGCGAATTTGCATCGTGTCACGCAGCGTCTGGCTCGCGTTTCTCCATGGACACTGTATAAGATTCGCAAACCAGGTGTTAAGAAACGGTTGGCCAATTGTTAGGCGTATGAGGTGGGCGATGCCAACTACCAACCAAGGCCATAGCACATTGGTAAATATGAGGTTTTGCAAGCTTCATATCTGATCTATATCTGACATGTCATCGTCCTGTTAGCCAGCAACGCTGCCAAGCCAGGGCTGTACGGAGGGTAGACAAAGATACATGTATATCAGGATCCGACAACTGGAGCTACAATAAACAGGTACATAAGACAACAACATGCGGGCTTTTTGATTGAGGATAATTATGCAAGGAAAAGTTTTATACGAAGAATTAGGAAGCTTAATGATAGGAGATACTTAATTCATTGACTACTCGACTCCATTCTAGCAACTGCCGGCCTTCATTCCCCCCGAGCCGACTTGGGATGATAGAAGGATCCTAGATTTATTGCCAAGGTGGGTAGGTATTAGAGCTGACGCGACCGCGTTTCGATAGCCCAGACACATAGCCGTTATCCGGAGTGCGGGATACCTAGCATAGCATAAAAAGCCAAAACCACCAAAAAAACGAGATGCCATTGCGCGCATTGGCAGAAAACGAGAAATTCGAAAAAGCGGGTTAGGTTAAGCGGATATGGCGGCTATCCAGGAGGGATTCGGGGTTCTGCGTGGAAGTACCTGAAACAGACAATGCCTCTAGAGCCTCTAGACCTCTGGAAGCAAACGCGATTAGAGCAAGTAATTGACCGGTTGACCAGCAGCAAGAAGAGAAAAAACTGCCACCTCAGCGCTATGTAGACCGAAGCAAATGAGGGGATAATCTAGAAAATTGATGAGACGAATTGGCCAATCAAAAGATCAATTGATAGATAAGAGTGTCCATAATTGGGTGGATTTGACTGAGCTGAAGATGCCGAGAAGCCCATTTGTCTGTGAGTCATATAGTGCAAGGACAGTGAAGGCGAAGATGTGAAAGGAATCAGACAAAAAAAGAAAATAAGGGACGTAGAACAATAGCATTACTTAGCAAATTCCAGTACCTAAGAGGAATTACATTATTGAAGAATCGCTTAGCTAACTGTTTAACCTAGGTTAGAAAGAGCCAATGGTCGTTCCTGCTAAGCTTATCATTGGGCAACATGTACTTCAGGTGAAACTATATTACCCTTTAAAGCGTAGCGCTTGATTCATTTTCAAAGCCTAATTAACCTAAAGAATATTCCAAATTCAACAAGCAAGCTTTTATTCAGGTGTCCGGTCGTAAAATGTACTCTTTTCGAGTTTTAAGTACCGCTACTATTCCCCACCCATATCGGTACATGTCATATTAACCACTCACAACTTGTGTCATACGCTAAAGTCACAAGCCACTTCTTACCATACATTTTTATGTACCTCATTAACGGCGTGCGCCCGCGTGGGGCAGACTTACAGATCTGTTTTACACCCAAACCCCAACCTGATGGCGTCCCCAGATCTCGAATGCGCCGATTCTGTAGTAGCTAGGTACCTTTGCCTACCTAGGTACCTAACCTACCTAACCTATCTAACCTATCTAACCTACCTCTACAACATTGGCCATTAACGTGCTGCCTAGAGGTGGCCATGCTTTTGTCAATCACAAAGCAGACCGGCGATAATACTTAACTACCTACCTACCTAGGTACCTACCTTACTTTCCTTGTAGGCATAGTTTTTACGCATGACTTATCGGCGCGGAGTGATGTAGCACAGCCGCAGCAATGCTGACGATGCTCTCTGTTGCCTAGTCTCCTAGATTCGTGGAGTAAGGGATCATTACCCTCGTGGCAATAGCAACACTACATAATACCGATGGTCCGACCTAGGCTGACTAGCTTCTGTCTAATCCTATTTAATTCGTACAATTTGTCAACATGTCAACGTCTTACTCGGACTTTGGCGGACTTATATTATCCACGACAAGCTTCGTACTTATATCGCCATCGATTGACTACCCTAGAGTTTCCCCGACGAATCCGGGACAGCGTCAATTCGAGCTGTCGAATCCCTCTATTAATTAGGCATCCTAGACAATCTATCTACCTGGATAGCCTGCCTCGCCTGATTCTCGACCGTCTGGTCTGCATTCCATTACGTTATGCTTGCCCTAGCTCCGCCTCACATTTCTTATCGTTAGCATTAACATATGACAGATATAAAGCGGGAAGCTGCTCAATGCAGATCCGAAAGCGCCCGAGTTATGAGAGTTGTATGTGAGACGTTCTCGAAGCTTACAGCCTAGGAGTCCTACGAGCTGTTGTACTACATCGTTTCCCGTATGCCTAAGTCAGGTAGGCTTTTTATTAATTCTACTTGCCTCGAGATATCATGGCGTACCCTGCGCAAACGCGCCTGCCGGGATAAGACCTGAATCAAGGGCAACGCTTAACATCTCGTAGCCGTTCTCAACATTCTCATTCAACTATCTTGAGACGAAAAAGCAAGCCTCGTACTATTATTTATATTACAGGCATTCGTGACTCATAAAATGAGCGAAGTGAGCTTCCGGTATAGTTAACGTTATATCAATTGATATTTACGATGGCGGCTCTAGTCGTGAATCAATTATGGCCAACCAATTCTCTACGACTTACGAGAGCATAGTATGTATGTACTTTGCTCAATTTAATTGGCTACGACAGGCTGATTATTCCTTAATTGAGACCCAATTGCCGGTATAACTACAATACTCGATCTTAGCAAATGGCTTAGCAAATAGCGGTACGCAAGCCGAGGCCGCATATGTCGCACAGTTATCGCCTCACTCGAGATGAAGCAGGCAAGCAGTTGATTCTGCCTTTAAGTACCGAAAACGATATAATGTGTCAAGTCCAGCCGAGCGTAAAAGCAGATGCCTAAAAGCAATTGCCTGACGATATTTTCAATTAAAGCTGCACGACTTGAACAACTCCAATTAGTCGATATTGATTACCATCCGAGATACGGCAGCGTGACTGGCGCATTCACGCTTATTGCCTACTTAGAAAGAGGCAATATTGAAAACCCAAGGTATCATCTATACACAACAATATGCAGTCACGTATCCAGGGATCAAGGCACATTATCAACATTTCACGTACCTAAGCTACACATCCATGAATCCACATGACCACCTAGAAAAGAGACGACGCGAAGCTTAGGGCGGAATCCAGTTCGCCTAGATCCGCCCTAGCCGTCTCTCGTGCGTAGACGTCGCACGATGCCTCCTAATACCCTTTAGGTACCCTCCCCCCTAGGAATTATGTACGTACCTCCTATCAATGCATGTATGTACGTACCTATAATACGTACCTATAATACGTACATTCGAGACATGCATGCCTTAGGTCCGCACGGGAAGGAGGTGCTATAAACTACACCACGCACTTAAGAGATTAGAGACTACTATTTATGGCCATCCATCTTATCGTTATCTTGTTTTTATCCAAGACACCCCACCACCAAGTTGATGATCATGCTTCGCATGCTTCTCACCCTACTCACCTTGGATCTTGTCACTTGACCTTTTCTCCCTACTATATCCTCATCACCCGAGACATAGCGTGTGGGTATCTACAACAGTCAGGCGCCGTCGCTATTCCCTTTTCAGATGGTGTGATAAGTCCACTTTCACATGTTGCAGAAGTGTATGTAGAAATTAAGACCCCGCCATTCCCAACGTTTCATTGCAATTGCAATCATCACAATACCCCGCCTAAGCATACGAAAAACATGTAATCGTGCATTATCGATAGACAAAATTGTTTTAGGTCTTGGGCTGGGCGCTGGGCGCTGGGTACTCCCGTTGTAAGTCAAGTACCCAAGTACCCAAGTATTGAGGTATTTTACAGGTAAATCCCCCTGAGAATATCCAACATCCCTCACCTCAACAATAAAGGAGGAATGGCTGGAATACAAGTCGAACCTTTCTCTCCAACTTCAATTGGGAAACTATTAATAGCAAAACAGAAGCTCGAATCCACAGTCTTACACCACATCTTATCAACGAAAGGAATTGATTACAAATTAAAGATTACAGCATTCCACCATTCTTTCAATCAGTTCGCAATAGATCACTATCTACAAATTACTCATTCACCATATAAATAACTAGGTACCTACAGATTATGCTCACGTAATCCCCCGCACCGGGCCGTAGTAGCAGACCATTCACTCGGGACATCTATGTGCGCCCTATGCCGTCGAAGCATAGAAGAGTCCTTACGTGCCGCCAACATGCATGGGCGGCAGGTTATCAAGTCACCAAGCTATCTTTGATACCTACCAAAGATGACGGCGGAGTGCTTCCATCTCGTTGATTCCAACGCCAATATTTGCCAATATTTGCCAATATTTGCCAATATTTTGCATAAACTTGAAGATATGCTCGGCTCGGATTCCCCCTCGATCGGCCTTCAGTCGACAGGGAATGCTTTTCGTAATGTGGTGCTGTTGGTGCCAAAGGCTGGTCTACCCTCGTCGTGCACTAGGGCGCCCGGTGTCCATTTATGGTCTTGCCCGCTCACGTCAATTGCGATGTTAAGGATTATCAGCAACGTCAGCAGAGAAACCCCTTCCTCCACCTAGCCGAGCGCTATCATTATGCATATTAAAGATTAATCACCTCGGTCTGCATCTTGTTACCAAGAATATCATGGCAGTGTAAGAGCCTTCTACTAGGTAAGGTCGCAAGGTGCTTCCTCGGATCAGATGACCTTGTCCTGTCACGAAATATTGTTAAGAGGCTATCCCTGGGACAACTGAGACATCTGGATCAAAGAAATTGCGCCTATGTATACCGGCGGTCCCGCCTTGGTTATGTCCGTAGTTCTTGGTGTGACAACGTAGTTACTTTTCCGCCTCCAGTTTGTATAGTGATAAATGTTGTGAATCCGCTAATTTGAGCTATCCTCGGATTCTGTCACTCCCGATTTAGTGTCAGCGGTAAGTTGGCTTGCAAAATTCTGGTCTCGAAGTTAACGCATTCTACGTGGCTAGCACAGTATACATTATTCTACCTCTCCGATATATTGGCCGGTTTCCTACCTCATTCCTGTAGGTTCGATCCCTACATATCAAACTTTTTTACAAGTATTACAATGGCAACAACACGTTGGAAGAGTACACTCTATTCTTCGGAGAAATTTGTCGAAGCTTGCGGGGCTGTTGTGTTCAACACAGAGAAGCCGGAGCAAGTCCTTTTACTATACTATGCCGCCCTGGACGAATGGTTGCTGCCGAAAGGGAGACGTAACTGTAACGAATCCCGGAAAGACGCAGCCATACGAGAAGTTCGCGAAGAGTCAGGTTGTGCCATTCGATTACGCCCTGTAACGATGACTACTCGAGCTCCATCTGACTCGGAAGCGGCTGACGTTAAAGATATCCCACGCACCTACGACAGCCTCACGGAAGCTTTTATGCTAGATGTTCGAGACTTGGAGAAGGGCAACGGTGTCAAGTTAGTCTGGTGGTTTATTGCAGAACTAGACAGCATTGCGGGAGATGGAGAGGCGCAGTTCGAGCCTAAATTCTTTCGGAGCGACGAAGCCGTCAAGATATTGACGTTCCAGAAAGATCGCGATGTGCTAGTGAAGGCTTTGGAGCTCGTAGGACGCGCTGCCGATAAGACGAGCAAGACTTGAGAGGATGGCGTAGAATCAATCGAATGGGGGACGGACGAACAACGAGTTTCACAATCCGATGCGACGCCAGAGTCTGCTGACAGTTCGAATGGTACATACCTATAACGATCCTTTTATCACTTTCTAGAGAATTCGCCGAAGTTAGAATTTGTATGTTTATCTTTCTTAGATCTGATATATCAGATTCTTGTTAGCGAGAGCGTAATGATAACCGGATACGCTTCCGACATGTTTTCTTAGGAGGTAGATAGTATAGTATGATGTATCAGATCCAGGAACCTCAAACTCAGCCCAGCCTCCTCTTTGCAGGCCACTATCTTCCTCGCCTCTATCATGTGACCGCCATTCATGCGTCTAGGAAAATAACAGATTTAAATCCCGTGGTAAGAACTCCCATTGGAAAAAGGAGACGAGCCCCGCGGAGCGGCCCGCGAGTTACGCCGTAGTCCACTAAAGACACCAATGGCCTCACCGTCATCTCGAGGGGCGACTTCTGGAACCGACGGTGGGGAGAGGGGGGGGGCTTATGCCGCTGCTGCTGTTACCCCCTCTTGTTCACCGCGACGGGATAGAGGGGGGTTACTTTATCACTTGGAAAACGTGTCAACCTGAGCGGTTGGGCTTACCTGCATGAGGCACATAAGGCACCACACACATTATCATCATCATCATAATATATTCTCCAGGGGTATTGGTTTATTAAGGGATTAGTAATTGGAGGTTCTAGGCGGAGACTACTCGGAGACTCTCGCCAGTTCTTCTTCGCTGTCCTTCCCTTCCCCTCTCCGTTGGGCTTCGCGGGTTAATATAAGACAGCCTCGCGGCGAGGAATTGGGCGCGCGAGCTGGGGCGAGAAGCTCGTGAAAGAAGGAGAGGCGATGTAACTAACGACTTGTTAGCGGATGGGTGGTTTTTGTTTTCTTTTCTGCTTTGCGTTGACAAAGCGGCGAGTGGTAGTCGTGGAACCACAGGATGCTGCTTTGGTAAATAAAGGGCGAGGTTGAATTGTGTACGGATTGTTGTCGTGCTTGTTCCTATCTCGGCGGAGCGAGGTATGAGGTATGTATGGTGCTTGAGTAATTTAATTTATTTGAGTAGTAGCTCTTGGGTTCTATGGAGAGCTCTTCGGGCGTATGAAAGCACGGTAGATGAATTCTGGAGGCGCAATTGGTTCGATATCTGTTCGACGAGTATTACTCGCGTACTACTTGGCGTGAATTGGAAAACAGCGAGTTCCTGGGGCGTCTTTTTAGGTGTCTTTTCCCCTTAAAATTGTAAGTTGTTGACATTGCTACCTACCTACCTCTTACATTGATTACAGCCTGACGAAATAAATTCGGGGAGGGGGCTCTTATTGAAGTGTAGAAATTTGAGTATTCACTCTTATCGAATCAAGTACCTAAACTTATTTTCTTACGTGAGAGTACGGCCGGACGGGTCTTCAGAGTAGCGTTGTTCAGCTGGAGGCAGTAGTTGTGACTTTCTATCCGTGTGGCGGTTGTACTTTTCAACGGCGTAGTAAATAGCAGTGAGGTATATGTCGAATTTCAACGAGGCTATTCGAGTATCTTGATCTTACTGTTCCCTCTAAATCCCTCTTTGAGAACGAAACCTATTGAATTTAGAGCTTTGACGATACGATTTAATACTAGTAAATTGAGATCAATTACCTCGGCTCGAATTGTTTATATTGTTATACGTGAATGTATCTGTATCGTTGCTATATGAAGAACTTCGAGCCAGGAATGAGTTTTACGACAAAATTAATACCAGATAATTCAGTACAAATGGCCTTCCTTGGTATAATATATTCCCCTGACCCTTACGTTCGGTTCTACTCATATGGTGACTTGGCCAATCGTTTATCTTCCTGCTGTCTCTTTCCCAAAAGCAACCAGAAAGAACTGGCATCTTCCGACATCTCTCTCTCTCTCTCTCTCTCTCTCTTTTCATCTGCTCTTTTCCTTTCCCTCGCCTCCCGTCGTGCTAACTCTAACCCTGAGCCCGCGTCCCCTGGGGAACGCAGCAAACCACTCGTGGTACGCAACCCAATCGTCGTCGACGGTGTCGTGCAAGCGCATTTCGAAACCGGCGCGGGGCCCGAATAGTCGAGACACGGCTAGATACAAATCAGTAGTTGCGAGCTCCATGCCGAGGCACAGCCGTGTACCGCGTCCCCACGGCTGTAGGTACCGTCCTAGTCGTCGTCGTTCTTCCGGGTCCATCCACCGCTCTGGTATAAACTTGTGTGGCTGTGCGAATACGAAAGGGTCGTTGTGCGTGTCTTGGGTTGTTGTCGAGATGGTTGTCTAGTTGTGTTGTTCCCAATGGGAGTTGCGTTAGTGGTACGTATAAAGTAGGTAGGCATATTTTGCTTTTTCCCCCCTTGATAGTAGAGAGGAGATATAATGTTGGAGGGGGGGGGGGGGGGCAAAGACAGAGCAAACTCGATACGAATTCAAATCACAAAACTTACGCCTCTGGGGAGAATCCACTCCTTGTACTTCAGGTCCTGGTCCTCACAGACCCTCGGCAGCCGGCTCGGTGTAGGATTAGCCATGCGAAGGCCTTCATTGACGACGCCGGTGATATACGGCAGTCCTCGTAGGTCCGAGTATTCAAGCATGTCCCCCTTCGCTTTTTCAGCAGCACGCAACTCGGCCCGTAATTTCTGGAGCTTTGCCGGGTCGCTAAGAAGATTGACCGTGATGCAGACGAGCGTGGTGGCGGTCGTCTCGGTGCCAGCCATGATGACAGACCGGGTCTCGGAGAAGAGCCGCGGGAACGTCTTTTCCTCGGGCGGCAGGTTCGAGGACATCAGCGTCTGTATCATGTCGTACGGGGTGCCGAGCACGGGTTCGGGCTTGTTCATCGAGCGCCGGACGCAACTAGTCATAGTCTGTGCAGAAGCAAGTCAGCGAACGCACTGCGCCTTATGTGGCACGTTCGTGTGACGCGTAGTTACTGCGCACTAGAAGATTTGGCCACGGTCACAGACTCACATCCCTCATCCACTTCACCCGGCCGAAAGCCGGATTCATCTTCTTCGCGATGCTCTCCGGGAGACTATGCAGCATAGGCAGCAGCAACCCGAAGGTATGCCGACTCCACATGCTAGTGCGTACGACCATCTTGACGGCGATGTTGAACTCGCGGTCGAAAGTTGGTTCGTTGAGATGTCCGAAGGGGGCCCCGAACGCGAAGCCGGTCGCGACATCGGTGGCGAGACAGCGGAAAGCATCGCTCAAGTTAAGCACGCAACCATCGGCAGCATGGATGCGAGCGCAGAGTTTATCGACTTGTGCCAGGATCGTGGGCATGTACTGCTGGATGTTTGTCGAGGCAAAGTAGACCTGTAACGGGCCCCGGCGAAGCTGATGTAGCGCGTGCGACTCGGCTACGTTGGTACTCGGGAACTTGCCGAAGAACCGGAAGTAGAACCACCGCGGCTTCGATGCCTTCGACGAGTATTTATATACCGCGTTCCAGTCCGGGTCCGCGATATGCACTTCCTGCGGGTTTATACGAACAATAGGACCTATGTGCCAAAGTAGAGTCCAGTAAGCCAGGCTGTCTTAAATCACTAATATTGAGGGTATCAAGACAATAAGATACACGAAGGAGTCATTACCGTAACGCTGGTGCATCTTCTCGATCTCGACCCAATATCGCCCTCCGCCATCCTTTATGCACTGGTAATATGCTTCGTATAGTCCAGTAGAAGCCGCCAACACGGGCCCAGGGAAACGGGCAAGGGGGTGAAAGGTGAGCCGGTAGACGACCACTGATAGAATCGCAACGGCTAAGAAAAGGAGAAGATATGAAAATAGATATGGGCTACTCAGCCCGTAGGGCCACAGTAAATTCATTGTAGGACTGCTCCAAGCTCGGATATTTCCCAACAGGAAGAGAAAGGGTTACCAAGACGGCAAGTAAACCCGGGCCTATGTTATATGCGATTATCCCACCACGTACGATGTCAAACATACACGGCATCGTCAGACATATTCCCCAGGCACATGTCACACGGGAGGGACGGCCCAGTTTTAAGCTGTCAAACTAAATTTGCTGCCACTTTAAGCAACTGTCAATGTTTAACTGACATTTACTTCGAGTCGTTTGACCCTGCTACCGTTTATCTTGTCAAATCCCTACCTTGTTGCGCGTTCATACGTCAGTTACATTATATCTAACCCCCGCAAAGATCAACCAAGCAGCTAGACAGAGTTTCCTCACCGGACGCCCGATTCCTGCAGAATATTCTAATACAGACTTATAACAATGCATTGCAGATAATCCTATCTTGATCTAATACACCAGAGCTTCGACAAGATTCGTACCAGTTTATCTATTATTGATCCCTTATAAGCCATACTCAACGTAGAGGACGTCTACTATTCCTGACACTTCTAGCTGAGATCCGGATAAGGTCTCCGAATTCATCTGCTTACATTCCATCTGAATACAATTAATTAGGTAATCGGTACATATATCCTCGCCAATAACATAGGACTTCCCACCCCCTATCCGATTCGACGGGAACAAAGTTCTGACAATAAAGCTAATGCTATTGGATTCGTCACCTGTCAAATCTTGGAGATTACTTAAGACTGATTAATTACGAAACCGCCGACGAAGTTTAGTTCCATACCTCATAAGCTCGAAGACAACACTTAGGTGTTGCCATTCCTATGACGCTATTATCAAGACGGTGTGGTATACGCCGTCATAAAAAAAAGAGAATACTTGGAGTGATTACGACGGTTAGCCCAAAGTTCGAAAGAAGATCATCATTATAGTTTCAACTGTCGAGCCGAGTATTCAAACTGATCGAGTGGACAATTCAATTTGAGTCCGTATACCAGATCCATCCACCCCTAAACGATTTCTCCCAATATCCGTGACGCAATTAACTATTGGTATTCCGGGTATTTCCTTCATTTCATACGTGTAGGCGTATCCATGCCTACGAGACATCCATGAACCTGCCTCCCTCTTCGGATGTAGGTGTCCTGTTGTCATCCACGTCACCTTTCCCCATCCTACGACGCAAATATATATATGATCACTCCTAGAATCTATACGTCACGACTCTGGCTTCTGACCATATACATAGCGAGTTCTCATATAGCCATGTAATCTCCTATTGTGTAGCTCCCTCTTCATCTGCGCCAGATTCTCCTTATAACCCGGGGTGTTGTCGCCCATGACCATATTCCAAGGAACGAGTGTGTAGCCTGCAGGTTTATGGCTACATTAGAAGGTGTATTGGCAACCGGAGCAGATCAAAGTGACTTACCTTCGAGGTCGTTAAGTAATGTTAATTGGACATACTGGCCAACTTCTGACATCCTATGATCAGTTGGCCATCCACCAACCGGGAGCTGTATTTTAGTATCCAAGTCAGCCATATGAAAACTGGGCACGATACTTGTATGAGGATTCAGGGTACCGAAAATGGGGAGATGAGTCTGGTCGTGAACTGAAATAAAACAAGCGGTAAGAAGGGTAAGATGAGGCTATACGAAGACTCTCCAGCTGGCCTATTTCCCATCCTTCCCATCAATACTAAAAATGCTAATGTTCATGACTCACTTTGTAATCATACACCTCAATATCTCGGAACCCAGCCGCTCTGAAGGCACTCTCCTGGAAGTTATGGGTAATTGGCTTAAACGACGTGCCTAATATCCCCCCTATCTCGTCGTAAATTTTGTTCCAGAAGGTCTTGAACGTGCTGTCAGGAGGGATGCTTCCGTCGTCACACTGGATAATAACTTCGGTCTCACAACTCTGGACCCAACCTCCAGGTCTAGTCACACGGTATGCCTGTCGTATGAATTCGTTCCAGTCGGGGATGGCGCCAAATAAGTACCGTAAGTGTACGAAGTCAAAGGAATTATCACCCCACGACCACGGTTGCGTGCAGTCTTCCAGCTCGAACTGGACGTTGGGTGGAACCCACATGGGTTGCATGGGCGAGAGGTCCGTTCCGATTACTTGTGCGTTGGGGTACTGCTCTGCGAATTCACTGCTCGAGTCATAATGTGAGAAATGGGGCCAAAATTTCGAAGATACGGCTAGGGGTTTGAGAATAGACGATAGGGCATGTTATGATGGTTAGAAGATGACTTGATCTATCATAGTACGTACATGGACCATATCCCTAAATATATCGGTTAGGTACAGAAACATCGATATTAAACGAGGTGGAGTCTGGCTACTTACCTGATCCAGTTCCGATGTCCAGCACACTCTAATAGGGGGGGCATTAGCATATTGGTAGTCCACGATTCAATAAATTAGTGGTTAACAGTAAGAAGGGATTTGACAAACCTGGACATGGTTTGGTATTGGTGCAATGAAGAGTCTGTCTTCAAGCAGCAAGCTAAGGTAGTGGTGGCTATGAGAGTAAACGCAGCATATCAGTCAGACACGACCCCGAAAATTGCAAGATCGCGACACTGATCTAACTGCTAGACACGAAGATCGGCGTCTGAGATCCCCCCCCCCCGTCGGACCGTGCTGGAATGGGACTTAGGGCTATAAGATACGTACGTGATGTCTATAGACTGGACTTGCTGCTCGTCATTCGGGGTGAAGTAGTTGACGTTGTGCCTGTCGCTGTGAAATGTTCGCCCTTGAATTATCCGGTACTCCATGATGCTCGACGCGATGGAATTGGCGCTACTTTCTCTATTTAGAGTGTTAGTAGTGAAAACAAGCTGTACCTTGCTTCTATCCCCGTATTCATTGGCGCCCCTTGGGTGTAAGCCGCTAAAGAGAAGAAAACTGACATATCTGATCCCAGCGCCGAATCCCTATCCCTATCGTCATCGTATTGATACTCCTGTGACTCCAACTAAGATGTCAGAAGCTGCTTGCGCTTTAACTGGGGATAGCTATGCAAAGCCGATATATAGCACCACCCTTCGTAGATCGGTTACAGGCGACGCCTGCCCCCACTACCCCAGATCCAGTATATCGTACCTCATCTTCCAAGTCTGGCTCGGCTACAAGTTCCGCTTGTTCAGGCGGTTTCAACGGACTAGAACCGCTGGACCTTGCGCTAGTCGGCCTCCAGCTATCCGTCATGGTGTCTTGATGCTACGGTTTAGATTAGCTACCCGTTTCCGCTCCAAGCGAGCTCGTTGTTCGGCACGTGGGAAGCGGATAAATGAGAAAGATCCCACCGACAATAACACATTAATATCCAACGCGAACACGCAAAACGATGGGAAAGAAGGTCGTGGACAGGTTCATGGATGTTTCATGGGGAAAAGAGTGAAAAAATAATAGTAATGATAATAATGAAAGACCCCGGGACTCGCGAATGGGGAATCCTCACGTCGCACAACGAATCCGAATGAGAATAACTCGAAATAGTGTATGTATCCTGGGATCTCCCCTCTTGCTTTGACGTCGACTTGCAAGAAACTATCAGTTCCGATCTTCACTAGGATCCCGACCAATTAGAAACCTATAGGAAAATAGTACACAACCTCCCGCCTGATTTTGCAGGTTTCCAGTGTACTAAGACTTATCGCGAACTACAGCGATGCGCGGCCAAATTTGCACACGGTCGCAGGTACCATCTGTTATGCCTATTTTGATATAGGCAGATGGGTCCGTGTGGACCGGCAGAGTGGTAAGTTGGTAAGTTTTCTCCCTCCCTGCCCCCCAAGACTACCTAACTAGCAGTCCCAATGGACCATCAACGGTAGTTAGGTGGTGGGTAGTGGGTACCTGTGTCCCGGAACAATGAGATCGACTCGAGGCGGTCAGCAATTGCTCTCTCCTGGGGGTTTCCCGTTACATTGATTATCGTACATAATTGGGGAAGATAGTGTAGGGAATAGGGAATAGTGTAGGGATGATAAAAAACGCAAGGCAGTTTAAACCACGAAGGGTTGGATTTTGGATACGTGAACCAATCGCGACATAAAACTGGGCTTCGGGCGCTGTTAATTGGATAGCCAGGCTGGTGGTAATAAATATATTGCCCTGCAAGGTAATTTCGACGCCTCCAACGTGCTGATGAACCCTTGTTTCTTCCGTATGAGAGACTTGGGTAGCAGGTCAATACATGGAGTTATCAACAACGAGCAAGGCATGCTCTTCCATCAACCAGGTCTTTGGTAATTCGCCTGGGGATCGTGGAGTGCTGTTTGCCCGCTGTAAAAACCGCAAAGTGCTATTTCGTGGATACAACATACGTACTTGCGCTAGGGCATTTTACACTGCTACCTATTATGTATCAACGTCCGAAATGAGTCTGTTGATTTTGGCAGGTCAGATGTAATGTTTAAATGATGAAGGACTAAAGGTTTATGTTTAATAATACATAATGTAGAGTTAAATATGTACATATGCACGTTTATATCTTGTTATATTTCCCTGCATATAATTAAGTTTGACTAGACAAGTACCTAAAGTTACCTACCTAGGTACCTACCTAAGGTACCTAAGGCAGTTACTCTTGCTTCTGAACTGTCAAGGCGACGTGCAGGCACGGCCGACCCCGGACGCCGCGTAGGTTCCAACCGGGCGGATCAAACCAGCCAGTTAGTTCCAGGTTACCTATCTGGATGCGTGTTACACAACAGGGTCCATCTCATCAAGCCACCCTTGCCTTCTACTGGATAATTTTACATCTAGGACTTTACTCTCGGCTGACTATGTTGACTAGGTAAATGCGTCCTCACGCATTTAGACATAGGCACACACCGCTTCTAATAGCACATTCATGCAATAATCACCTGTACCACCGAGGATGGTCTCGAAGAGACTGGAAGATGCTCTAAATCAATGTATCCATTTCGTCGTGGGAATCACTCCGCCATTTTCGAAACACCTAATCCGGGTGACAGTTCGTCCAGGCAGTAATCGATTAATATTGTACATTGCTCATGCCTCCAACTCCTCTTCTATGGTTTTCCTCGTTTCATATCATCCCATCTCATGCTTTATACACGTAGCACCTTCGCGGCAAACTTCTCGATGAGGTCTTCCGTCGGGAAGCTCATCTGCTCCAAGCCTTGAGCATACGGTGTGGGAACTTCAGCACCGGTGATTCGCTGGGCAGGGGCATCTAGGTAGTCGAAAGCATACTCCATGGTCGTGGCGAGAATCTCAGCGCCCATACCGGCGAAGGGGAAACCGGACTCGACAGAAATCAGGCGGTGTGTCTTCTTAACCGATTTGACGATGGTCTCGATATCTAGGGGTTTTATTGATCGCAGGTTGATAACTTCCACTTCCACACCGTAGTTCTTCTTCAGGGCCCCAGCCGCAACCATGCACTGACCAACGGTACGAGAAAGGGAAACCAGAGTTAGATCCTTGCCCTGCCGTTCGATCTTGGCCTTGCCGAACGGAAGAACGAAGTCGTCCTTCTGGGCGGCTTCGGACATGGGAAAGGAGACACCGTACATAAGCTCGTTCTCAAGGAAGACGACCGGGTTAGGGTCCCGGATAGCAGCCTTTAGTAGTCCCTTGGCATCTTCAGCAGACCAGGGAGAAACGACCTTAAGACCGGGAATAGATCCATACCAAGCGCTGTAGTCCTGGGAGTGCTGAGCGCCGACACCAGCGGCAAACCCGTTAGGGCCGCGGAACGTGATGTTACAGGGCTGAATACCACCGGACATGTAGAGCGTCTTGCCGGCACTGTTGACGATCTGGTCGATAGCTTGCATGGCGAAGTTGAAAGTCATAAACTCGCACTAGATATTGCGTAACAAATTAGTCTCTTTCCGCCCTTGCTAATAAATCTCGGGGCGCATATAATTCTACTCACGATAGGAGCCAAACCGCTCAGCGCAGCACCAATAGCCAAACCACAGAAACCACTTTCCGTAATCGGAGTATCAATCACTCTCTTCTCTCCAAACCGATCTAGGAGGCCCTTCGTAACCTTGTATGCGCCATTGTACTGGGCAACTTCCTCCCCGATAACGAAGACCTTATCATTGGCCTCGAGCTCCTCGGCCATAGCCTCGTTGAGGGCGTCACGGACAGTGTACTCCTTGGCACCCTTAACATCTGCGAACGTTCTCCGTTGAGAAAGGGCGAAAGAAGCGGGAGCAAACCGGGGAATGGCTCGGGGGACTGCGGCGGTGCGTGCAGAGGCGGCTAGCCTAGCCGCCGGACGCAAGTATCGCGACATTCTAAGGGGGAATTAGATAGGTGAAGGAGGATGGAATTCAATTGAGATTGAAATCCCTGCCGACAGAAGGTGGACGTGGTTGGCGAAGGTTATCGTGGGTGACGGCTGTAGTGATGGGGAAGAATTAAAGAGCGATTTTTTACCGTCAGCCTTTTTTGGAGTTGCTTTCAAATCGCCGTTGTTCTCCCAACTTTTTTTCGGATGGAACAGGAACAGCTTGTTGAGGGCGATACGCCGCGCTATTCCACATCGGATTTAGTCCCTACCTGCTTCAGTAAGCTATCGGAGCTTTGAATTCCTAGACCCTTATCAAAACAGCCTTATCTACATAGGAATATATCATCAAAGTACCTAATATAACCTGCCAAACTCTACCTACCTAATCAACTATTACATTTCTATAATTACAAATACCTAGATCAAATATAATAATAATATCATATCAGCATTATTTTCTTTTTAACATATTACATCATGCCTCTAAGGTATGCTTTGGTTAAAAGGTACTTGGATTCCCGGTTGTGTATCTAGGATTGGCCGAGTAACGCCGTCACGGAGTGAATTGGGGAATCCCTCCGTTGGGGGTAATCCGTTATCTCCCTCTATATCTAGAGCCCCTGTAGACAAATTTATGGCAGGTTTAAGAATACCTAAGGCACTAATTTCCCTACATAGATATACATCATTCACCATATTTGCATTGGAACTGCAGAACATTGTTCTTTAATTATTCTTTTTTTTCAGGCGCTAGTATATGCTGCGAAATGATGTACTCTACTCGTGAGTATGCCTCTTTGTAATATATACAAAGGAGTCAAGGCCATGTCTCCAGAATCAACCTCAGGACCCCGAAAGTTCGTATTAATAATATTAGTAGGCGTGGACGTTACGTCTTTATTCATTACTGTGCTTATAAGCACCTCGTTTGCCCTCAACTCCATGAACATCCCTTTCAGGATGTAGCTCTTACTTCTGCTCTGGCTTCTTTCCAACCATCAGGTACATAGGTGTGAAGAGATGCTTAGCACCGCCGGCAACTAAGCAGTCACCTGCGCGAGCCAAACTGTCCGCCGTCTTCTTGGTACCCGCCGGGGCCAAACGGGTCAGCTCCAGCAAGGCCGCAAAGTTATGCGCCAGCATACGACCCCACCATGTCATCCGTGCGATGGTGAAAGTATCGAACACCGACTGCATATACTTCCAATCACCAGCAAGTGGCCAGTACCACGGAATAGGGTCGGGGCGGTCAGCAAGATCCTCGTGATGTAACAAGTCAAAACCAGCGATCTTCATAGCTTCGAGACCTTCCGAGATCTTAACCATGTTCGAAATACCATCACCCTGCTCAATACCAAGGCGAATCTCACGGTGCTCTAGGTTATTGTTGTCGTAATCATCCGTCATGAGCCATTCGTACACACCGAAGACACCACCGGGCTTTAACACTCGGAAGATCTCGCTATAGACGCCCTCGAGCTTGGGCGCGTGAACGGTAGCCTCAATGGCATAAACAGCATCGAAGCTGTTGTCGGGGAAGTCCATTTGCTATAAAATATTAGACCATATACTAGTGAAAGTGATGCGGGACCGCAATTTCCCGGGCTAAGACTTACCATAAAATCACCCTTGACGAATTTTAACTGGTTCGAGAGACCATCCTTCGCGGCGTAGTGGGTGGCGCGTTGGATTTGGTAGTCGTTGTTGTTCAAGCCAGTGATATGGCAACCAGTGAACTTGGCAATCTCTCGGGCAGGGCCACCAACACCACAACCAACATCCAACACCTTCATGCCCTCCTTAATACCGATCTGGTGCGCGAGGTAGTGTTCATGTCGGGCAATGGCTTGGTAGAAGTTCTCGCCTAGAGAGTATCGGCAGAAGTGGAAGGATTGGCCCCAACCATATTCGTAGAAGTCGGTGGCGAGGTTGTAGTAACTGAGACATATTAGTATCAAGAAATGCGGTGTCATGGAAATTGTCTGACGTACTGTCTTGTCAGGGTAGCGTATTCGGCCGTTCGCTTGGCACGGTCCTCCTCAGTCTCGTCCTTGGCATCCTTGTTGTCCCAGTGCTTGAAGTACTCGTCTACAGCAGCCCTCTGCGCATCGGTACCCTTACCACCCTTTCCAATCATGGCGCGGAAACCACCCGTGGCCTGGGCAGTTTCTCCGTGCATCGCCTTGTTAAAGGCGGCATCGCGGGCCCTGTCCTGCTTCTCGAGTTCAATCTTGGAGGGTGCCATGTTGAGCGACGGTGACGTCGAGTTGACGTGTAAGGCTGAAGGATTGAAAGAAGGAATTGGTTGAAAAAGGATTATTACAAGTTTGTAGCGGAATAATGGTACCAACAGCAGAAACCAACAGCAGAAACCGTATGGAAAGAATAGTTGGAGGATGTTACAATTGTCGAGAAGCGGTATACTCAGAAAAGGGGACGGGCGACATTTTATTATTTTTCTGGGGTCGTTATCGACAATTGATTAAGCCTGGATAAGATGGACCTAGAGGACCATTCTCCAATTCATTAGCCAATCTTAGGTTCGTACCTCTTGAGCTAAGTCTACGTTCATGAATGTTTTGACCAATAACTTTGCGCTGACCCTGCATTAGAAGAAATCGGAGACAGGGGTCAATTCGTCCCGTTCTTGCTCTACCGCAATTTCGAACAGATTCACCCCTTAGACCCGAATACGAACCCGACAAGCCACAGAAAAAAGCATGCTACGTGGCTGGTGAGTCTAGTGGCTTTAACGCCGTCTTATGCCCCAAGCATTTCGGTTTTAGCATGTGAACTAGCTGTCGTGATATTATCACTGGTTTGCTCAGTGCAGGATCCGAATACGAATTCGCATTCTACGCAGTATCATAATGATATAGCTCAATAGCTGTTTGGAAAAATCCTTCGATGCTTCACAATTTAGGTAGATAATTGGTATTTCCCATATTTTCCCCCTATTAGGTAATGATGTTTTTCAAGAAAAAGTAAAACAACTGTTACGTGTACCGTGAGGGTCTTAGCTTGCCGCCGCTGATGTGATTTTCAGAAATTGAATTCAAGAGCGGGGGATAATAAATCATAAGCTACAGAAAATGAAAATAAAAATAAAAATTATAGGTAATTACCAGAAGCTATATTAAATGTTTTAAGAGCAAAGCACTTGCTTATAACTACAAATAATACTTAAAGGCTCCAAGAGCCAACTTGGAATAAAAAGTGCAAAAGCAAAAAGATGGTACAGAAGGAATCTAACCTCCTAATGATGGACTCGCGGGGAATCGAACCCCGGACCACTCCCATGCTAAGGGAGTATTATACCACTAAACCACAAGCCCCATACAGCTCTTTGAAAGCGTTGTAGATCTGATTCGTTGAAAGCTAAATTTTGCTAGATTTGTATATGTAGCTTGTGGTGGGAAAGATGAGTGTTGACCCTAATTAGCCGATTGGCGTTATTTGCTACCGTCTTGTTTCTGGTCTTAAGTTGCCAAGCTTGGACCCAACCCTTGGACCCCGAGCTCATGTTGTTTTAACATCGAGCAATACCTTTCAATTTTCTACAACTTTTTCATATATTATGAATATGTCTTTAAAACTTCCATTGAGAAGTTGGGAGTCAGATTCCTAAACGTACCTATATATTCAGGCTAATATCCCAAGAGACATCCATATGACCAATGAACCAGCGACGTTAGCTTAAGTACCTACATAACTAGCATCAGAGTTGAAAGTTGTTCGTGGTTTTATTCTTTGAAAATATAACGACCTGGTCTTTCATTTGGCCAACTAATAAGAATAGAGCTAATAACATTCATTTTCATGTATCCAGATCCAAAACCTGGTTCTCATCAAAGCACCGCCTACCACGTCCACCTCCATTTTTTTACTAACTCAACTCTCTGCCCGTCAGGCGTTTCATCTGTCCTCCCAGTCACGACAGGAGCATCTCCCTGCTTGTCTAACTTCTTATTGCTCATGAAGTACCATACACTTTGCCCTGTGATTTCTACCGCAACCACAGCAGAAAGTAGTCGACAGGCAGTAAATGCATTATGATAAAGAGGGGCGTCCTGAGTCCGAAACACCTGGCTTCCTGCAATGCCGCCGGAATTCGCACCCATTATAATCATTCTAGGTATTGGGGTTAGCGATGAAGTCGGAAATAATGGGGAGCTATTTGTAACAGAGCTTACGCCATAGCAACACTTCGTTCTTGTGGTCGTTGACAGTTCACCGATAGCCAACCGACATTGAGAATGTGGATTGTAGAATTCATAGCCATCGAGAATACGACAGCTACGTACTTCCTCCCGGTACTCCACCTCCATGCTTCTCTTAGACAAGAAAATGCAATCAAGCTCCAAATTGCGCCGACTAGCAATGCTGGTCCTCTTCGCTTAGTGGTGTCACATATCCAACCTAAAAATACTGTCATGATCGCGGCGATGAAAGCGCCAACGCTAGCCATGGCATTGGCCCTTACGGTACCATAGCCCAGGCTCTTAATCACGCTCGGGCCGTAGGTGTTTATCGCAGTCGCTGATATTGTAGAAGTAGTAGTGATAACGATATGAAATAAGATCCTAGGGTTCTTAACCGTCATCCAGATATCATTACCCGAGATGCGCAGATGGTTCGTAGCCTTAGCTGGATCGTCGAGTAGTACGCGGCGCACAAGTATGTACGACTCGCGCCCATTGAAATACGACCACCGTCCGAAGCTAATGAGCGGGTATCCGTTGCCGACTGATGGTGGAAGGAAGAGAATGAAGATGATTCCAATTCCTATTGTGATAGATCCCTCAACTATGAAGAGCCATCTCCAACCCGCTACACCGTATCGATCACCCATGCTAAGAATACCCGCGCCGATTAGTGAAGTAGTAGCCGAAGCGATGAGATTTCCGAGGTAGAAGATCGAGACTCGTAGACTAGTCTCCGATTTCTTGTACCAGGTCGACATTGTATATAGCGCACCGGGGATGAAGCCCGCTTCACACTGCGTAACTTGACATTGGCACTATACACGAAAGTAGAAGTGGACCATATATTCATCATACGTACCAGACCCAATAGCAGACGCGTAGCAATAAAGCCACCGTAGTTCTTGATGAAGTTCTGGAAGGTAGCGATGAGTCCCCAAGCTATGATTTGAGTGGACAGCCACTTTTGAGGCCCAATGCGCTGCAACAGAATGTTGGAGGGAATTTCCAACAAAACGATGCCTGCAGACAGAAGACTGCCTCCAACATTGATCTGATTCGTATCGATGCCGAGGTCTTGGGTAATGGTGCTTGTTAGGGCGTTTGAGATGTTTCCTCGGTCTATTTGGAGTGCAAAAAATGCAAGACCTAGGATAGGCAGTAGAATGAAGTCGAGTCTGTAGGCCGTTAGAAATTTATAATCAAAGGCCCAGGTTAGGATCTAAGATTCTAATGAGGATGATATCTTACTTCCGCTTCACGGCGAGCTCCTCTGTCTCAGTCCAATCCGCGACTGAATAATCGACATCGACGGGGACAGCTTCTTCATCGCTAGAACGAGCCTTAATAGCCGGCTCAAAAGATTTCTCAAGGGCCATAATGATGTCGAAAAGAGAACACCTCAGCCAGGACAACAATTAAATAGACGGCGACGAAGTTTCATTTTCATTTTCATGTCAAGACGAAGCTCCTTGTATATGTTTTAGCTCGTAGCTATCCACACTGGCCAATAACCTGACAATAACGCCAGCTAACGACTCCAAGGCCTGGAACCTACCAAGAGTCTTCACTTAAGATGCTATGCCGCCACGCCTTACCGTGATTGGGTAGTGTTGCTGCGGGGTTCTTGGCGATAAAGTTGCGTGATCGTTCGTTGCGCCTCTAGATCGAATGATATCGGATCCTAAGACAAATATCTCTTTGTTTAATAATTATCAGTGTCACTTACAAGAAATATGTTTTAATGGCAGTCGGCTGTATCATCAAGCTATATTGTTACCATAGGCTGCAGGTTTCTTACTAACATAGGAGTAATCACAGCAATATCAACGTAGCATTAACTCTAAGGGGTAATTCGAAGAGCCTATAGTTATATATACTAGTTAAGAGTATATTCTATTCTAAATGTACTATTTAAAATCCTCACAGATATAACTCTTTAATATATTGTCATTGGTCCTTCTTCTCTTTCGTCTAATTTCTGGAACTATGGCTATTTTCTGCTGTTGGGACTAACTCGCCTTCATCGGATATATCTATATCAAAGAAAGAGACTAGGGTTTTTTCGATGGTTGAGGAGTATGGATTCATCAGTGTAGAGTTCTTAGTATATAGTTACCTAAGGCTCAATTGCGTTTAAACCTGGCATGCCTACCTAGGACGTAGGCATGCATATTAAGTGTAAGAGGTCAACTTCTCATCTATAATTTTTATTTTTATATTAATCTTGGTTGCTAACTTATAAAAGAAAGTAATGTTGTCGTCGTTGGTTTAACCGTATGATTTTAATGCCGGATCTAGCTATACATTAACCCGACCGTTTACTAAACTTGCTAGAGTAGTGCTAGAAAGGGTACCGCTATCTTCGGGTAAATATATATATATAAGCTATGAAATATTCTCGCTAATATGCTCTGTTTATTAGTACATGACGAGGATTGACGTATACTAAAGGTATTGTATTCAAAATTAATATAACCAACCATCCCCCAACCACTAAAAAGCATATTAAAGTAGATAAAAGTAACCTATTACCTAACACCAGGTCATGGATGCTTAAACTACCTAGGGCAAATGGAGATGTCAAGATACATCATATTCCACCTTTAACAAGCACATAGTGGACGGATGACCAGTCCCAAGTTCTGTGGATACGCGGTAACCCGGTGAAGGGGGAAATGATGGCGATATAGCTCTAATTGCCGAACTCGATCGGCGTTTCAAAATTCTTAAGCAACAAACCTTCGAGAAGCATGCATTGAGCTACTTCTTTTGTGTGCACAATGGCAAGGAAAAAAACTACACGGTTGGTGTTGTCCGGCCATCACTGAAAAAGGGAGCGGATACTAACATGCTTGATGACTACTCTGGGGCGGTATAACAAGCATATGATATAGCTGTCTTGCTGCTTGAAAACGGCGCAGATCCCAATGCTCACCTCGAAAGTGTGAGGAGCTCTTTGGATCGGAAGCCATATGAATGCTGGGAGCCTTTCGCACAAGTTCCTTATTTCTCGCACCGACGAAACGAGACAGCCAGGACCTATTTAAATTATTGCTATAGAGATCTGAGTGGGTGCAGCTATTTATTAATAAAGGAGCAAGCCCATTTGCGGAGAATGAAGATGGAAACCCCCCCCCCCCTATAAATAGGTACCTACTTGAGTTGGGAGTGTTTAAAAAGGAGAAGTACTCAAAAATGAGTGGAACCCCGGCTGCGTTTCGGTCGGGATTAAAAAGAAGTTGGAGCAACTCCTGTCTGCCCCATAATTTTGTGGCTTAGTGGTATCTAAAAAAGGTATGCAGTTGGAGCACAGTCGGAATTATCGGGCGGCCTTAGCTTTTCTTCTCGAAGCTCCCTATGGTCGTCACAACGAAATAGTTGACATCTTAATACCAAACGTTAGTACATTTCTGTTATTACAAGCCACAATAGGTGCTCAAAACATCGCCAAGCAAACTCAAGAATATCGTTTATAATATCATCCATATGCCAGGTATTTCATAAACGAATTGTATACCACTATAAGATTTAAATTGTAGAAACGAGGCCTGAGGGAAATGCGTTACCAATGCCGGAGCCAAACGCCGCCAAGCCCTTCAAGTGTAATACATGCTTGACGACTTTTCGTCGACATGAGCACCTTAAAAGACATGTGGCCACAGCTCGTATGTCTCTCTGCTCGCCCATAAAATCAGTGTACTGTGATGACTTGCTGCTGATAAAAAGCGATAGACACTGCAGATCGTAGCTTTGCATGCGAATTCTGTACCGCCAAATTTAAACGAGGGTTGGATATTCCTACGACTCCACTTGCAACTAGAACTAACCTGTTGACTTAATCATAATTATAGGGATGCTTTAAGGAGACACTATAAGTCATGCTCTCTTAGAGTCCAGCGTGGTGTGGACATGCCTCCGGCTATTCAAGCTGGCAGGCGGAAACGCGCCTGTGAAGGTTGTACAACTCTCAAGAGGGCATGCGATCTTCAAATGCCGTGTCTTGAATGCACAGAACGGAGGAAACAATGCATCTATAGACGCGGCTCCCCGATGGCCGAAACTAGCGCGGGTTCCGAAGTCCTCACCTCTGCTCCCGGACCCGGACTCGGACCCGGACCCGTTAACTCCGAAGAGCTCAATGTCGGTACCGAATTCATTGACTTGTCATTCTTTGGCATCGACTACGAATTAGGTGGCGGAATGCCTTATGTAGGGGATCTAACTATGCTCATGCCTGCGACAGAACATCCCCCACAAAGGATCCAACGTCCCATACGTCTCCAATTCTTATTAAACTTCACTCGCACTACGGGAGTGAATAGCTCATATAACTACAGACGGCCATCTATGCAACCACAGAGTCTTATGGGTGTATACAGTTACAGGACCGTGTACATTTCTAAGGGCGCGGGGGTGTGTCGACTCCTCGAGTCTACTACTACGCGGGGCACCGACTTCTCCCAGATAACATCAGCTGCCAACAACATCTTTTCTATCGAGGAAATGCCAAAACTACTTGCCATTTTCTGGGAACGGTGGTACCCACACTGTCCAATTGTTCACCGCTCGTCCTTCAACCTCGCCTTTGCTCACCCTCTCCTAGTAATGGCGATGGTTCTGTTAGGAGCAGTCATGTCACCATTTCCACAGCATAGAGAACAAGGAAGACTTTTGCTCGATAGTGCCGAAAATGCCATCTTCAGCTCCAAGATCTTTGATTGTGATGGATATACGAATGTCGACGAGGTCCATAATTCAGGGGCTGTCGCCACTTTCCAAGCCGCATATTTCATCTGCATTATGCAGAAATGGGAAGGCAACGAAGTTGCTAAACAAAGGATTAGGCGCTATAGGTTTACTGCCCTAGTATCAGTGAGTGGCTCCATTAGGCTCTTACTAACCTACTGTTGACAAGGTATTGATTATCTGTAGGCCGTTAGATCTCTTGGTATCCCCTATGCTACCCACAAGCACGACCTGTCATTAGAAGAGCCAGATGATGTCAGATGGAAGAAATTCATTCGCCGTGAAGAACTAATCAGGTAAGTTCAGACTATTATTTCATACTTGGAGATCTGAACGCGACCTAACCTCGCTCAAGAATTGTGTCATACGTATTCCTCCTCGACTGTGGCTTTTTGACATTCCATAATTGCATCCCTAGAATGGCGCTTCAAGAAATGACGAATGAGTTGCCATGTCTAGAAGTCTACTTCCAAGCTGCTTCTGCGTCGGAATTCTTCGAATTGACACGCCTCGGATCTCTTTCGCCGCGCATGCTCACATTAGTTGAGGCATTGCGCCTACTAACAACTACCCCTGATGGCATGTTTAACTACGAAGCTGTTCTTCCAGCGAGCTGCTTAAGCTTATTCGTAGCTATCAATGGTAAAGTCTATATTGAGGAATGGTTATCGATGTCATATATGCTAATCAGACCTTATAGCTCTTCTTGCTTTGGTATATCATCAACGAACAATATCGGGTTTCGTTCCGCCTAATACCCAGCCACTCCTCAAGGCAATAGACAGGTGGGAGGACATCTGGGAGTGGAACATGCACCGATTGCAGGAATGCAATATACGCATAGATACCTTCTCAGGTGAGGGATTATTCATGCAGCAGGCACCCGAATTCGCTGCTTTGGCAAGACTTCAACTGAACACAACCAATTCGGAAATAAATCCAGTTCCATATCCCTCTGGCAGCCTCCTTCCGAATTCTAGTTCTTTTACCCCGGAAACAAAGCTAGATAAATCGGATATGAGCCATCTAGCAGATCTAATTCTACGTTTTGAGGCTGTAAATATGGGACAGGAGACTTTCTAGTATTGTATAGTCAATAAACCAATCGAGAACATAACTAGAGGAAGGCTTTGGTTGTCAATCTTTAGGTAGTCTAGATATCATAATGACACGGTACTCCTAGCTCCCATGCTTAATTTTACCATATATGCTCCAGTCTTGTTGAACGTACCCTATCGTATCGATAGCTCAATGCCCCTTTATTGTCACTGTGCAGAGAAATGGCCCTCTCATCTCTCCGATACCCGAACTTTCCATCTCAACGCGTGGTTCGGAGGATACAGGATGAAACTCAAACTTATTGATTAACGTGGTCAACGTCTTCCAAATATTCGTCATGGCTAGATGTTTGCCGATGCACATACGGTGGCCGATACTGAATTGGAGGAGATTGCTCGCCATCGACTTTCCGTCGGCCTCAAGGAATCGCTCGGGTGAAAAGTCCTCTATATCCGCTCCCCAAATCTTGGGATTGTGGTGTAGAGCGTAATTCGAAATAGATACATTAGTCTGCCAAATAAGTAAGAGATTAGACGTTGTTTTCATCGAGTCAAGTGGTTCTTTTTTAACTAACATTTTGCGGGATATGATGGCCATCTATATCAACTCCTCCGGGGTTGAGGACGCGTCGCCATAAGCACATGCTGAAAACGGGACTTATTCTAAAGCTCTCTTGGATACAGACTCTAGTATAATTGAGTGAGGACTCGAGACCCTTGATGGGATATGAAATCTTATCATCTGGAAGATCGCCAAGGATATCTCGGATTTCTTTATCGACTTGTTTCAAAACCTGATCATCGTGAAGCAAGTGCCAGAACAAGAGGCTTAGACTCCCCGAGGTCGAGTGGGATCCAGCAATTCTGTAAGAGTTATTTCGTGTCGCTTCTTTGTAAAATCTCGATAGAACTCACAGCATAGCCCATGCCTCCGAATTGATCTCTGGGTCTGTCAGCTTGGCTCCGGTTTCTGGATCTTTAGCGTCTAACAGATGCTGCATTAGATCCGAACGGCTAGTAGATGACTGTTGTCTCCTTGTTTCCACGCAGTCGGCACAGGTCTCCTTAAGTTTACCTCTGCTCCCTATTAACTGACGGAGACGGGGAATAGGTAGCATAGGAATAACACTCTTGAAGAAAGAACGAAACGGAAAGGTGCCGAGGAGACTCGAGAGAAAGATATGGTCGCTAATGGCAGGGATCTCAGGGGCCATCTCGCTTATTTGAGTATTGAAGGAACGGCCAAAGGCAACATCGCCTAGGATGTCAAATACATAAAATCCGATCAGGCGCTTGAAATCGAATACTTCCTGGTTCTGGGCTAACCTTTTCAGCTTCTCAATAAGTATCTTCATCTGACCATCAATCAACGGCTCCATCTTCCATATAGAAGCTTGCGAGAATCCATGTGATAGTTGTCGTCGGCGTAGGGCGTGGATCTACTTTAAATTAGTACAATGGCTACCTAGGTAGGTAACTAACTCTATATCTGCAGTATGTTAATTTGAGGATCTTAGCAACTGACATCTTCATCCCTGCCGCCAAACAAATTTGGCTTAAACGCAGTGAAGCCGTCGTAGAACTCTGTCTTAGCCATCTGTCTCCCCGACTTGTAAATTGGCGATATGGCGTCCGCATTCCAGAAATGTAGGTCATTAGGTCCAACCCTTATAACGGGGCCATACTTGATATGCGCATTGAGAAGTTGTTCGTGTAGGTTTAGCTTGTAGATGTAATAACCCTTCCAGCCATTGGTGAGAGAGGCGAGAAATGGCCCAGGATACTTCGACAGAGGATGGAATAATTTTTGGTAAGCCACATATATAGTAAGGAACAACAATAGAGTGGTTGTAGCTACGAAAGCTACTTTTAATTTAGGAGAAGTTTCCAAATAGTCCATTGTGTGAAATAGATCCGTTTCTATTACCATGAATATATTAAAGCTGGGTGCCGTTTTTAGTTCTTATAGATGGTTGAGCTGTGTTGAACGAAAGCTACTACTTGTCTCTAATAGAGTACCTTAGGTTTTTAACTTACCCAAACAATTCACGCAACATGATGTATCAGTTGAATAGGTAGCGCTGAGGGTGAACTCCGAACCAGACAAATTCGATACGAGGCTTTTCAAGAAATGACTGATAGAATCAGCGAATCATCGAATCCAAACGGTGATCCTTTGATAACTACAAACATGACCTGTCATTGAATTAAGTACACGATAACTCCAAGAATTATAGCAGTTCATGACAGTTTATTGTGGGTATTCTCCGCGGTAATTCTCCCAAATATGTGCTTGCCATGATGTCAGTTACTCTTCGCGTATCAGTTACCTACCGGAGCGTAACTTAAGTCCCGCGCTCCTAGCCTAGAGCCGAGTAGAAGGGTTACAAGAAAGCAATTAAAGGGGAGGGGGGGGATTCCCGACTAGCCAATCAGTTTACACGCATTTGGAATAAAAGCGGAACACATGGGAGTAGCTGGTATTGTCTCATTCTTCTACCGATGTCCCCTCAGTAATTCTTTGAATGGGAACTATTTGCGAACTCACTATGATAAAGAAATCAGATTCCAGCATCTCTTTCTGGGGTTAGTACCACCAGTTACAAGCCATCTCTTCCTTGAAGAGCTAGTTAGCATTTGTTCTAAGTGTTCCGAGCATAGTAGGTAATTATCATTTCTGTCAAAAAGCACAGCCGACAATGGGAACTCAAATCCAGACATCAACCAGCGTGTATAAAGTTGCAGGAAGCTTGTCCTTGACGATCGATGTGCAAGCTCCTGAAGGGTATGACCCTAACTCCGGGACCGCTCTCATCCACTTCCACGGTGGTTATCTTGTAACTGGTTGATACTACCCATCATCAAGATAAAAACTAACGAGTGTAGGTGATTGGTGAAAAGACTACATTTCCGCCGTACTGGCTGATAAATGCCTGCCACCGACGCGGCTGGGCGTACGCCACGCCATCGTACCGCTTAATGCCGGAGGCTAATGGTCTTGATATTCTCCAAGATGCTGTCGATGCCACCAACTGGGTACGAGACCAGTTTGCTAGGTCAAACCGACTGATCGTCGCCGGTTCCAGTGCCGGTGGTTACCTTGCGCTCGCCACAGTGGCTCATCCCCAATCACCGCCGGTTACGGCTGTCCTTCCGATATACGGTATGCTTGATCCTGCGGCACCACGATATGTTAAGCCAGGGAAACCATTAACTACACCGGTCGATAACCTCAAATCTGTCGTGGAACAGATATATGCTGTCAGAGCAACGTCGGTTGGAATTGACGGTTATGCGTTCCCGCAGGACATAGCAACAGATGAGAGATACACTTGGATAAAAGCACTGCACGAGGCGGCGTTGTACCCGGATGTATTGACAGATGTACGAGGCTTGGCACAACAGATCAACGAACGTGGTATTGGTGCCATCCCCGAAGAATTCCGTCAACTATTTCCCGCCTCGTTTGGGCTTCACCGAGAGCTTCCTCCTACAGTATTACTACATGGAGACGCAGACGTTGCCGTTGATGTGGAGTTAAGCCGTGGTGTAGCAAAAGCCCTTGAAGGCTTGGGCGTCAAAGTCTTACTGGAGATTGTTAAAGGTAAAGGCCATGGCTTCGACGTTAGGGAAGTCCCGACAGATATCGATATTCTTAATAATTCCACAGGAGATCTTCATGGTAGCCTATTTAGGGTCTTCAAGTTTTTGGAACAAGCTGCGGGTTGATTCTAACAGGTAGTTACCTAATATGGCACTGTCACTCGGGGAAAATGATGTTCTCACATGTTGTTATTAGTGATAGCATTTAATTACTTATGATTAAAATCAAGTCTAATATTAATTAAATTGATGGGGGTACGTTATCATTAGAGAAATATACCCTCGCTTTCCGCTAGGTTTCCGAAGTCAGTTATATTAACCTGATATTATATAGAGCCTACAAGTGAGATAACGAAAGAAAAACTAGAAAAATAATACTAGTTCATTTCAGTCGTTCGAAACGTTCTCGTTCCTCATCCCCCTTTGCAAGATAATTCACTGTCCATTGTCAAACATCGTCTTGCTTAGCCTCGTCATAGCTCTCCTTGCTACTCTTGATAGCTTTCTTACCCTCGGAGTACTTGCCACTTTCACCTTCTACATCTGAGCCAACCACGAGACGTGTTAGCGAAGCCGCAGATTCATTCGGATGGTGGATATTCGGGAAGACAAGAACCCTGAGAAGTGGTATAATCCTTGGAAGGACATGCATCCAGAGGAACCGCAAAAGTCAACCGGCTTCACGCGCTAATCCGGAGCCCGGCATCAGACCTGGGTCAAAAGCATTCACTGTGATATCTCGTTCCGGAACACGCTGCTTCAGGCGGCGATCGAGCGCGTACGTCCATAGTACGTTCGCAAGCTTGCTTTCAACGTACCGCTGGCGACCCGGGTTATTAGCTGAGGCAGAGGTGGGGTGTGCCATCTCCTCGGCACTTATGTAGTTCGGTTTGGGCATGCCACCTGTATTTTGGTCTGGGTCGTGAGTCCCGCTGGAAACGACGACTACCCGAGCCTTGTAGGCAAGATAAGGGCACAGGAGATGGAAGAGTAGAGCGTGGCCAACATGGTTGACACCGAAAGTTGATTCGAGGCCATCAACAGTTTTGACTAATGATCCAGGATGTTGCAGACCCGCGTTGAAAACCAAGGCTTGTATAGGGGGGTAATTCTTCGATGTCCAACCTTCAGCAAAAGTCCATACACTCTGTAGGCTTGAGAGATCGAGCGGGATGTAAACTACGTTTTCTTGACCGAGTGTCTTATTTATGGTATCCGCGGCATGCTCGCGGTCTGATCGTGATGAGACGATGATCAGGTATTCGGGATGTGCCCTGGCAATCTGTAGCGCGGTATAGTAACCCAGATTTATCGTCCCGCCGGTAATGATGATTGATCTTCCGTAAGCCATCGCCTATGACTCTATGTAGAGTTGTCGGAAGTTGGATGCTTAAATTAAAATCAGAAAGTTGCGAAATGCTTCTAAGCTGTATTGTTGATGTCGTATGTAAATGTGTATTGAAATATAGTTCCAACTTCGTGATAAACGTATGGCAAAGCAAATAGGGCGAACACCCAGCTATATGTACTACATGTCCTGTCTCTGAAAAGAGCATTGGCCTTGAGGATTGAATGTGTTTAATCCATACGTCGTTGCTTTTCGCATTGCTGCTGGAAGCTATCTCCGTCAAGCACCGGTAAGATGAAGTTCATGAAGTTCTCTTCCCTGCGGAGTTTAGGTAATGTCGGAGTTCACAATTCCTTAGATTTGGTTTGATGGCTTCTTGGCGAAATAACTGAGTAGCTGAGCCTGCGGCGGGCGCCGAGGAGACCGAGACACAGTGCCCACGTAATCCAACGTCACAATTCACCAATGATCAGGTTTATCTTTGGCAGTCTATTGCCTATTAAAAAGCCACATGATAAATCCTATCGTCATTTGCAATCCTATTAGGTAGGTAGTACCTCTTACAAGTCTTTGAATTCCCATTGCCCAAGATAAGGGGTTCGAGTAAAATGCATTCAGCAAATGTTATGCATTAAAAGTGGTATGAGGAAAATAGGAGTACCTAATATTTGCACTGCGCATCTCTCGGATCTCGAATTAATATTTTACTTGTCTAAATATTAATAGAGCAAATATGTGTTGATGGATATCAACATGTACCTATCTACTACGAATCTTATTCTACGTATCTCTACACATCATCGACTATAGTTCATATCATACACCACCTAGGTAATCATCATGATCCAAAAGCCAACTCCCACACCTTTAACCTCACTTCGTGTCTCTCGTCACCTTATTCCGGCGCACGGACTTATCCCCAACACGAGCATCCAAAACAAACCGCTATTACACTATCATGAGGTTTTTCCTCCCTCAACACTTACCGCATCTGCCATAGAGTCACATCTCACATCAGTTGGCGTTGTGGAGCCTCAGTGGCGTTTTACAATGTATTCTGCTACTCCCTTCCACTCCACCACGCACGAACTGTTGTGCATTAATAACGAAAAGGCGAAGCTCTGCTTCGGCGGCGAAGGCAATCCCGACAAGGTGGAGAAAGAGGTTAAGAAGGGCGATGTATTGGTCGTGCCGGCTGGTGTCGGGCATAGGCTATTGGAAGATCTTACAGGTGGATTTGAGATGGTGGGTTCCTACCTGAAGGGCTACAGTTGGGACATGTGTTACGGCAAGAGGAACGAAGAGGCCAAGGTACAGGTGTATTAAAAATCTGCCATGGTTCGAGAAAGATCCGATCTATGGAGATAAGGGCCCCGTGCTTGAAAATTGAACGTTAAGAGAGCGATATTATATACCTTCGGTGGCACGGTTATTGTCTAAACTTCCTCTTTGGGGGTCAAAGTTATGTTGGTATTAGTGTGGTACGAATGGCCTCACCGTAAGTCAAAATCACTCAACACCTGAACGATCAAACTCATCAATTAGACACTCCGATACCGAATGCTATGACTTAAAGGTCAAACGACTAACGGGCGAGGGACAGGGCTGTGCACATATCTTCATCTCACGGGAATCGGCATGAGGAGAAACAACAGGATGATCCAATCGCAAACTATTGCCTCGATAACCGTCTACGAATATTAACGTGTGAGGGAATGCAAATATGGACGTCAAAGATGAGGCGTCGGCATTGATGACCCGTGGGAGATCTTGTGTAGCCTCTGTTACTACGAGCTGATCAAAATGGAGGGTATTAAAAAGCACGAAACCTGCAGATACCCGTCCGAGCTTCCGGATTGTCTGGGTTATATGGAGACTTGGTTACGCCCAGTTACTTCGTCGAGGTAGAAAAAATACCTGTCATTTGAGTTATCTATGGCGCATCAATATAAGAGCTGTGGCTTAAATAAAACTTACGCCAGTCAAAGCTTGTGGGTGCTCAAGCTTTATCAAAGGCTTGACCAATTTGAAGTACTACGGATTGCTTCATCATCAGGACGACCTCTTCGACTATATATACTCGCCTAGGTGCCCTATATCTAATTTTTAAGACCCTTCCAAGATATTTCTTTCAACTACCAGCTCAGTCAGAAGCATCTGAAGAAGATTACAACTACCGAAAGCCATTGCGACTAGCCAATAAAATGTGCAAGCTTGTAATTACATATCGTTGCGGCTGTAAGCCATACGAAACTCGAATTCCTTGCCCGAACCCCAACTGCAATATAGTCGACATCACCCAAGAGTTGTCATGTGGGCAATGCGAAAAGGACAACACGGATATAGAGCTAGCTATAAAAGAAGTCTAAGAATAAGACTTAGCTCGAGACTCAGTTACGATAAGTCACACTTATGGGAGGCCTTAAAAGTTTTCAAAAAGACAAGTGAGTTCTTCGAATAAAATGAAAAGCGACTCATTAATACAACTGTTAGAAGGTAGCCTTCACACACCACTTCGCCTCTCTACGTTCTGGTTCAGTTCAACGACTAGTCGGCCGAGGAGGAATCTTATCCTGCGACGCGAACGAGCTTAGCCTAGCTCATGGAGACTCAGAACCGGTAATATATATTGCTTTAACCATTTCATCCGCGGCATACTGGAGACATCAGCGCATCTTGGCAATGGCCCAGATAAATCATCTCGGGTTGAGACTGAATCATGGGTGTAGATTTGATAGTTATGGGTTTATGAGTTGGTAGTTTTTTATTTCCAGTTACACTATAACCACAGGCCAACAAGCCAATATTGAAGCAACAATACGTGGTTATTGGGCACCTGAAGACAAAGTTTAGTTTGAATTAATCGATTTTGATCTTCTGATTCGTTGAATTACAATGGCAGTATAGCGACCTGATTGGCCGAGTTTGTGATGTAGAAGTCCACCTCTGTCGGTCTATCACACTGCGACGATCTTACTTGTCACGTCACATGCGCGACTGGGCCTGTCAGAGTGGTAACCAGCATATAGACTCGGCACATGTATAATTCAGCATATAATTTAGCATATAACAATACTTTTCACCCACCGCAATCCAACTTACTCTTCTAGCATGGCGGTAACTACACTAGCCAAGGCATCGCGAGTGACAATATCATGAGTTTACGAGAACTCATAGCTTGAGACAATATGTTCCACTCGATCTTCTTGCTGTCAACTCTCTTCGCCGCCGCCCTCGCGGCAGGCATTCCTTCTCCACTAATACAAAGGCAAGATGCCTGCGCCGGCGACAAGTCCACCACGGGATACTGCAACACCTTGTCATACACAGACAGAACCGGCACCTCATCAACATCAGCGCCGTCCTCTTCAGACTGCCAACAAACTTGCCGAGGCGTATTAGGGGATGCTGGCGACTGGGGCGTGGACTTCACAGATAGGCCGGCGGGCTATCGTGACAACCTCTACCTAGGTCCTTGCGAGTTTGGCATCTCACGAGAAACAGACGGGGATAACGCAGGGTTCGAGTTTTCAATGCATAACCAGGATATTGTGGATGTCATCGACGAGGTCATCAAGAGGTATGCGGGCCAACACGATGGAAAGATGCAGGCGGAGGGCACGATGGAGTGTTCGGGCCATGTGGTTCGCTGGTATGTTGGTTAGGTGGTCAAGAGCTGGAGGTCATAGTCAAATGGACATGAGTAATGACAAAAGACATAATTCGTCCGATGATGTTTTTTTTGGCGGCGGGGACCTTTGACGAGTTGGTGCCGGCTGGAGGAAGAGTCTATTTTATGACGTATAAAGAAGATATGGCCGCTAGGCCGGGGGCGTTCATAGATCCCGTGGGAGTGAATTCAATGGGACGTGGAAGTTGTTGGTTAGCACACAGACTGAGTCTTGGTCTTATTATCTTCATATTGAGTATCACGATAATAATGCAACTTTTTTTATAAATACCCTAATAAACCCTAGTTATGGTCCTATGGGTGTGTTTACGTAGCAAATTAGTTGTACAAGAAACTAACATTCAAATTCTGGATTCTCGAAATGCATCACTAACACGACCATTCCCTTGTGAGTCCATAGCTATAGTTCTCAGAAATATGATCGGCCAACGTTGAGCAGGCGGCTAAGCAAAATAGAATTGGGAAAATATAATTGGTTGAACAGATCTATATATCACGCACGGTAACCGCAAGCTGCAGGGGCAGGTCGGGGTAAAAGACAAGGGGGGAACGAATCAGAACTCGTAGCTTTAACCCCCTTAAAAGCCTCTAAGATTTACAACAAGCACATGATACCTAACGCTTGCCTGACAGTTCTGTTGTAAATATCATTAACCCCTCAACCTAACTAATGTTGAAAATGGTTCAAAGGATACTGGCTCAAACAAACCAAGTCTGATAAGAATATCACAATAATAAAAGTAAGGAGGGGCTCCTTAAATATGATGCTAAATTGAGTATCTGGTACTTGTGTAAGTGAGAATATGGTATGATTATAGTAGTAGTAGTAGTAGTAGTAGTAGTAGTAGTAGTAGTAGTAGTAGTAGTAGTAGTAGTATATCTATGACCGGGAGAATATGTTCTAACCACCTTATATATGGAAATTGCACTAGGTATACTACGGAAGGACCTCATATTGAAAACGCATACTGTGTGATTTACAACTTATTGTTGGACTGCACTCCCTGGAGTGACAGGTGATCGATCCTCTTCATAGTGTACCGGCTGGACCCGTGTAAGAATGACGGTGGATCATCTTGCAATTGGTAGACGAGCCGTGTGCAGGCTACCATCTGGACTGTTGTAGTAGAAAAGTTTGGCATTTTACCTACCTCGAAATACAGTAAGCTAAGCCTATAATAATATATATTTTATTGAATTGCTAGAGATACCTAGGTTAGGTACTAATATTAATTCTGACTTCTCTAATTCTTCTATGGCTTACATATATGTAACTATCCTGCAATATTAACAATGGCTATTGTGTATTGGGAAACCTAGTACGACCTTTTCTACGTCTTCGCTGCATTGAGTGGTATTAATGGTAGGTTTAAGGGTAAGTTATTCCGGAATGTGAATCCAATGAGTGAGGCGAAGTTGAAACAATTGCTTAACAAACCTATTGCGGGAAGATCAGATGCCGATCGGGCCATCAAGACTATTATCGAGGTTTTGCAGATGGTGTGTCTTTCCGTCTATTTCCCGATGTTGATAGTCACAGTTTTGATTCTAGCTCTCCACTCATTCGTTGATGTATGCTAACAGATTTCCCAACCTGTTAGACCTTTGGTGTTTTCGAATACATAAATGGGATGGGTTTCCTAATGTCCGATGATGCGGCAACTGCTAATATAACAGCTATCCAAAAACTAGAAAACATAAGAAGGTTAGCTGAAGCAAATGAACTTTTGGATGCCAATTCCTTTTCTCGACCTTTTCAATGTAGATGCTACTTATCTCTGAAATAGTCTCATCTAAAAAGGAGTGAAGAATAGGGGGAGGGGGGTTTGGGTGCACGGGCCAAATAGAAGGTATTGTGAATATATCTGGTCCGCCGTTGTATAACATGTCTGTCCTCCCATACTTGCATACCTACCTTTAGGTACAAATATCTTTTATGCTTCTCTTTTACTCACTTAGAATCCATAACTCTTATGTCACCAATCTCGAAATTCTTCCCGGGGAATTCTTTACAGCGAACAGTGAACGACCCATCCCATGATTCCCCCGCGTGCAATCGCCAGCTTGAGGCATGTCACCTTGATATCATCCAGAGCACGATCATAGCCTTGTCATCATGGATGACGCAATCAAGTTCAGAATTCTCAAGCCAAACGAAATCCGAGAGAAGTTTACGCAGTGGGCGAGGGAGGAGCTAGGGCGCAACTGGACCGGGGAACTGGATAGGAAAACTGAGACTGCAGTCGGGTTCTGGAGGAATACAGCAACAACTTCTTTGAGAAATACCTAGGTAGGATGTCTGCAAGCAAGCCTCTATTTTTTTTCTAGTTATGTTCAATGATTATCTAGGTACCTGACTGGATCCGGGGTCAACTATAAAAGAACCGTTTTAAACAGCTAATCCCACGATGTAATAGTGGCAATAACTATATGTTTTAATATACTTTAAAAAAGCTTTTTATCTTTTCCTTTCCTTACGCAATTACGATCTTGATCGATAGTTTGGTTTCTCCTAGGTTGTGCGCGCCTCGAGAGACTACCTACATAGGGGTAGAAGTAGGGGAGCTTAGGACTTACATCTTCCAGAAAGGACTATGGAAATTCTAATACACCTGCCTGTACGTTATATGAAGCTCCCTGTTAATATACCACACCAACATTCGTGGAAGGCCCGTGTATATACCTGAAATGATGTCATTCGTGTTTATAGCTCACGTACATTGCCTTGGTAGACGATGACGAAATTTCTTACTTCCTAGCAGTTACGATCAGGGGTAATTGGTAATGGAGTAACAGCAAGAGCGTGTAAGTGTCCAGTTCCCATCACACGTAGCCTTCAAAGGTCCCCCTCTGTTCTTAAGAACTTCATCTGGAATCCGAGTTAACGACCTCAAAATCATACTTGAGTACCACCATCTTTTAGAGGCAGATTTATTTCGCCGCCATCGCACATAACAATCTTTCCCATTGATTATCCTATATTTCCTTTACGGTTCACACTTTCGTTTATACATCATAGCGAAGCAGTCCGCGCAGCTTTGACGGAGCAATCGTTAACAATTTCACAATACCTTTACCGCAAACCGAGAACCACTCCGAATTTCAAACTTTCGCGCAAGGCCATCATGCCCCCTAGCTTAGCAGAGAGCCTGAAGAAATGTCTACCATGGGAGTGGACGCTGGAGCAACTCGTGGAACGCTTCTCGTGCGTAGCCATTGCTCTATACGGGTATGATCAGGGCATGATGTCCCTAGTCAATACAAACACATCCTATCTCCGCATCATGAATATATCAAGAGACTCCCCTCTTGTCGGGGTTATTGTCGCTGTTTACTACCTTAGATGCGTAGCAGGTGCCATAATAGCGTCGCTTTTTGCTGACAGATACGGCCGAAAACTGTCAATTCGCCTTTCACTCGGCGTAACTATAGTTGGGGGTATCTTGATGGTCACTCCTGGAATTTTTTCGTCATATATCGACGAAACATGGCACGGCTGTGCTTTCTGGGTCATGATGGTCGGGCGGGTCGTGCTCGGGATTGGGATTGGCGGCATCGATACAGTAATTCCCGTGTACAGCTCCGAACTTTCCGAGGGCAATGCTCGTGGTACCGCTTGTGAGAACATCCCTTCAATTACACCCCTTCTGATCGTTTCTACCGTACTTCCGCAGGAATACCCAGTTCATATAGCCCTATTTGCTTCTAAACTTCTTTGATAGTTACTGACGACCAACCTTCATAGTGGCAAAAGAGTTTCGGGCAAACATTGGAGGGCTATTAGTGGCGTTTGCATTGAACCTCTGCTTCTCCCGTTGGATAAAGAACAGTAGCTTGGCCTAGAGGATGCCTATATTGTTCATGCAGGCTTTCCCCGTAGCACTTCTGATGATCATGGGCAAACTACCAGAGTCCCCACGCTGGTTAGTAAGTAGAGGAAAGACGGATGAAGCTCGGGTGGTACTTTCAAACCTTTATGGGGATGACCAGGCAAACCACAAGCTCCAAGAGCTCCAAGAAGTCCAGCAAGAAGAAGCTGAAGAGGCAGCGGGGTGTCTCCTCGACAGGCTATGCTGTGGACCTGGCCGGTTTCACCCCAACATGATCACAATAATGGTCCAGTTCAACCAGGCTATGACAGGCGCCGGGGCAGTCTCAGTCTACGGCTCGCAAATATTTCAACTTCTAGGACTACCATCATGGGTAGCAGAGTATGCAACCCTCGGCAACTACACTTTTTACTTTATTACCATGGTTTTCACCACGCGTTCAGTCGACAAATACGGGCGCAGGAAATTAATGTTGGGGGGTAGCTGTGGGTTGACAATTTGCTTCGCCCTTCTAGGCCTTGTCGCGATGGGCGTTCTCACGGATGACTACGCGTTCAAATTGTCCATGGGAACCCTAACTCTTGTGGGTTCAACAGCTATATTTGGAGCGTGCTGGTTGACGACTGTTTGGTTGATTCCAACTGAGATATATTCGGACAAGGCGCGAGCGCAGGGTGGTGCCATCAGCGTCGTCGTATGGGGTTCAGCCAACTTTATTATCACGATCCTCACACCGATTGGCTTCAACAATTTGAAATTCTGGCTGTTCTTCATATTTGCCGCTACCAACCTTTTGGCAGGACTGCTCGTCTGGGCATTTTTGCCTGAGACCGGAGGCAGAAGCTTTCAAGATAACCAGCAGTTCTTCGTATTGGCCAAAGAAAGAAAGTCATGGTTCGTACACAAGGTCGACAATGGTAGCTTTTTAACCTTGCCTCCCCCATAAATTTGCAGGGTTGGAGTGCGAAAATGTTCGCGGTTACGGAGGGCAAGGCATTGTCTAGCAAGCGAGACAGCTGATGTCTTTATAATCTGTTAGATATTAGACATAAAGTAGTTACTTGCAATAACCAGCGATATCAACAGCGAGTAATAATACGGGTTACAACTTTTGCTTTATGTTTTAGTAAATATCCCCAAATTTGTTTGTCCTAGAGCGAAGTTTTCAACTTGGGTGATTTTCTGTCTCAGTTTTGAAATTATGTCGGTTAAACATCGGCCTAGTGCGACCAGCTGGAACAACGGTGTTGGCGTTATAGGTTGAAATTCCACCTGGTTTTTCACCAACAAGGGTGGTATAGTATAGTGGATAGTACAACACGTTGTGGATGTGCGAATATACTGATACCGTGTAGACCTGGGTTCGATTCCCAGTACCGCCAACCTTTTTGCTTTTTACCTACTTTATGAGTCCGATTGCTGCCACTTTAGCAAGGTTCCTTTAGTGTTCATCTTCTTTTCTTTTTGGCCTTTTCTTTTTATCCCAGATGTCATGACTCTTGTCAAATAAAATACCTATACTTAGATTCAGGTCTTCAGGATTCACACTGACTTTATTTTAATACCTTGGTTCAATTTGGAGGGATGCGCAACAAAACAAAGGGCGGTAATATTCGATATATGGAATGATCCAGGTAGCTCCATACTATTTTTATTTTTATTCTCATATCACGCATTCATCCCACGGCTTCAAGATTCGATAGTTTATTTAAGATTCCTTCACATAGCATTACCTGAGCATTACACTCTCGATGAATCACACGGAGAAGCAATTGGTGACGTAAAGGTGATATATTCTAAAGTATCAACCATTAAGCTGCTTTTGAAATATACGAATTTCTATCACCTAGCCATACATTATTCATCGTCAAGATCTTGTCATGGTCTTGTTTAACCAGTCCACACAGCGGGGCCAGGGGTCTTGTATGAAGTGCCACCACCCTGGTAGATGTCAACCTAGCTTTTGTTAGCACTCGAATATGCACAGAAAGATTGGATCGACTGCTTACCATGATACCGGGGTCGGACTGGGCAGCATACGCGGGGATGGAGGTTAGGAGGTTGGCCGGAGGAGTGGCGGTACCGGAACCGGTAACCTTGATCTGCGCACACTCGGGGTAGAACTGAGGAGTGTTTGCTTGGTGGAGAGCGAGCAGCTCGTGGCGGATGAGATAGTTGCCGGGCTTAAGGGTCTTGGGAATCCGGCTGGAGTACTTGAGGTCCTTGAAAACAACAGCAGTTCCCCAGTTGTTGCTGTTCAAGACGTTGCCCCATAGGCCCAACTCGTCGATCTTGAACCACTTCTTGCTCTTGCCGTCGCAGGCAGTGAATTCACCGTCACAACTGTAGAGCCACACCATCACGGGGCCCTGCTCGTGGGTCCACTGCTTCCAAACCGCAGTCACGTTCTGACCGGCTGGGACTTCGGCGGCGAGGGGCGCTGAGGTACCACCGTTGCAGGTCATCTTAGGGTCGGTGACAGTCATGATCGGGTTGTAGTCGGGCCATTGTCTTTGGATGATCTGGGCTCCCGCAACGGGAGAAAATCCTTGGTAACCCTCGTATGTCTTTCCACCAATTTCGTAGCTTGTCACGGCACCGTGGGCGGCGACCAGGGCCGGTGCGACGAGAAGAGGAAGTGAGAAGAGCATCTTGACACCAGAATACGTAAAGCGCGGTGATGCTTGCTATTAGGACGGAGGATGGATAATCGTAGGCCTTGGCAATCAGCGAGACACGGTAGTATTTATGCTGATCGTGCTGGAGAGCAACCAGATTCACACCAGGCTAGGATAGGGACGGCGCAACATTATATCCCCATGGTCTGATTTTGTCTAGACCACCCTAATGCTGGCCCACGACCTCTCCCGGTGGGTGCGGTACTTGCCCATGGTCGGCCGCCGGGGTTGGTGCTATCATTAGAAGCACTCCAACTCGACGGATCGATATTAACTTGAGCAAATAATTCCCGAGCGCATAAGTATGGGCCACAGGTGCATCCGAGCATTTCCGTCCAGCTAGACGAGCGTGCGAGAAAGCTAAGACACGGCCTGGCGGACCGGTAGTTGAACTAGGCCACATCATATTCGGCGGTTGGCCCATGACTACGAATTTCACAGCGCGTAGAAGACCTTAGACGCTTCTTCGGCCAAATTGAGGCTGTACCCATCGCGCTAGATATGAAATTCCAATCAGGTGGTGGCTCAGGAGGCAACCAATTGGAATACACGCGTGACAAATCTGACAGACAACATTTGACTTCCCCATACGTTTAGATATATCGGCATGCCAGAGTCCGGGGAAGGTCGCATCGCGGGACCGAAATGGGACGTTTCCCTGTCGTTTATATAACGTCCGGCGCACAATGTGATCATAGCTCATATATGATTAATACGGCGACTTTAGGCTATATAGGTTAAATCCGCGATTCCGCCTCCCCCTTGTCGCTGTGCTGCGCTGCAAGCATAATTCAACAGAATGTATTGGAAGACTTTGCTGGTTTGACAATGTAGAATCAATCCCCTTGGATAACTGTGCCGAACAAAGGGGAATAGGGTTGTCAGCATATGGAAATTCCAAGAAGACCGAGGCTCATCTCTAAGCATAACTAAATGATAGCGTAGCCGTCCTTTTCGGTGTTATCGTATCGGCGTGAGGCTCTACCCAGCCGAGTAAAGCCCTGCTGAAATACAGGGCATCGTTCCGAGCACTTGAACGATAAAAGTAGACTCACAGCCAGGGGCGGATCGGGTATCCGTCACCTCCCCACCTTGGCCTTCACCATTCGGCGCACTAGTCATACTCGGCGCTAATGAGCCCATGGATCGGTAGCGAGAATATTGTAGCGGGCCTTGGTCATATGGTATGAGCGTGCTTCGTGCCTCATCTCGGCCGTGTTACCGTGTCTATAGTATTGGCGGTCGAGTTCGTCCGGAGGGCTGTTGTAGGTGGAGACTATGATCATCAGTGTGACTGAATAGGACCTCAGTGTGGATAGCTTCAATACGGCCCCTACGAAAATTTTGAACTATTTAAATTTCTCGCGATATTTGAGTTTGATAGCACATTGCTAATCTTCACAGCCGAATAGTCTGTCTTTCGTATCGTAGAAATAGCTGGCTGATATGACAATATCCGCAATATGTACCTTAAGTTAGGAAAGTCACGGAACTCAGGACTTCGTTATCTTAGGTACCTGGCTAAGACATCGTGCCAGTTCATATATTGCTAGAACATCATTTATAAATAGTACCTTTAGGTAATCGCAATGCACATAAAAAGTATCTTAACAGCATGCGTTGGTCGAATATACTTAACGAATATTCATACCTCAACCTAGATTGGGTCTCTTTACTTGCGGTATTTATTACACGCCAGCTTATACGCTACGTAAAGTCGTAAACCATTAGACTCTCTCGCCCCCTTGATTCTTTAAGAACAATAACCATCTCGTCATCAAAACCGACCCAATTCCGCCGGCCATCCCACTGGACAGCTGTGGTATCGATAATAGCGGGATCATCTGTTCCTTCTTTGTCATTGGCGGTAGGTCTAGTAGCTGGGCGTATTTCGATACTCTTGCCGTGCGCCCTCCCTTCAAGTTCCCAGACTCTAATCTCTTCGCCGCGGGAGCTGACACTAACCGCCTTTCCGCGTGCCGTTATTTCAGCGTCGCTTATGCCGGATGTGTGTCCCCAAAGCCGGATGCCAGGTGATATCGACAGTGAAGTCGCATTTGATGTGCAGAGATATAGAATTAATGTATTATCTGGAAGTGTTGCGAGGAGATAGGGATGGGTATAACATAAGTTGATGGGTCCATATATTGCTCCGTTCTCTTGATGTGAAGATTGTAGGCCTGTATGTCGGGCTGGTGATGTTAGTGTCGATGGAAAATGGGAAGAGCTATTCCAGACTGGTAACGTGTATGCTAATCGAGTTGTTATTATATCCGACGTGTGTTTTGACCGGGATATAGGAGGGCGTAAGTGTAAATCCTGTATGCCTAAACACCACCCTTGAAGAGTCGAAAATGTATAAACAATCGAAGCTATGATACTACCAGTTGTCTTCCGGATGGATAATGTTAAAGGGGCTCTTGAAGTATGCGATTTGAGTGATGTGAGTAGGTAGGGTGCTTGAAGTGTCACTATCTTGGGATCTTGCTCTATCCTCCCTGAGTCTTGCCCGGGTTTGTTTTCGAAATTCCGCACATAGCTATTGACCTCTCTAGTAGATTCTAGAGTGCTAGCACAATCCGTCTTATTAGGACCGTCGAACGTGTACATCGATATGAGTACGGATTTAGTTGCTGTTAAGAGGTATGGATAAGAAAAAGCAACTCCGACTAACTCCCCATTGCTGGATTTCTTGTGCCGATATCTCAGCAGGATCCTCCTTTCTTCCACGTCTAATGCCCAAACCCCGAATCCCCCATCTATAAAACCTATGGCAATTTCTAGGATATGTTGATGAATCTTTTGGTCGTCTATCGCAATGCAACTTGGAGCAGCTCCCGAGTCAACTTCTCCTAGACCAATCTGTGCTAAGAGTTGCTTCGTCTTCAAGTCCCACGCTCGTAGTCCTGTAGTGGCATCTGCTGTTATCGCGATACCCTCGGTAATATTTACAAGGACCTTATGCGATAGACTCGTTTCGTGTAAAGAAAGTTCTTGTCTAAGCTGCAGCTCTTCGACGGCGCATTTTCCTTTAGACCAGTTATGGCGCAGCTTATATTGTTTCTTCCAGTCCCTCGAACTGTCATCCGAATCTCCAACATGCATATCTGCCCAGCCTCCTTTTCTTCCATCTGCCCATACTGCTTTGCGGGAGGAGTAATGTAGCTTGCCTTCTCTGGCGGAACCATCCCGGAATCCCGGAATGCGAAGGGCGCGGGGTAGGACGAAATGCGAATAGTATAGGCGTTTCCATAGCTGATAGTCGCCGGATAGGTGATAAAAGCGCCGAGATACAGGAGAAGTGTTTAAGAGATCTGGAAGAGGCAAAAAGGTGAGGATGCGTATGAGGAGTTCGTCAGATAACGGTGATAATAGATCGGGTTCTGTGGTATGACGAGATCGCTTCGATATAGCTGCTCTAGACGTGATGTCGGACTGTAGACGCTTCCGTTTGCAAGTCATTTTACTTTCGTATCGTTCTATTGGCGGAGGCCAAAGATCAAAAATCGAATCCTGCTTAATTACGGACCAATACGATATGATACCTTAGGTAGGTATGATAGGTACGGAGTTCGAGAGTCGCGACCTGAAATATAATGTAGAAATCGATAAGGAATACTTGGTGATGAATCGCATCGCGTTTCCATTGGTGGGTAACTTAGGTAATGGGAATTATGTAATAACAGGGACCTGCCTGGTACTTAATACTGGTAAGTTATATCTAGTACTAAGGTTTGCTGATGTAATGTTACCCAACAGACGTATCCACTATTAAAATGAAGCCTATCGGATTCACTAACTTCAATGTTCTCCTTCACATTTAAACTCTAGGGTTTACCTTCATGTAGTTCACGGAGTAACTGCATACGCGGAACGTGAGGGCAGCGTTTAATGATTACTTGTCGAATAAAACATCACGTTAATTTATTTATATAAAGTTTCTCATAACGTATCATCTTTAAAGGCCTGCTTATGAGAGATTCCATGAAATATATCTAGAGTGTATATTTCGTTATTGTATGTTTCCTCCTTAGATGATACGGATTGAAGACGAGCTGACAAGCATCAGCAATTCCAACAAGATTTTATATTGAAATGTAGTGCTTCATCTGATTGGTACCGTGATATAAATCATAAGCGTTCCTATGTAGAAGTATGAACTAATGCTAACCAGATTACCAGACCAAGCCTTTAAAGCATCCTTCCGGGATCCGCGGATGCCGATGTTAAAGCAGACCGCCTGAGCAAGAACATAATGCCAACTTAAATCCGGAAGCAAGACGTATCTTCGAATCGTCACATAGCTTATTGTTCTATGGCCCCCGCATATGATTATACCAACCTGCAACTGGCCAAAGAGGACTAATTTGTTATAAACGCCACCATGGACGCCGAGGTGTCCGAAGCCGGTGTTCTAGGGTCTCCTGGGCCGAGGCGAGCAGTAAGTAAGACCCCGGATCCTGCCGGCCCCGTTATGCTCAATTTGGCTTGTCTTGGTGTGATACTATCGTTGATTTTTGACTGAGACCTGATGGCTAAGTAACATTCGCACCATAGTGTGACCAATGCAGACTTAGGAAGGTAAGGATCCCACCCTACTGTTGTCTACCTCCCCTGTCATCTCTACGATGGAAGCTATCAAGTTTATGTATTAACATGTAAACTCGTGTTGGTAGATACGTTGTGATAAGACGTCACCGTGTTCTAATTGTCGAAGCGCCAAGAGGTCATGTAGTTCCACGGGAGCTGGCCAAAAGCCTAAGGAACCGCGACAACGAGTGTTAATTTCTAGCCAATAGTAAGCAGGATATTATTAGTATTCGTGACATATCTTTCGATAAATGAGGGAACGCTTACTGACAGACATTTGTTCCCCCCTTAGTGAGCGAAAGATCGATTTAATCGAGGAGCGGCTCGGTGGTATCGAGACGCTTTTGCGGAATCTAAGCCCAATATCAGCACCTGCATCCTCATCTGCTGAAAGCTCTACACGACGACAATTCGACAAGCTAACCCCATTGTCTCTAAGTAGTCGAGATGATACAGCTGGCACGGTGTTTGACTCTGAGGATGCGGGGGACTTTGAGGGCAACTCGTCGCTAGCCGCACATACTGCGTTCGCGAGCGAGTTTCTCGAGCATGCCGTGCAAGGAACCCCGTTAGAGCAACAAGGCGGTAACACCAAGATCGACGCAGCCTTGTCTTCTCTGCGGCAGATCGTACAGATGCAGGAAAACCGACGTACCGTGTCGTCCTTTCACGAGTTTCGCCTGCCTGGCCAGAAGCATCATTCCAAGACCCCTTTACGGGATCTACCTTTACCCCCAATGGAAATCGTGGCGCAAACACTTCGGGATATGAAACGTACGTACCTATCTAGGACACTATTAGAATCCTATAGCTCGCTCACTCTTTACTGTAGATGGCCCATTGCCAATGATGCTTGCTGTCCTCTACTGCTTCATAGATGTTGAACATTTTACCGATCAATGCCGACGTGTCTACTTCAATACCGAAGATATCACGGACGCGACATTTATCCTAGTTAACTCCGGTCTTGCGTATGTATTTTTCGAGGTAAAATTGAGTGCCAAAACCCCTGAGGAGAAAGCCGAGTCCGACCGATACTTCAATATGTGCCAGAAGAACTTAGACACAGTACTATCCAACCTCAATCTCCTTATGCCGGCAACGTTAGAGAATATCGAGGCCTTACTCATGGCGGTGAGTTTCCTGCTGCTTTCTAAATAGAATGAAACATTCATAACATTCCGGTGGATTAATTTCTGGGCTAACGTAATGCGCTGAAAGTCGAGCTTCTCGATAGATATTTCACGTCCATCCCTAGCATGGCTTCTAGCAGAGCGGGCTGCGCATATGTGCCGGACGCTGGGCCTTCATCAAGTTCACAGTATGAAAGACGACAGCCCGCAGAAGAAGGCAGATAAGTCGCTACTGTTTTGGTGCACATACATGTTAGATAAGGGGCTGTCGCTGCGACTAGGTCGAGCCTCCATTCTGCAGGACTATGATATTTCGCTACCGCATATTGTTCCTGAGACTAGGGCAGCAACGTATCCTGGAAACGAGGTTATGACGCTGTGGATTAAGCATGCACAGATACAGGGCCGCATATACGAGCGCTTATACAGTCCCGGCGCCTTGCGGCAGTCCGAGACGTACCGTGCCGAGCAAGTCGGCATTCTAACTTCAGAGCAAAAACATCTGATGACAGAAAGTCTGGCGCTCTTCTCCGAATTCAACACGACCGATGCCACCGAGGGCCGTATGTTTGCTATAATGTTAAAATCGGACGAAGTTGTATGTAATATGAAGTTTCTTATATCCCCAAACCATCTTAGTCGGTACTTCCCAATGGAACTATATAGGGAGCTCTACACTCCAGACATATTTCTATCGATCTATCCTCGAGAGGTTATTACTAATCCCCTATAGTCGTATCTTTCGTCATTAGCCCTTACGTACCGTGCTATGCCGCCCACAGGAACCCGCTCACGCACGTTTGCGGATGAGTGCATTGACTCGGCTCGGGCAGCCATGGCATGTCACCAAGAAGCTATGGAGATGATGGATGACCAGTCGTTAAAGATTGTATATATTCACTGGTGAGAACTACTTGCCACCTACCCGCTTGTCCAAGTTCCCACTCCTAACTAAACACCACGTACAAAAAGGACGATTCTCTACGCGCCATTCATCCCATTCATCGTCATTTTCTGCTTGGTGATCGAGACGTCAAGTGCGGAAGATTTGCAGCGCCTAGCAGATTTTGTACAATCGCTAGAGGCAGCGTGCGACTTATCAGAGTCAATTAGCAAGCTGCACCAACTGTGTCAAGTGCTATATAACATCGCGCAGCTATATATTGAGGCCAAGGCCCAACAGCCCATTGACCAGGACATGGTGCCCGTAGGCAACGAGTTTAACATGTACTTGAGTCAACTGGGCTTCATGCCTATGGAAGATGGCGCGGCCAATTTTGATTTAGCTGGTACTGATGATCAGGCCAGATCCATGGCGCAGACAGCGCAGCTAGGAGATTGGTTCTCGGGGGGGAATCATATGCTAGGGCTACTCGAGGAAGATCTTTCGGGAATAAACCCCTCAAGTTGGCCGTCGTGACTTGCCCCTAACCTAGATAAGTCAAGACATCCAGTTACTCAACCCGCGTGCCTAGATCTGGATGGACGCAATGGCGGCTTGTTTATCTACATAAATACGTGCATACCTGGGTATCTGAGCTAAGGTATATCTTAGGACACCAGGTTGAACTACGGGGTAATTCGTCTGAATACATCGCCCCTCCTTTTATATATGTATACATATAATAACCCCATAACCTAGACGAACACCATCTAGCATATATGCATCATAACAAATAAAAGAAAAAGAAATCTGGAACTTTGCATTTTCTGCTTAAATTTTAGCCTCCCTGAGGTCTGGCTACTTAGTAGCTGATAAACGTCAATATATGTACACGTAACAGGAGCTTTTTTTCTTCACAGGTGTGACTGTTGCTATCTATGAACTGCTCTTGCCGAGACGCTCAGCCTCCAACTCTTGCTCTGCTCGTCGGTAGTACTTTGCTGTGTCGACACCGTGCTGGTTGTGGTTGACGAAGTTAAACCAGGGCAGCACCGCAGTGAAAAGGGCAGAGTATCGCGACTGGCGGGCCGCAACGCCCTGCATGTGCGGTGTCAGTCTGCTCTCGCCGTATAGTGGCTCACCCGCTTTGACTTTGTCTACCATCTCCCGCATGTCCAACTCCACTTCACGGGCGTTCTCCGACATGCCGTAGAACCGTACTGTACGCGACAGTACATTATGTCAGTGGGGATATTCTTTCGGATAGAATAATGGGTCAGTAGAACGTACGACTCGATCGCTGGTAGAAATATAGGAATCCACCTATCACTCCAATTGCGCCAGCCAAGCGCATGGCTCTCGCAAACCCGCCCCGGCCAACTTGCGAAGGTGCGAATTTCTCCATCGTCCAGAGCAAGCCCGGGCCAGCCGCTGCGGCTACGGTGCCGTGCACATAGTCTGATGTTCGGGCATAGCCTACCACCCTCTTGAAATGTCTACAGCGCCACCAGGCACATGTTAGCTCCATGTTCTACCGCCAGGCAATATCTTAGAAGTTCGAGATCAATACGTACGGGTCATTGTCGATGAGCTAAATTATAATTCGAATTAGCGAGCTATCTACAACCCAATTGGTAACGGTACATACGGGGTAATCGGACTGGACGACTTTGCTAGGGATATACGTCTGCTGCGGAGGGTTCGCCATTCTAGCGGAGTGGAATTGGACTCCCCAAAAGCTTCGGTATGATATCTTCGTATATTCGATGGTTGTCAGCGGCAATCGGCAATCATGAGAGCTTCGAAATCGCAAGGTCTTGGAGATGGATGAGGTAAGCGGGGTTTCTTCGGAGATAATGATGTACGAAGTATTAACCTAAGGTTAAGGTTCCACTTAATAATGCGCGCTCTGACCACCCTCACTTAGATACGTACCTCTCTAGCTCCAGTCCGTCATCCAAAATCAATTTAACTTTACCAAAAAGACCCCACGTTAAATCGCGTCTTTTCACTTATGCGACGCGTCTTGAGGCTTGATTCTAGTATTTACAAAGTCACAACTTCAACATACAATCAATACTACGAAAATGGCCTCACGAGGAGCACACAAATCTTCTTCGGCATTAAAAAAGCCGGTAAATGATATAGATAATTACGACGTCGACGATGACCCCTTTGCCGAATCTGGAGACGAAGCTCCCAGCAACGACACCGCGCAGTCTAAGAAGCGTAAAGATGCTACCGGGCTTGGAATTGACGAGGCTGTAGCCGTACAGAAGAAAGTTAGAGCCCCAATTGTAAAGCTAGATGAAGGAAGGTTCGTATTATTCACAAGTATCCGGGTATTACTAGGAATGATATGGGCTTATCAAGTATAGATTGCTATCCGACAAAGGCATCCCGAGGTTACGAAGAAAAGCTCGAGATTTAAAGTTTAAAGGAAAAGGACACGAGGTACGAATATCCTATATTATTATATAGGACCGATAAATAGTAGCTAACAATAGTCTAGTTTTCTGACGCTGCCAGACTTCTCTCCTTTTATCAATTATGGTTTGACGACTTATTTCCGAAGGCCAAGTTTTTAGATGCTGCGGCTATGGCGGAGAAAGCAGGTCATAAGAAATATATGCGTATGAAACGTATGGAGTGGATCGAGGAAGGGAAACCCAAACCAGCAGGACTTGACGGAGATGATGATGACCTCTTTGGCGATTCTCACGATCAACCAGAGGAGCGTGCACCTGCAGTGTTCCCTGCCAGGATTGCTCCCATATTCCAGGATCGGGGAAATGAAGGGGCGCATACGCCTATACGAGATGATGTGCCTGATGACGACGACGATATATACGGAGCCACACCGCAACCATTAAGGACAACACAACCCACAAGTAAATTGTTAATTGGAAATGGAAGCGCTAGCACAGGACCTGCGAACGCATCCCTATTTGGAAATGGTGACGAGCCCGACGAAGATGACCTAGACGCACTGATGGCAGAGGAAGAAGCACAACGTCCTAAACCTGTTTTTGTTTTCGGCAATGGTGGTGGGAAACCCAGTCAATCAAGAGACGAGCCAGAAGAGGACGACTTGGACGCATTGATGGCTGAAGCCGAAGCCCACCACGAACCCCCAAAGCAACTTTCTAATCTTACAGCCAGGCCGGCACAGCCTAGCGTGCAAACCGATGAAGAAGATGATCTAGACGCATTAATGGCGGAGGCGGAAAATGAGGGGCAACAGAAACAGCCTATAGGTTCAACGCCTAAAGAAATAAAGGAGGTAAACCAGAATACGGCAGATGCAGACGAAGAGGAAGCTATGGCAGAGATGGATGGGTTGTGGTGAGAGGTCAAAACTGAACAGGGTATGATTTATTGTATAACGATGCATGCAAGGGCGTCTGTGTCATTTTATATATGTGCAATGAGCGTGAATACATGAACAGAAGTAAATGGCTTTTGATAATGCCTAACTACCTATGTACATATACTTTACAGTTGCTAAAGCCTTGTGATACTACAAGCAGTTATATCATAACTACCTAGTTAGTTAACTAATTAGTTAACAACAACAAACTTAAGTCTCTTTGAGGGTCCGGCTACTCTATGCGCCTTATGTCCGGGATTTAACTCTTTTGCTCCATGGTGAAAATTGAACGTTATCAATTTATAAAATGAACTCTTTGATCTGTCATATGTACCTAGACCTAAGCATAAGGTAGATAGTAATCCTTATCGATAACAGTTGTTGGGCATTATGACAGCAGCCGATAGTATCCAACAGCTAAGACGGTCGGTCCACTTAATTACTGCGGTATCCCACCAGCCCACCAACCCACCAAACATTGAACTCATTAACTTCACACATTGCAAACGTCATTTGATGGTATCGTCCTAACTTTCCCTCGCGACTGTTTTGGAGCGTTTGCTTCTCTAACTCCAAGTTGTTGTTTCAAAGAAAATGGCGTCTCCCGACCTGGTGGAAGCTATTCAAAAGCTTCACATCAGCGACGATACAACCATTGACGATATCCTCTTCCAACAAGGTCCCCGTAAACGATTCAAGCAAGATCCAACCGTGTTGAAAACAGAGCTCGAACAGAAATTCCTAACTCCCTCTAACAAATTCTCTTCTGAGTGGCTTAACAGATTACAGCAAAGATGGGACAGCCCAACCGATCTCACCGAGTTGTTTCGCATTGCACCTACTCAGACTCGAACCGTCACACGCTTCCAACGTCAAGGTCTCGAGGGCAGAGTGACGGGATACAAGAACGTTACTGCACCTGCAAACAGTGCCACAGCCAAAAACTCGACTTCCCTTATGCGTAAACCCGGCGGCCGTGCTGATTTTGTGCGTGGAGCTGCTGGTTTCTTCCCCTTTGCACCTGGTGGGCTCGATGGTGTTGAGGCAATCGCTGCTATCGAAGACCAGATGTTACGTCCTAGCACTATCGGTACTCAGAATAAGCTAGAACGCGTTATCAAACTAGGCGCCGAGGGCGGCCTTCTCGAAGTGGCCCCTGGTATGGAAAGGGGAATCGATTTTAGCAAAAAGAAATCTAAGGTCGACAAGAAAGAAGCAAAAGCAGTCGAAGCCGAACTTGACCAAGAACCCGAGCAAGGTCCCGAGGCTAAAGATACCAACGGGCACCCAGACACTAATGGCATCGAAGAGGAAATTGACGAGGAAGATTCAGAAGATATCGACACTCTACTTCCTGTCGAATTCCCAGCTTTAGAGCCACACGGTAACCTTTCATCAGCTAAGGCAAGAAAAGCTGGCCGAGAATGGGCACATATGGTGGATATCAACCGCGATATTCCCAACTTCAAAGAGCTTGTCCCGGACATGGCAAGAGAGTGGCCATTTGAGCTTGACACGTTCCAGAAAGAAGCTATCTATCATCTCGAGGGCGGCGATTCTGTATTTGTCGCTGCGCATACGTCTGCCGGCAAGACGGTCGTAGCTGAGTATGCCATCGCCTTAGCTGCGAGGCACATGACCAAAGCTATCTACACGTCACCTATTAAAGCCCTGAGCAACCAGAAATTCCGCGATTTCCGACAGACCTTTGACGAAGTTGGTATCCTCACAGGAGATGTCCAGATCAATCCTGAGGCAAGCTGTTTAATTATGACCACGGAGATCTTGAGGAGTATGTTGTACAGAGGTGCTGATCTAATCCGAGATGTCGAATTTGTCATTTTTGATGAGGTTCACTACGTGAATGATTTCGAGCGTGGCGTAGTCTGGGAGGAAGTCATCATCATGCTTCCAGAGCATGTTTCGCTTATCCTGCTATCTGCAACTGTCCCCAATACGTACGAATTTGCCTCCTGGGTTGGTAGGACCAAGAAGAAGGACATATACGTCATCTCAACGCCGAAGCGACCTGTGCCTTTAGAACATTATCTGTGGGCTGGCAAGAATATCTACAAGATTGTGGACCACGAAAAGAAATTCCTTGAGAGAGGGTGGAAGGAAGCGGACCAAGCGCTGCGTGGAAAAGATAAAGTTCTCCCAGCGCCAACTGCTCGCGGCGGTGGCAACCAGCGAGGCAACCAGAGAGGAGGTCCCCAGCGCGGCGGCCAACAACGTGGCGGTCAACGTGGCGGTGGTCAGCAAAGGGGCCGAGGAGGTCCCCCGAGAGCCGGTCATGCGCCTGGTCATATGGGCCGTGCCGGGAGGCCAGGAGGCTTTTCGTCTGCCAACCAGGACAAGAACCTGTGGGTTCACCTTGTGCAATTCCTGAAGAAGTCTACCCTACTACCCGCATGTATATTCGTCTTCTCCAAAAGGAGGTGCGAGGAAAATGCCGACGCGTTAAGCAACCAGGACTTCACAACTGCTCAGGAGAAGAGTCATATTCACATGATTATTCAGAAGTCGATAGCACGTCTACGACCCGAGGATCGAGTCCTACCTCAGATTATTCGTCTGCGAGAACTCTTAAGTCGAGGTATTGCCGTGCATCATGGCGGTCTATTACCAATTGTTAAAGAAATTGTCGAGATCCTGTTTGCTCAGACCTTAGTCAAGGTGCTCTTTGCAACAGAGACTTTTGCCATGGGTCTAAATCTTCCAACTAGGACTGTAGTGTTTTCCGGCTATCGAAAGCATGATGGTCACTCGTTTCGAAATCTTCTCCCGGGCGAGTACACTCAGATGGCTGGCAGAGCTGGCCGTCGTGGACTTGATCCCGTTGGGTCCGTTATTATTGTGCCTCCTGGCAGTATGAATGAAGCCCCACCTGTAGTCGATCTTCAGAAAATGATACTAGATCCGCCTAGCAAGCTGAAGTCTCAGTTCAGATTGACCTACAATATGATTCTGAACTTGTTGAGGGTAGAGGCGTTAAAGATCGAAGAAATGATTAAGCGCAGCTTCTCCGAGCACGCCACTCAGCAGCTACTTCCAGAGCATGAGAAAGCCGTTAAGATATCAGAAGCTGACTTAGCTAAAATCAAACGAGAGGCGTGTAAAATTTGCGACGAGTCTTTGGAACAATGCCACCAAGCATCGATGAACTACAAGCAACTAACGCAGGAGCTGTACAAAGGCCTCCTATCTATCCCAATCGGGAAGAAACTTTTTGCACCATCAAGACTTGTTGTATGGAATAAAGATGGTATACGAACCCCGGGTATCCTCTTGTCAAACGGTGTTAGCACGAAAACTTTAGGCGGCCAACCAACCGTCCACGTCTTCGAGATCAAGACTGAGCGCGAGACCCGTAACTCGACTGATCTACTGCCTTTTGTTGATACATTCCGATGGCTATTGTCGCCTCTCCCACGCAACAAGAGATCAATGGCTGGGATGACCGTTCATGTACCGCTTAGCGATATTGAGTGTCTAACCGGGAAATTTACTACCGGGATCGTACCAGACTTTTTCGAAGCGGGTGAACCACACCAGAGAGCAAGAGAACGGATGTTAGGTATCTGTAAAACCTGGGAGACAGATATGTGGAACGAGATCAGCTTCGCAAAGATCAAAAGTTTACAGTTGCAGGAGATTATCGAGAAGCGACGACAAGAAGAAGTAACCATCAAAAACTCGGCTACAACGTACTGTCGGAGCTTTTTGAAGCACGTAAGTCATTCTATCTTTGCAGATTATAACTTTTTAAGGCTAAACAAAGACATCAGTTCGCCATGTGCCATGATCAGTGGCTTATTAAGGAGACCATTTCGTCCCTCCGTTCAGCTCTCGCAGATCAAAATCTCCAGCTGCTTCCCGACTACGAACAGCGGATTCAAGTCCTAAAGGATCTTTCTTTCATCGATGCCGATACCCGCATTCAACTCAAGGGCAAGGTCGCATGCGAAATCCACTCGGCTGATGAACTTGTCCTCACCGAACTCATCCTTGACAACGTCCTCGCAGACTACGAACCAGCCGAAATAGCTGCTCTCCTCTCCGCCTTCGTATTCCAGGAGAAGACAGAATCAGTACCTAACCTTACAGGCAGCTTAGAACGCGGCATGAAGACGATCATTGAGATCAGCGAGAAGGTAAATACCGTGCAAACGGATCACCAGGTTATACAGAGCGCAGAGGATAGCAACGACTTTGTATCGCGCCCTCGCTTTGGCCTCATGGAGGTAGTATACGAGTGGGCGCGCGGTATGAGCTTTAAAAACATTACGGACCTGACGGATGTACTCGAGGGTACCATCGTGCGTACCATCACGCGACTAGACGAGACGTGCCGGGAGGTCAAAAACGCAGCTAGGATTATCGGCGACCCGGAGCTGTATCAGAAGATGCAGACCGCGCAGGAGATGATCAAGAGGGATATTACTGCCGTTGCTAGCTTGTACATGTAGTTTTTTCACTACCTCTCTAAGTAGAGGTGAGGAGCTTAGCGTCTCGGTTATTCAGGGCGTCAAAGGACTGGCTCCAGTTGCACATGTTTGTGTTGTTATCTCATCTATAGAAAGCAACGAGGTATGACCGAGATGATAGCTATAATGATGCTTGTAGGAAATAAATTTACTATTTGCCGGATACCTCTTTTTTCCAGAGTGATCTGTCTAAGGACGATCAGGAGTGTAATGTAGCGTTACAATAGCCGCGAACAGCAAAACTTATCAATAGCATAATTTCAAACTGCTGGACCGCTTCCTAATGTTGATAACCCCTATTGATGGCATGAGAGATTATATGTTTGACCCAGTTGTAGGTAATCTGTGAGATCAACCTAAATAGATGAGAACTATAAGCTACTTGCTACAAGAGCTTACAACTGTACATGCTGACAGTGCCCTTTGTTATAGACATCCCGTCTAGAATCCTGACATGGATTTTATGATCGTCTTGTACAGATTGTAGGCAAAGTAGCGTAAAACCTGCCTGCGCAACACTACTTCAAAAATGAATAGAAGTATTATGACAGTATTATTCTTCTGGGTGTTCATCATCGTATAATTTTTATCTTTATAATCTAGGTGCGGAATAGCCTCAAGTATATCTAGCAGTAAAGTAGCATGCATGCGTGTATCGATCGGCATTATAGGTGTCTACGGCACTGGCAGACGCCCAGGCAACGAGGTACCTGCCTATCTATATAGGTACGTACCCCTTCCAAAGTAATAGTTATATATCCCAAGTGCAGACCAACTGTCAACCGACGCCCCTCGCCTGGGCGACTTGAGGTTAGAGAAAACCCCACTGTGGTGTCTTATGCTGAACCGTTCTTCCTAACGAACGTGACTTGACAGCAGATGCCTAACGAAGCCGGTTTTTCGTAGGTCTTGGGTTCGAATCTCCTGCCCCTATCCGAGGGGATTCGAACCTAGGACTGAGCTTTTTTTGGCTTGTTTTTTAGAACTCGTTTTCTTTTTCTTGGTGTCATTTTTTAAGGTATTAAAAAATACCTACCAAGTACTAGGCTTATGATTTGATGTTTTGTAATGTCTTTTAATAGCGAGCGTAGAGACCTTGAAGATAAACGGGCATAGGACTGATTTGATTAAAGGCCTGTAAGGTCGAATGTAGGTTGCTCACCAAATCGAACTTACATAGCAAGATGTCACTCTAGAATCTATAGGTATATGATTTGACTCTAAGTTATCTTATGTACTCGTACTCTGCCATAGCTTGTATTCAAAGCTGTGATCCAAGCATAGACGAATGATCCTTAGGCAATGAAGAGAGGTGTATCTACATATATCATCAAAAACACGCACGCTCAGAAAGAGAAGCTCTAGCAGTAGTATTTACTAACGAATATACCCAGCAAAAGAGTAAACAAGCAAGGACCAAAGTTCTACGGTTTCAACGCATTGGAATCTTAACTCGATGCCCGTAAATAAGCTCTATTCCACACCAACAGGTATTGCGGCATCCGCGTATACAAGGAGAAAAGGCACAATAACCGGAACGCCTAACCGGACCCTTATGTCGTGATGCTAAACAAAATCTGCCATCCCGCACGCAATCAGATAGATATCAATACCGCATCCTGCTAGCTACGTGTATGTTCATGCCGCCACCTGCGGAACTCCCTCCTGCTCATCGCCATCCCCACCATTCCCATCTCGGCTTCCGCCATCGACTTTCTAAGCCCGCAAGGCGCGGAGGCGCTGCTGCAGAGCGTCCTCTTCTTCGGCGGTCGGCTCTGCGGTCTGGGGGAGGGCGGGCTCGGCCCGGCTGGGCTGCGCGGAGTTGAGTTCGGAGTTGAGCTGGACGCCGGCGTCGTCGGCGAGCTTGCCGAGCAGTTCGTGCACGGCGTCCTCGGAGACTTGCTGTGACGTCGTCTGCGAGATGGCGTCTTGGTAGATGCCGTTGTTGACGGCGTATTCCTCGTTCTGCTGCTTGAATTGCTCAAGCGTCATTAAGGTCTGGGGTTTCGGGATAATGTTAGTATTTTTGTACTTGACTTCCGCCAAAAAAAAAAAGCGATAGTACGAAGGGGAAGAAACGTACGCGCTCGGGGTTCATGTTGCGTTGAGCAGCGGTCATGGTGCGCGAGGACTGGCCCATCATGTTCGTCATGCGGTTCATGGCGTTATTGGCCTGGATCTGGGCGACGCTAAGTTCGGCCATGTCGGCCATCTGGTCCATCTGCTGAGCGAGGGCCTGCTTAGAAAGCAGCATCTTGGCCTTCTGGTAGGCCTTAGCCGTATCGCCTTTCTTCAGCAGGTCCTGGATTTGCTTCTTGAGCAGCGGGTCCTGCTTCGCTGCCTTTTGTGCTTCGCGACGGGCTTGCTTCGCTTGGAACTATACGAGGAGAGTACATGTTAGTTTCGGATATGTGATATTGGGAGGATAGGACGGGGAGGTCGTACGCGAGCCTGGAACTCGACTTGCATGTCGCGGGCGAGTTGTCGGTTGGACATGTTGATTGGTTGAGGGTTGAAGATCGATGGCAAAGGAAGGGCAGTGGATTTTGCTGGATTGGCGCGTTTAGCCGATCGTCAATCTAGATATTGAAATACCTGGTGAGGCTAGGACAAGTCGTCGAGACGGATCGTGGTGATTAGGATGGATGGAGTTGCGATTCACGGTCTGGCGCGGCGTTTCCTGGTGGTGGGGGCAAATGAAAGTCAGCGAATGACGCACTTCGATAGATTTTGCTGTAGCAATAAGGTACGAGTGAATTGTACCTTGAAACTAAACTTTCAAGCCCCAAACTAGAGTTCTCAGCCACAGTATTTATCGATAACATAGGTCTCATCTAGGTTATGCCTTTCTTTAATTCGCCGAGGCAAGCTCACTCACGCAAATCAAACAATGCTTCATAAACAATATACTTGTGACTGTTGATCTTCAGTTACTTGGACTATCATCATTGCCGATTAATGGGTCCACTTATAATAAGTGAGCAAGATTTCAAAGAACTCTAAGACTATTGCTTCAAATTGCAAATCATTCAAGGGAGCCCGGTTTCTACGAAACAAACTACATTGATTAGAAAAAAAAGTAACTAGATGAACTACTCTTTTGGTAAAGGACGGATATTTGCTTATTGATATGGAAAGGGGAACTATTGGGATATTATCATCTCTTGATAACTATGCTCCCTTTAATCCATGACATGATGGGTTATGACTTTGATCTGTCTCTAGTTATCTAGTAATATAAGTACCTAAGGTAGATAGTTTGGGCAAATCATTCTAACACGAATACGTAGTGGTCCTCGTAATAATTGATAATGAAATGTTTAATAGGGCCCAACACTCGTAAGCCGGATTATCAAGTACTTTTGATTATTTGCGCACACTTAAATACAGTAGCTGCCTTCAAACCGTCACCACTATCATAACTGAAATCATCCAATGCCTCGATGCGATTGGACCATCGTAAAGTTACAAATAAGAACTAGTATATCGGTCAGTCTGTCGTCAGCTTAAAACATGACGTGAGGCGTAAAGCAATATTGGAACGCATAGCAACAAGATAGGCAAGTCCTCACATTGTGATTTTCCTTACGCATCATTATGTAAATCATTTTCTAGATCATCATCGTATGTCGCGATCTTTACATATTAGCGTCTCCTTATTTTAGCGGCAAAACTAATACATACATACGGTATAACACATGTGTACATATTGACGATACCATTGTAGAAGGTATCATCATTAGCGGACTGCATTGCGTAATCAAGGAGGGCCTCGTGTTCAGATACGACCGGTCTCGTTTTGAGTCCCGCGTTGAGTCCGACCCCCTATCGGGAGGCAGTACCTAGGGGGAAAAGGGGAGGGCGGACGGACAATATCCTGATTGGTGCTTGGGACGAACTATTCAAAGGGAGGACCAGAACCTCTGGGTCTGCCCACAATTTCCTGAAACAAGCGTCGTGTAAGACTCGACTTACTTTGAATCTAGTGGTTTGACCTTCGAACGATTCGTGCTTATATAGGTAGTATATGTAGTGTACGCTATGTGAGCTAATAATCGTGTCTTGGAGGTCATAGCAAAATACAGGTATGTCTTAGGTATAGCCAATAAGATAATAATCAAGCGAATGTCTAGTAAAAATACTTTATTCGGCTTTTGGAGTAGGTCAATGTGTTAACCTAGGCATTTCGTACATTAAGTACTTCGTACGGATAACCTCATAGGAGAGATGTACCGCTAATTGTTCAACCATCTCCACATGAATTGTGCACTCTCACAATTATTCAGTTATGTAGATGAGGAGTCCGATCTTGAATGGGAATTCCCATACAATTAATTCCCACCCGATTTACATGTTGTACATAATGTAAAACGATGTTGCGCTTCCGTCCCGATCTGCTGGTTTATTAAATCGGGTTTGCGGGGAAGATTGCGAATTTGAAATCCATATTTGCATGGCCCGCGATCCACACTACGCTCGATTAAAAAACGGGGATTTAAAGACCTAATATCCGTGCGGGCTGGCGGGCGGAATCTCGGGCGCGCAATTTGAAGCGGAAGGTGTCTGGAATTATGGAATCGAAAAGTTACAGGCAGAAGGTTTCTTTACTAGGTAGTTACATGCAAATATCATGTTTCATTATCGGCCGTTTATCTTCGTAAACTTCTACATGCTAGTGTACATAATGTCTTGTACTGAGCCGATAATTTCGGATTGAAATCAGCATCGCATGATAATACTAAAAATTGAAGTAATCTGATGCGGGTGAGCGGCTACGAGGGGGGCTGAGTATGATAAGGCGTAAGGATTCGTCAATCCTTCATCGCAATGCTGAAGCTATCATATCAGCCCTAACATACGAATGCAACTATAATAGCAGTGTAAATATGTTAAAAGCAGCAAGGTGATAGAATCATGATTGGTTAACTATTGCTGAATAACAAGCGGACCTCTACAAGGACTCTTATGCACATTCAAAATAGTGACAATATACGATTCATCGACTTATATACGATCAACCGTCTTTTCAATGTAGTAATTATAGAACTCTCTTTACGTGAGTATCTAGCTTACACCATGCACTACACACACAGAATAGGCAAGACGATAAAGAGCAGGTAAGACGATAAGCGATAAGCTATTGGCCTCCCTATTTCAGTAAATACCTATAGTAGAAAGGGGCAATTTTACTGTGTATGTCTTTGTGTGCCTAAGCAAGTAACCCTTATAAATCAAGTTGGTCTTACACTGTAATAAGCTATAGGAAGATTTGAATGTGGTTGTTGGTAATTCTTAGATGGCGGGATTTTAACTGAGAGTAAGGAGGCATATTTTTATACTAACTACGATTCTCTAGCAGCCAATCTTGGCTATATGTTGTAGTGAAGGATCATAGGATTTTAGATCTTAGACAGAAGCATTCAGGTCTAGCCCGTATAACAACATAAATTTAGTAAATCTTTATAGGTATAGACTGAACTTAATCTTCATGTTGGTCATAGGTCCTAGACGATGTTGGATCGAGTAACGAGCGTTCACGTTCCCGTTGGTGATAGCCTCAAGGATCGCTATGGCTTTTCACCCGGCGTGTCGCATGTGCCGCATCTTCTTCTACCAACATAAAAATTCTCACGGACGTCTAGAACGCCACACGGTAAGAGCTTGCCGTTTACCTAGCAAAACATCCCATTGGTTGAACTAAAGACTTGTAATCGTAGAACTAGATTCCCTCCCGTGTTATTTGCTGTCAAATTGTGATGCTAGGTTGTGCGGAGGGCTTCGGTAGTCATCCCGCCGCGATTCTCCGACCATTTTGGTTTGGCAGCAATACAGGCTAATACCCCAGATGTCGATTAATTGTGAATATATTAGTCTTCTAAATTCTTCCTCTCGGAGGCCGATTTTGGGTTTACCTTAACCATAGCAAGCCGAATGAACCAAGCATTTACTATAGTTTGTGGTGAATGTACTCAAATCACTTTGAAAGCTATTAGGTGAATCTAAACAGGTACCTATGTGTACCGTACCCGGTACCTTACCTTAGGTATGGATTTTATAGAGGCTTTCCAGAGCGATCGTGGACCTTGTTCCCGTCAAATCCTCAATCGATATAATTGTGATGGTGTAGATTCTTGTCATATTTCTACGTCATGAATAACATCCAAAAATTGTTCTTTTGTGAGAATTAGGGTTCTGAACGACAGCAAGCTGCAAGTCAGCGGCGGGTTGACATGAATTGGGGCCAACACGCCCCCCAGCCCACCCAGGTGGGTTGCCAAGAATAACCACCCCTAAGCCATGGAGCCTTTCCAAATAGGCTTCGATTGGTGGAGATAGCATTGAGAAGCCAGAGGCTGAGAGGATCAACCTCAAAGTTTCGTTGGGGGATTCGACTACACTACTGCAATGTAGAATGACGAGATAGGATAGTTTGACAACACGACAATCCCCATTTCTGATGCATTTCGGTACTTTATGTGGATATTCTATTCTATTCTGCTTAGACTACCTGGATAAGAGAGACTGATGCTGTAAGAGGCAAACACTTCCGGGAGGCTTCGTCAACGATTTGAGTACCTAAATTGATTAATTGAATGTGAGAGCTGGACCAATTCGAAAAGGGATGTAACACGAGACTCCGGGGCTACCAATACTACTAATACCGCGCCGGGCCGGATGATAGACCTAAATTATTAGATGGAACTGAAGGGAAAAAGGAAGTCCAGTTCGATGGTGGAAGAGTTCTTATTCGTCTCGGTGGCTTCGTACCACAGATCCACTTGCCTTGTTCAGATCTATTAACCCCTGGCATTCCCTCTTGCCCCCGAAATCCTAATCCTTGTCGCACAAGAGCCAGACAAGGTGCACACACACAGCACAACACAGAAACTAGCGCAGGGGGATGGTACGTAGCCTTCCATGGCCCCACTGATGGCTGACACATCCAACAGTTAGCAGGGGGCGGTTTCTGCCTCAGGCACTCGACCCACCTCCTTACTAACAGGACACGTTGAACATAAAGAGAGGCGCTTGTCTCCCCTTCCTGTTCAGTCACTAATACTCAATACCAAACCAAGCACAACCATCCCCCAACAATCCACCAATCCACCAATCATAATATACTTATCTTCGAGGCCAGTGGCCACCGTGTCCTTATTGCCTTCTTACCGCTACTGCCTACTATCATTCACCTGACTCGGTAGCCTAGCCTGAGTCATTCAAGTCATTCACGTACCCTTGTAACCTAGCTAGACAATGCGCTGGCAGAGGTGAACCTGCTGTTATTTGTATTGAGGAATTAGGACGGCACCTCTTTACTTTCAGCTTTAATTCATTATTATTATCTTCTGCGGCTACAGCCTCAACCTTAATTCCGGACCAAGCTACTAGAGAAATTAGCTTGCATCCAGTTTACACAATCAGAAGAACTAAAGTCCTCCTATCAACAGCCAAACCCAATCAATATGGCTACCTGGGAAAGTCAACAAACGACGACGTCGACTCCTCAAGTCAAGTTTGAGACCTCTCCTGCAGAGTCTCTCATGTCAGTACCTGGCGACGCGTATCCCTCTCTATTCGCTACGCCTTCCACATTAAACCCCGTGGAGAGCGTCATGACCCCTCAATCATTTATGGAAGACGGGTTTGCGGACTCGGCCACAATACAATCCACTCCGTCCCCGGCTCCTGAGAGTTCCGAAAAGAAGCCGGTTAAGAAGCGGAAGTCGTGGGGCCAAGTCCTCCCAGAGCCTAAGACCAACCTACCTCCGAGGTATGACTACTCGCTTATAAGCAGATAAGTAAGAAGCATGTTCAGCTAACATACAATAGGAAACGGGCAAAGACCGAAGATGAGAAAGAGCAACGACGAGTCGAGCGAGTTCTCAGGAATCGCCGTGCTGCCCAGTCTTCTCGGGAACGCAAGCGTCAAGAGGTGGAAGCCTTGGAACAGAGGAATCACCAGCTAGAAGAGCTCCTGCGTAACCAGCAAAAGACGAATGAAATGTTGATGGATGAATTAAATAAACTCCGACGAGGTTCTGGCGTTAGCCGTAGCTCGTCCCCTTTAGATGGCTTTCAGCCTTCTCCCCTAACTTTATCTCAGCCGTTATTTGGCTCATCTCAGGATGGCACGGCACAAGACAAGTCTGGCATGATCAATGACTTTATCCTCATGCCCGAGCAGGACGGCACTGTCGATCCTGCCTCTCTATCCCCCGAATTAACCCCTATCCCTGATGACACCTTCCCCGAAAGGTCGACGACTAAAGAGGTCGCGACAGTCCCCACTTCTGCAACTACTTCCGACGAGACACAACATCCAGCAGCGGTGTTGTGCGGCCAGCAGTGTCCGTCGGTGGAAGTTCCGCAGTCGTGGAAGGCCTCGCGACAACCGTCGCCTCCAGTGCTGTCACTCTTACTTCAGCTTCAAACGCTGCTGATAGCCTCTTCGGTGATGCTTTCAGCCTTTCGACACCCTTTGACGTTGATTCGTGGAGCGCTCAAGGCCAATTTAGTCCTTCATCCGACCCCCTCGATTTTGAGTACAATAATCTGGCTAGTAACTCGACCCCCCAATTTCCGGATTTCGACTTCGACCAGTTCCTCAGCACCGACGATGTCAGCGGCGCAGCTCCAGGCGCGACCGCGGGAAGCGACTCGGTTGTCCAAGAACACCCGGACCCAGCCTTCAGCCTCTTCGACTCTGAGAATCAGATCCCTTCAGAAGCTCTTAACCAGCAGCCCCATCTTGGCGCGTCCGCTCAAGGATGCGACGATGGGGTTATTGCGGTTGGTGTCTGAGAAGGGGCGTGATGAACGAGTTGAGGAGCTGGCAGTTGGATCCCCGGGTATCAAGGGCGATCAGAGCCGTGGACCGCAGACGTGGCCAGACGGCACCAGCTTACCGTCGCGAGAGGTATTGTTCACACTACTGTGGGCAATCACTGTCGAAGAACGGAAATTATTAGAATTGGAGGAGGCGACTATAGTCTCCTCGCCAGACTCCAAACTCGGATTATCAAGCGTCCCTGGAGAACAGACATCAACGCAAAATCTTGTATTATCGGTGACTACCACATCAAAACGGCAAAGAGAAATGACGGAACTAGGTGGCGGAAAGCGGATTAGGCTTTCTCCGTAGGAGTTCCGGATTAAAATGGACTTTGGGTACACAGGCGGGCGTCAATGGAGCGGATGCATGATGGCGTGGTTTGCCATTGAAGCTGGACTTGTATCATCACAATGTTATGAATCGAGAGTTTTCATGCTTTCACATACTATATCTTGGACTCTGTTATAGTGACATGTGTACGAATTCGTGAAATATGGCTGAGCTGTTCATGGTTAAGAAACTTGAAGATTCTGATATCTGTTCATCTGTCTCGTAATTCAATATTAGCAAGTGAGATAACGTTCAATTCCCCAACCTAGAGGCTTTCCGCCGACTAATATACCTAACCTAATATATGTAGGTATTTAGCGTTGAGAGGACGTGAATTTATCCACAACCCTTTCTTCGACATTATGAAACCTTTTCTTTCTTAAAAATAATTAAAGTCCCTGTCGAATATCTTTTATTTTCATATTGGTTCCTTTCTTGTCTTCGATTAATACGGAACAACTCAAGAGCGCTGTGGAGTATTTTAAGACTAAATAAGGGGGGATTGTTCAATCACAATACCATAGCACTATTTCAGCAAACGACAAGATCTCGTCTCTTAACGAAATACAACGCCGAGTTATATACTCGACATACTAACATAGCTCTTTCTTGCACATATCTAGTTTCACGTCGAACAGATTCACGATGGGAAATTAGAGTCAAGATAATAAAAAAAACCACCCACCAAGGGTGAGTGTGTTGGAGTCTATTCGTTCTCTATAGTGAGTTAAGATCAGCACCTTCTAGTTTGGTGCGATGCGGTATATCCATCATGTTGGTCATTCCCAGTATATATCCTGTTCCCATATCCGTCTGAATCGTGCTGCGAAGATCTATGTCCGGCACAGCCACAGCAGCACACATTCATTCTACCTATTCCTCGGGCAACAACAAAAAAAAGCAAAGCTGAATAATGGGCGACATCTACTCGTCTAACCTGCGAAAACCTGTTCGCGTCTTGTTGGGTAGCTTCCCGCGGGCGGGTGTGACGGGGACGACTTTACGTGGCGTAGTCCCACTCGATCTTGGCGCGGCCGACGGTCAGAGGCGCGAGGGACTTGAAGACGGCAGGAGAGACGTCGATGGAGTTGTCGCTGCAGCCGGGGCACTTGTCGACGATGGTGGCGATTGCGGTTGCGTTGCCCATGTGGATCTGGATCTTCTTGCCGCAGGCCTGAGAATCGGTGGTGAACTGGACGGGTGATAGCGCAACGATCATGTCCGTCTCCGAGTTTGTCTCGCCACAAGATCCGAGGCCGGGGGTGTAGTAGGTGAGGTCTCCGCTGAAGGCGACAGCGTATTGCACGACGAAAGACAGGACAGCGATGGTCTTGGTGAAGGAAACCATTTTGATGGATGGAGTAATGATAGTGGTGGTTGTATGAAAATGTCGATATGACGTGAAGATCCCGAAGGGTGAATTGGCTTTTTAGAATTCTCTTATAGCTCTAGTCGTGGAGGCGTCAAGGAGAAGTTTCCGAGTCGGGAAAATGCAACGATATCAAATTTCTTACTTGTCCGTTGAGATTAACGGGAGTGCGCCGGTATGGCAAAGAGAGGCAGCAAGTAAAAGAGTGACTTGCTAGTTTGAAAAGATTGGTTGTGTAGAGAATGAACGACAGCGAATGTGATAACGAGAAAAGCAGAAAGGAGCACGACCTCGATGGGTTCCGCCCATCTTATATAGTCATTTCGAGGCGCTGAATATGATACGCCATCAATACCTCATACTTGTCGGACCAATGACTACAGCCCAACATGGCGGGTAGATTTGAATCATGTCATCTGTCATCTCACGTTAGTTGAAACATTTCGTCTGTCTGCTACCCTACGGCTTAGAGGCGGACGCTCGTCTCCTACTGGGCGCTTTTCCATTTTGCGAGTCAGACAGCTTCAGATGAGAGTTAAAATTTTACTCTATTTTCCGGATCTAATACTTTATACCTACTAGCTAACACGCGCCGGTTTACGAGTCATGACATCGACTACACCCGGTTTCGGAAGTAGACAGGCTATCTCATCATTCTGGGGATGGTAATAGAGATTCGGCATGTCCGGGTGAATAGCTGAGACGGAGTTTCTTGCAAGAGGTTTGCATCACTATACCAAGTCTATCGCCTCCAAAAGTTTTAACAGCACGAGCAGTATAGTCTCACGTGTATATTAACAGTATATACTTTCTTTCACACTTTAGTTCTAGGCTATAGGAGCTTTTCTCCGGGCCTAGGGTAATCAAGTATGGGTGGTGTCCGGGGACAGAGTGTCTGCCCTGAACTAAGAGGTAGTTGATATGCTATATTCTCCTATACCTCAGATTCGAAACAGTAGTTGTATTCATGTCAGTCATAGAATTGCCGTTTTGCTTTAGTTACTCTCTTAAAGAAGGTGGTGATTCTTTTCGATCAGAACTACAAGACGTTGTAGCCTATTGATCATTTAAAAGACCTAACCTACAGGATTGACGATAACGATAACTAGGAAGAATAAATGTTTATCGTGAAGCAAGAGCACCAAGTCGTCGTTTATGATACATAGAGTAAAGCAGATGGCTTAGTTTATGTTTAAGTATGACTTATATTACTGGAGGCTCCATTATTAGTGTCACTCTCTAGAAACATAGTTCTGGTATATAATATTGCATAGCTCGTGGTGCTGTTAATTTATGTGGCTCTGATAGCTTGTAGTTATGAATAATTATCCTGTGCAATAGTGGCTTCTGAGTAGCTTTGAATTAATTAAATACCTCCTAGGTTATCTATTTTCTATCTTCACTTAAGAAGCCGTATCCCATCGATGTTCGTAAGTATGTAGTCGTAGGCAATTGAATGCCTCGGTTCTGCCACGACCTAAGGAAACACAAGTAGCATAACGTTGAGGTTTATGGCTTTTCCTTGCTGGTCAGATAGGAAACACGTCTGATACTTTCGCATTAATGTCGCACGGTTTCCAAAACCACCTGGAAAAGATACTCGTGAGTTAAACAGCCCAAGAAGCAATTCGAATACCAAACTTACTTCTTTCCCGTCTCTGTGAAGCAGCAGAACAGAAGTGCAATAGGCCAGCAGATAAATGCGGCTAGCACAGCAACACAGAAGCCAATAGTCGGGCCTGTTCATGCGAGGTCAATATGTGAGGTCAATTTTTGTTTACGAATAAGTCGTTTCCAGGTGCATCCGGATTCTCTCCGGGGTTAGCGGCTCAACTTACCGATGATCTTGATACCGCAAAGGCCAACGCCTCGACCGCATTGGATGCAGACGACGGGAAATGGGAGTCCGCAGTCAGCCATGTTTACCTAGAGTGTGTTGATTGACTCGAGCCTGGAAGGCAGAGAAGCGAATGTTGGATGGATAAATGGATGGGCTGATGACGATGATGTTGCGAGGCGCGACCGGAATGAGGATAGTGTGAACTTGGCAATGGGCTACGGGCAACAAGACGGGATTTACCAGGTACATAAGGTGTGTGTATTTATCATATCTGCACCGTGCCGTGCCGTGGAGTACACGTATATTTATGGATTAACACAAGTCAATCTTAGACTGGACCTTGGCATGTTTATGACACGGGTATGAATAAGCCAAGAGGGCCAATGAGTTTCTGTTTGTTCTCCCTTTACGTGTTCCATTCACCTATCATCGTTTAGTTCAGCTTCTTCGTGTTGAACGATTGGTATTTTACAGCTCATAAGATGCTGAAGCAATTCATCACATCGACTAGCTACACCAAGAAAGATTACCCAAATTTATGTTACTATTCATGTAGCTATAGAGTAACTACCTATCCGGTTTGCGACATAATCAAGGAGTGTCTATGGGCTTTCTGGTTACCTAAGGAGCGAATCTACGCGAGAAACAACTTCCCTGGGAGATGTAATACTTTTGAGTACAACTGGCCCCTTAAGCCTGAATAGCAGTGCCGTTGATCTCCAAACGGTGGAAACCACCCTTAGAAGCAACATCCTTCTGCAGCTCTGCCATACGCTTCTGATCTCCAGTCGGGTCAGAAGACTCGCCATCAAGGGACCAGGACAAGAACGAGTTGGTGTAGTTGGGCTGGAAGTTCTGGTCCAGGACGCCCAGGCGCTTGCCGTACTTGGTGACCTTCTCCCAGTCTCGATGGACGTTCTTAAGGTCCCTGGAGAAGTAGGCGAACGAGCGCTCGAAGATCTTGCGGTTAAGTTCGGTGCCCATGATGGGCTTGAACTCGACGTACTCGGCGTACGCCTTCTCCGGCTCTGCGATGACGAAGTCGGTCGCGCGCTTGACTGCGCGCATGAATGCGCGGACCTTTTCCGGGTTCTCGGACAAGAACTTCTCGTTACCAATGTACAAGATAGTGCAGAAGCAGCAGCAGCCTAGCTCGGCTAGCTGGTCAATGCGAAGCATCTGAACGTCGCTCTTGGGACGACCCTGGGCGGCGAGCCACTCCTCGAGCTCGACCATCTGGACGTTCTCTAGACCGATACCAGCATCGATCTCTCCCTTGATGATGGCCTTGGAGACATTCATGCCGCAGCGGACGGCAGTGTAGTCAGCTGGGGTCATGCCATAGTGAGAGGTAAGCTCGTCAATTTGGATCTGTGAAGCTGGTTAATACAAGGCTGCAGAGTGAAATGAGCACTTGAATTGGGCACCTTTCCGAATTCGCCTACGTAACCGATTCGCTTTCCCTTGAGAGTCGTGAAGTCAGGGGTAATACCGCTATCCTTAAGGTAGACGACACCCGTAAAAGGCTCGTCGAGTAGCGACCCGATAGATAGGACTGGGAAGTTACGGGCTTTCGCCTATACAAGAATTCTTAGCTTGAGTTAACCTAATCGATTATCCGATGGCGTCTTACAGCGAGAGTGTGGATCATAGCCTTGAAGCCGAGATCGACCTTTCCGGTGCCGACGATTTCGGTGACATCCTATACGATATGAGCACTAAATCTACGCACGATGCAATACTTCTAGAACATACACTCGGGTCGTTGGGCTCGAGAAGAGCAACCTTGATGCCCTCGTCTTTGAAATACCCTTTGGCCTGAGCGAGGTAGAGGGGAGCGTGATACGGCGTCGCGTGCCTACTGACGTTAGTAAATGCTCATCTACGGTAGATCTCTTTATGCTTGCCAGTTGGTCAAGAACGTGATCTTGTCGGTAGACATGATGGATCAAAAACTGCTACAGTTAATACTAAGCTGCTCGGGTTAACAGGGGGAAGGGAAAGCAGCATGTCCTTTCGCTGGAATTATCCAGATCAAGTTTGAACGGTGTAATCTCAGCCCTGATGCCTCTCTCCAGTTAGACTTCCTCCTTAATACATGGGTAGGTAGGTATTTAGAGGAGAAAGCCATAACTGGATCGAAGAGCATTGAGCACCCGCCATGCGTTTGTCCAACGTTACCTTGATACTGAGATAGCTCCATGATGGCAGGTGCTTTCTAAGACCATACCAGGTGAGATGATGTGTCGGTGATGCGAAACTTTGAGCTTGAGCTTATTGGAAACCGAAGTAAATATCGATGAGAGATTTATGAACTCGGCACGAGAGCTTAAGGGGGGGGGGAGGACGAGAAGGTCCTTTAATACTTAAAAGGACAAGGTGAGGGGTAAATATGCCCAGTAAGTCACCCATGGTGGGTCGTCATGCAGTCCATCATCATCTTGATATAACTAATCGCCGATAAGCTCCTCCTCGAGTAGGTACACGGTCTTCTCGAACGACAATGATTCGTCTAAAATCTACTAAAAGAGATAGGTACAGGAAAATAACATACGTTAACAGAGGGGATGCTGGATTCACATGCCTATCTGCGTGATATTATTGTATGGCCCGGTCCAAAGCGAGACTCCGAGCTTTACTACTTGTCGGCCAAGACGGGGCTCGCAAAACACTGGGCATCCATCTCCAACTCCTCACCTGCGTCTCCCTTCCATCTAAAAACCGTCGTCCCAAAGTGTTCCCAGCCTAGCCGATGATACATTCGTATGGCATCCGGGACATTGGCCAAGGCAAACATGACTAACCTCTGGCCTCGGCGCCGCGCTTCGTCAAGGGCAGTCTGCATCAACTTGTTCGCTATTCCATGGCCGCGGGCCTCAGGATGTACGAATAATCTTCCTAGTACTGCGATGGGCTGTTCTTGCTGAGGATATAACTGCCTCCACATTGCTACTGCTACATCGGACGGGCTGGCCTTGGAGAGGGAAATGTGACCCGTGATCTCGCCATTCATGTTCTCGGCTACCCAAGCTGTATCGTTGGTCTGCCTCTTGACGAAACCGAATTTTACTCATGTTGGCCTTCGGAGTTGGTGTGTGATAATTCCTTTCTCACAGCTAGCTTCGATTGTGGGTATAAAGTGAGTCTTCTGCGGTGTTCTATGGAATAATAACTGGGTATGTGACTACTAGTCCCTGGTCTTGGTAAATCCTTTTATAGGGATTCACCGGTATCGGAGTAAACCAAAAGACTCCTATGTTAATGTCCGCTCCGCGTCACCGACTCTCATGATGCAGGATGAATAATACGAACCATGGAACGGCAAGAAGGGGTACAAAAGTGATTGACTTAAAGCTCATGTTACGAAAGAGAAACGGGATGCCGCAACGATGTACACAAGAGGTCACCCTCCTGATAACACAAAAGCCTAAGGTTTACGCCGCACCACATTTCTATATAATAATATTGTCAATTGCGTAACGTACATATTGCCAATAGGACGTAAAAGACCCCTATATAGTGATCAAGGTTGGAAAGGCTCAAATGATCATATATACCCCTTGATGTTAGAGCACAGCAGCCTTATAAGCCAGCCACGGCGTTAAATACACACACACACAAACAAACAAACATATAACTAAACTCAGAGAATAAACAAAGGTAAAAAACTTTAGATACTATAACCCAACCCCTGAACCCCCTTAAGCAAGTATTGCGTTCACTATATATAGTTATGACATTTCTAACTTATAGATATTATTCATCTCGCGAATTAAATACCCCAAGTTGCTAAGCGAGTCTTCAGGTTTGCGTATTGGTGTTTGAGTTCCCTCCTCGTTTCACTCACTAAGCCGTATACGCACGCAGTGTTGTGTGAGGAATACGTTTTAGCATAGCTTTACCCTTTCTCATTAGAGCTCTAAAGGGGGGGTGAACTCAATCTATATACTCTTCTCAGAAGTTACTAATACACAGACACCTATGCAGTGCTATTGCATCTGATCTGGGCTATTGCACTACCTTTTTAGTACGACAAGCGTGTACCTCGGCAGCAACTATTACTACTACGGCTGGTCCTACATTCCATTGTGATCGTTCCGTATGTTTAGATCCGACGAGATCTTGTATACTAGGAGAACTACTCGAGTCCCTAATAACTACGGAGACGACTACTTTGCCGGGTATACCTTGGAGCTGGTCGGTAGTCATTGAGCTTGTAGGTGTCCAACTTGCTCGCCTACTCCGACGTCCCCAACGTGAGAGCTTGGAATTACGATACTATGTTTAGTGGTGTTGCTGCTATAAGAGCTATACTATCGCTAAGAATGCTCGAACTTATGGTCTGGAGGACTATGGAATTGTTATCTTGTACCTAGGTGCGGGAAGCCTAGGTGGAATTATTTTATTTCTCAAGCATAAACTGCATTAACTACATCCTATAGAAGCAATGCAACTTACTTTCCCCATTCATCGTTACTATTATTCCAACGCCAAGTAAATGATAAAAATCAGTCTATGCACACGTATGCTTCCCCAATTCGTAAGCCACGCCAACCCTTGCTAGTCGGCCCGTGGTACAGGAGGTATATAGCAAAGTAGTATTTTCAAAAAATACATCCACTATTAAGGTTCCTTTTTTATTCATTTTTGTAGTAGTATATGCCATGCCATTCTAAACTCGCCTGACTTGTGCAAGATATGGCCTTACCCGGTTCCCGTAGATGGACGGCTAAATATTCGCTAAGATCAGATGCGGATACTTGGCCTCCGTTCCCAGATTGTCAGGCGGCGTAGGCACGATTAACTCAACTTGTTATAAGGGACTTCCGACGCTCTCGCATGATAATCTCCAATTCAACTTTACCAACTTTGCTACCGCTTCGAGTTGACATCCTGTCACAATGGCAATCATCGGGGCCAAGGAACACCATGTCGACCCTCGTCTGGCCAACATTGCGAAAGCAGATACTAAAAAATGGTATCAGAAGCCGAACCTAAGAGCACTTTATCTTGTCAGTAATTCCCGTCAGATGGTTCGGCGTCGCTGGGTTCTCTACGTTCATTCGGGCCCGCGCAATGTTATGGAAGTAATTCACAGTTAATGATTGTGAAATACCCACGTTGATGCGGATCCTTGGTAAAGCCTGTGTCCTTTTCTGACATGGACATATAGATACTGATCCCAGCCGCGATGGGCGTCGAATGGACATCCGGGTTTGACTCTTCGATGATGAACTCCCTCCAAGCAGTGGAGGCTTGGGTTACATGTATGAGGACCCCATTCAAGTTGCCTACGTGTCCTAGAACAATTTTTAGCTAACAAGTTGGAGACTTTGACAATCCTACAGAGGGTCGGCTTGGTCTTTTAAATGCCATGTATTCCCTTGGAGCTTTGATGGCAGTGCCTTTTATCCCCACCATTTCCCAGTATCTTGGGCGCCGTTGGTCCATCCTTGCAGGATCGCTAGTCTTATGCATAGGTGCTGGACTCCAGGTAATTTGGTCCTTTTCTTCCTTTGACTTGGTCTTGGTAGAGGAGCAAAAAACCGATATTAAACATTATCTTTATAGACGGCGTCCCAGAATAGCGATATGTTTCTCGCATCTCGCTGGGTGCTTGGATTTGGTATCCCCCTGGCCATCGTTAACGCCTCCGCGCTTATTGGAGAGCTAGCGTATGAAAAGGAGAGACCGACTATGACCTCCCTCTTTACTTCTTCTTGGCACGTGGGGGCTATTGTCGCGGCTGGTGTCACCTATGGGACTTTCCAAATGACTAGTACCTGGTCTTGGAGGTTGCCCTCTATTCTGCAGCTGGTTCCAAGCTTGTGTCAGATATTCTCTCTACCATTTTGCCCTGAGAGTCCGCGATATTTAATCTCAGTTGATCGGAGTGACGAAGCATACGCGATTCTTCAGAAGTACCACAGTGAAGGGGACAATGGCGAAGAGTTCGTTCGCCTCGAATTTGCCCAGATCCAAAGTACTATTGCTCAAGAGAGGGAGACAGCTAAGGCATTCGTGTGGGCTGATGTTTTCCGGTACGCAATCATCTGGCGTCCGTCTTGGACATATACTGACTTTATATTGCAGCGATCCACCGATGAGACGCAGGTTTCTACTTGCTGCAATAGTAGGATTCTTTACCCAATGGAGTGGCAATGGGCTTCTTAGCTTTTACAGGTTCGTGTGTTTGTCTATCCAGTGGTAGAAGCTTCCCCTATTTCTCGTCTAGTTACACTAACGGTCAAGTAGTAAGTGAAAATAACCCTCGAACCGACAAGCACATACGAAGCCCCTTTCAGTTTCCGTGTCTCGACTTTTCGCGCCGCTGAGAGGGGTCGCGACCATTTATAGTGTCTTGCTAACATATCTCAGTGAAGAAGATTCTAAATCTTGTCGGGATCACGGATAATCACACTGTTCAGAAAGTCATCTTGAGTAACACATGCTGGGGCTTGATAAACGCTGTCCCCGTGGCCCTCGTCGCACCACTATTACGCCGTCGCGTTGGGTTCTTGATTTGTACGATTGGTACAGCTGTCGTTTATAGCGTCTGGACAGTAGCTTCGGCACGGTTTGCTATCGAAAACACATCGTCTGCCGCAATAGCAGTTCTGGTGTTTATTTTCGCGTACTCTCCCGTGAGTTTAACTCTGCCTCTTATGCTCGCTATCACGGCTGACATATTCGCTAGTTCTACAACCTAGGCTGGAATGCCCTAGCATATACCTACTGTAAGCAGCCGATTACTACTTTTTGCTGCGCTCACTCATCTGCCTTGTGAGGCGAAGTCGCCGTACTGAATCAAGAGCGATTTCATGTGGCGATTGCTAACTGAAGCCGTATAGTGGTTGAGATATTCCCGTACCAGCAACGAGCCAAGGGCATCGCGGTCGAGCAATTGACGGTTAGGTTTGCTGTTTTCTTCAATACATACGTGAACCCAGTAGCACTGGATCGAATCGGGTGGAAATATTACTTGGTTTATTGTGTGTGGATCCTATTTGAAGTCGCAACCGTATACTTCCTATTCCCAGAGACATATAACAGAACTTTAGAAGAGCTCTCGTTCATCTTCGAAGGAAAAGAGGTCCAGGATAAGGTCCAAAACAATGTCGATAAGCAACTCGAGGCTGAGCATGTCGACAAAAAAGCCGCCGATGGAACGGAAAAAATAGGGGTTTGACCGTGGATAATAGACCTCAGACGTTGGGTTGCAATAAGAGCTACGATCCTTGTGTAGCATGGGACCTTTCATGGAATGATAGGTTCAATTATCCCACGTCATAGCCGTCGAAGCCATTCCGCCGCATCCGATGTCGTGGCCGAATCCGAGACCTATCCACCAATATCAAGTCATTGGTATAACGAATCGGATGAGGTCTTACTTTTACATTTTGGCGGGCACAGATACAGATAGGGCGAGAATACCATAAAGCCTTATGAATAAGCGTTTACTTCGTCGAGTTTATATGTACCAGGATTTGATGTGCTGTGCCACGCTATCGTAACATCCACCCTATCATAAATATTATTCTTCGTAAATGTAAGCATGGCTCTGCCTAGTGTATCAACGTGCCACAAATTCCCTGCTAGCGAGTCGAATTCATAACCTAGGGAGAGCAAAGAGGGTGAATAATTTGGCAATGTGCTTGGCGGATAAGTAGTATCCGCGGACTTGGCTGAAATCCAACGGAAACATCTCACAGATCAACGTGGACTATCAGAGGACATCATTATTCCCCTATGCTCGTGCTAGGTAGATGCATGGTTATAGACCAAGCGTCAACTACCTAAATGTATATTAGTCTACGGATTCGGACCCGAAAACTACCATGTGAACTGCTGTAGCCCTAGTTATTAGAGTTGTGGTTAGGATTTTCGAGTTTTATTCTCCAAATTTTCACTTTCCTGCATATGATCCTGTCGATTATTTCTATTATACCAGGCCTTTAATATCTGACTTCTCAGTCATGGCGTCTGCGGGGATCAGGCTCCGACGTGCTGTCGTATCAGTGCCGTTTCTTTTTATCGCAGCTTTGTGCTTGCGTATCATGGACCCGAGTACGATAATCGCATTTCAACAGCCATTCGCCGATTCTGGGGTGATCGAATGGGAGGGCGGGAAGATTCCTATAATAGACAACTTCCATGGGATAAACTTCCTCGATGACATCTTTCGCGGCGGAATGGCAACCTTCTCGGCTTCGACATTCGGATACGACCCTGTGGCTTGGTGGCAGATTTTCTCTTTCCTCACCGACCTTGGGCCAGTATATGCAATATGGATCCTAGAATCCTACCGTATCGGCTACGCTTATACCCCGGCGTATTTGTGAGTTGATATAAGAATGAATGGGCGAGAAGTGACTAATAGAAATTTTCTAGCCCGACTGTATTTACAGTTGCTGGGCAATTCCTAGGTATAGGACCAGTAGCTCCGATATTTTATTTCCTATCCTTGACTTTTGGTCCCACTGGATCCGATCTAGCCCGATTACCGGCTTGTGATCGAGGTGTCTGGAATCGAGGTAGTGGACTTGTGTTTTTGCTTATATTTCTGTTCCACACCTCCGAAGTCTTCGCTATGTGTCTCGCTCCAGAGCTAACTACTCGGCACTATTGGACTTGGGCCTGGCAGATGAGCCCTCTTTACATTGGTCTTGCCAATGTTCTCCTTTCTGGATTTACCAAACCGTTGTTATCTAAGATTAGCTTCGTATCCCCTAAAAGTCTCCTTGCAGTAGCGGGCATAATATCCTCTGGTGTTTGGGGATACACACTACTCTCTTCGCCATATTCTCTAACGACTATCTTCATACCTACATCGGAAGTGCCGTCGGAATTTATCCCCTTTGTTCAAAAAATCTTTCAAGCTGACCATCTATCTTTTTTTACCAGCTCCTTTCTATGGTTGATCTATTCTTTCTTAGACCTTAATAGTGTCGGTATAATAGGAACAAGCTGGCTTTATTGTATCCCACTTCTTCCAGTTTCTATTGTTCTTGTTGGCCCTGCTTCCACTTTTGCTCTCTTTTGGTATATACGGGAGAGGGCACTAGCATCTAGTTAAAAGTAGCTCGCTTATGTTGTATACGGATTTGGGTTTGGGATATTTCTGACTTGGACTGAAAGGATTTTGAATATTCCCGAGTTCTGCTGATACACACATGCCTACTAACATACATGAAATCACTATATCAACTTAAATTTCATAGGGGTTAATAATACGACTTGTTAAACTTTTATCTAGGTACCTTTTTTCACAGCTACATGCGGTCTCTTGACTATTTTCCCTGCTCTGAAAACCGAGCTCTATTCCTGATATTATGCATCCACTTTTTGGCAAATTTATAAATAAAGAGGCCACAGATATAAAACGGCCATGCAGAAGAGCAGAATGACCATGGCATGTTGTTTTCTGCGCCACGATAGACGTGGTGGAGGAAGTACAAAACTGTTTCGTCTTTTCAGATGGTTAGCAACCAGAACAAATATGAATTAGTAAGTCTATAAGCTGCTATGTCGAGAATAGGGGTGAAGTACACGAGTTTCTTCCAGGGTTGCTTCATTTTTTTCCTCTGCACTGCAATAGTAGAGATCGTGAGCCGTATATATCAATTATGGTTAGGTTCCGTATAGCATGATCATATAAAATATGCGAAAGCAAAAACGCCGGTCCTGGGCCATCTCATATCTTATGATGTACTATTACTATAGTATACTCTTTCGTTCTTATCTTACCACAGATATAGCTCATGCCTGAGGAGTATGTTTCAATAGGAGTACAACAGCTTATTTCGGAAAACTTCTAGGTGCTCTGAAGATGTTCGTATGTAGCCTCATTTAATTTACTAATAATTATATTTCTGTCTTTGTGATACTAATCTCGACTATCCTTGCAAAGCGAAACCGCTATAAGCTATGCTGCCAATGTGAGACAGAATCTTGGATATAGAACTTTGTACGCATCTCGCACTCACGAGTAAGTTACAGCCAAAGCCGAATATACATACCATCTTATCCGTTAAGAAAGTTATTGATGTCACGAGGTGAGACTAGAAGAGGTAGAAACAACCTGGCTGTTCCGCAGGGGACTCCGAACCTAAGCTACGCAAATCAGCGGCTGCTTTATACATACGGGAGGTATCTTTTGTTCTAGATGTCTCATCTAGAGTCTTAACAGCTATCTCAATATCGAAGGAATATAAATAGATATTATAATTACCTCGAGCCCGACCTCTGTTATCATTATATTCACATCATCTCATATTTATCTCATATTTATCTCCAAAACAATGTGCAAAACTCATCCAAACGCCAATCCGGCCAACCCGGAAACCGGTGCTACATTTCGTACTCGAAATACAAATGTTGCTATAAACCGAAGAATCCGTAGGGCTCCAGGAGTCCTCCCTGGGGACCAAAGAACCATCCCTGGATCTGGTTGTAGCGAGCAAAGCTATTTCCAGATAGCCAAGTGAGTGATACCGCCTTTATGATGTATGCATAGCTTCTCACAACGTGATATTTATAGTCGACAAGTTCCTCCTATATCCGGCAAACAACGCTGGAATATATTTGAAACCCGGTTTGAAAGAAATATCAATCAGGATGAAGTAAGCGTTAAATCTAGCAATCTAACAATTCTAGGTAATAAACTAACCTACTTAGCAGGATGAGGAAGATTTAGATGATAAACTAAGAGCGTATCCTACTCATCCAGGTTCTCATCTCAACTACGCAGATTCAAACAATTATGTTCACGAGCCTGCTATAATTCCCGTAAGCCCCGGTCTAGGCTTGGGTGTTGACCTTCGGCCAGATCTTTCAGAGGCCTATGACCAACTGGCTATGGGCAGCTGTGCTTCTCATGCTGTAGCCGGCGCATTAGAATTTGTGATTAGAAAAACAGGTCAACCCGATTTTACCCCTTCCAGGCTATTCATTTGGTACTATGCTCGCAAGAATTCAGGATACAGAAAAGGACACTATAAAGCCACCGACTTTAATACTGGCACTTCCGTTGAGGACGCTCTCCGTGTTCTGTCATCAGGTGTCTGTTCTGAGGATCTTTGGCCTTATGTATTTAACGAGAGTAATAATCGGGGGATCTATAAATTTCCTCCTAATTCCAAGGCAGCAACGGAGCCCAATCAAAATTCAAGACGCCTTGCTCGTCAGAACACCGCAACATTTGAGCCGTTCAACACGGAAAAATCACACAATAACCTCATAGATTGTCTCGATAGCGGATATCCCTTTATATTTTCAATGAATGTGCGTGATTGGCTCGACAAAGAAAACCTTAATGAACATAACGGCTATCAGATGCGTATGTATATAATTAAACCTAAGTTTTACTCTCATCTAATAATCAATGTTATTATAGAAGTACCAATAAACCCAAAGAGCGATAAGTATGTAAACGACGGGCATGTATTCCTGACGGTTGGTTACAAACCACAGGATAAAACATTTATTATCCGAAACTCATGGGGGCCTAACTGGGGTGACCATGGCCATTTCTACATGGCCTACCTTTATATGAGCACTTATAGCAAAGAGTTCTGGATTGTTCGCCACATTAAAAAACCGTCTTAACAATGAACTCGACAACGTCAAAATGTTTCACACCCCCTAATATTGTTTATATTTATTCGAAGCACTCTTAAACAGGTACGGTAAGGTTTCCACCTATTTATAAGGATTTCAGAACTTACAAAATACTTACCTTTTCCAGTAATTCTCAAAATCGGATTGATATTTTATTAGTTTTAATTATTGCAGAGAACATACTTAATAGATGTATAGTGTCCGGAGGATACAATATGCGATAGTCAGCGCTGGTACTATATACCTAGAGACATTATGTTCTTTACACTGAAATCGCCTGGCGCGCGACTGTTGAGCATGTAACGACTAGAGCATAAGCAACCTTCTCTCCCTGCCTGTTACGGAATAAAGTGAGTTAGAAGTGAGACATCTATTATAAAGGGTCTGCCATCATGTACTTCGTAATTGGTCCTCATAGCTTAGATCTAGAATTCCTCACCGGAAAATAAATTATTTCCACACCTTCCAAGTATACCTCCAAAAGCGACCGTTTTCTAATTATGTTAACATTCCTTATGGTTAAGAGCGCTTGCGAACTGACTAATTCATCAGACTATAGTCAAACCACCATGTATCCCTCTTTCAAACCAGGTTTTACCTGCTTCACAGTCATCCATATTGGATGACCATATTATAAGCCCAACACGACGGTAAGTTCGTCCTGCGGCCCCGCTGGTGTCGTAAACGGGCTGAAGAGCAAGTGCTAATCTCAGGCTGATATCGTCCCCGTGAGCATCACACCTCGCCAGGAAAAGCGCTGTGATGTTCCTTCTATGCTCACGATTAACCCCTCGAAGGTCCTGTATGCGCCAACAATCCGCAACTAACGTGGCGACCTTGACGGTTAATTCTTGGTCATATACGTCCTCATACTGGTTCTGATTTTGCGAGTCGGCGCCTAGGATGCAATTCTTCATCTGACCGTTAACCTTCAGCAAGCCGCCGCTGACGTTACCGAACGGATTGGTTCCCGAGAGATCAGTTTCAATAGAGCTAACATGAATGTCAGACTGCATCCTTCCTGGTTCGCTGAATCTGCTTTCGAAGGAGAGTCTGCAGCCGGTTGAAAGCCAAGACCAGGAAGGGATAGTCTTGAGATATTCTCGCTTAGCCGACTCCAGGTATGAGCATTGGAGAAGAGGAAAATTCGGGTTGAAATTGTCGTGGTGCACAACGTTCCACGAGAGGCCTGCATGAATATCACGCCGCCAGATTCCGGCCGCATAACTGTCATTGAGTTGCAGCGAGAACCGGCTGGCCAGCCCTGATAGCGCAGGGAGCCTGTCCGAAATATAGGTGAGTGAACAATCAGCGAATGTTTGAGCAACCTCCCGCCAATGCTCAAATATTTTGTTCTCAGTGTTTATGAACTCTACTCTTTTGACCCGAGCAGTCTCGGAAAACAGGGGGTCTAGCGTGAAAGGGTGGTGGCGGTCATCCGCATGGCAGACTTGCTGACATTCCCATAATACGCGACGCGTGCAAAAAGAAAGTATGCGATTGGAAAGAAGTCTCTCCTGTAAAGCCCAGCCTCGTGATGATAGGTTGGTGTGCCAGTCCGAGGCAATGGTGAAATAAGCCCACGGTGTCTCAGTTGCACATTTCAGTGTAATTGGAGCGGTAATGCCATGGCACCCGGGCCCCGCATAACCGTCGAGAACGACGACATCTGCATCCGCTGGCGGATAGTCATGCAAGAAGCCCTGTGAGCTATTCTGAGCGTCTGAGGCTGCGATTGTTACTGTCGCGTTAGAATATATATTAGCCATGAGTGGACACTCACGTTCCCAATCCTCTCTGGAATCTTGCACGATGCATAGGGAGTCAATCCAGAGGAACTCGAAGCCGAAAGATCGGGTGACCGAGACGGCATCCTGGAAAGATGAAGGTAGGTCCTGGAGCTGGATTCCTTTTCGGTGATCTTCATAATTGGCGCTGGTGGTGATCACCGGTTTAAAGCTACCCCAGCAATGGCTTAATGCAAAATAGGGGCCTTTGGTATTCTTTGATTCTCTTAATTTTACTGTGATAAGCCCAGATGCATCAGACGTGATGTGAAGAATTCTAGTCGGATAAGCACCGTGAGTTGCCAATGGTGCAGCACAGCGTTTATGATTATCCTGGCATTGTCGAAACCAGGATTTGGCAAGCTTCAGATCTGCGCGCGGTTGTTCCTGAATCATCCAACTTATAGAAGACAGCGGGCTCCCTGTGCAGAAACCGTTACCACATTAAGTCTGATTCGCGTGGCGGAGAGGCATAAAGTATGAATACCTCTCCGGGAGCAGCCCCTCCTCCCGAACAGCAGAATACTCCGGCTTCTTACCTTTTGGTGTTGCAACCCTGATGTTACAAGCCCTACCTATTCCCCATGATTCTCTTATGTAGGAAACTCCATCGACCAGATCAGCCTCCTCTCGTAGGACGTCATCAGTTGCATCCCCGCCTGTTTCGAAGATGAAGCCTTTGCCAATCTCATCCTCAGCCAGCAGCCATTTCTCTGCCTCATCTTCCTTCCAAGAAACTCCCGTGGGTTTGTCGCCAGGATACGTGGCAACGCAGCGAAGAAGATTCTGACAGAGGAAAACGCACAGCTTACAGCCGTTTTTTGATGATTCTTGCAAGGCGGCGAAGGACAAATGATGGCCTAACCTGATACCGCGTCCAACAGCGGACCAGTCAAGGGAAGAAAATTCTTGACAGTAGTGACAGAGATTCTCCATTTTCATTACGTGTAAGCTTTGAACAGGATGACAAAGTCGTGGCGTCTGTCTAATCCTTTCATTCAGTTCAACCTATACTCGGTCGTTTGCCGCTTTGTGATTCAGAGGCTGTGTCGACAAACAGTATTATCAGGTGACTGCCGACCCGTGTCGGACTTCACCAAAAGCCCATATCCCCCGACCCCTCCCGCAGAAAAAAAAAACATATTACACTTGACATACATCCAGCATATACTTTTCAAGAATATGGCCACTAGCACATCTAAATCCGACTACGTAACAACATCTGACGGCGTCCGCCTCCGCTACTGGCAAGATGGACCTCTCTCCGGCCCCAACGTAGTTTTCATCGCGGGCTGGGTCCAGACGGCGGCCCAGTTTAAAAAGCAAGTCGAGCACTTCAAGACCAAGTACCGCATCACCACATACGACCACCGCGGCCACGGCGAGTCAGACAAGCCCACCTTCGGGTACCGCATTTCACGACTCGCCGCGGACCTAGAGGCCCTGCTAACGCAACTCGACCTGCGCAACGCCACTCTCGTCGCACACTCGATGGGCTCGTCCGTGACCTGGGCGCACTGGGACCTATTCCCACACGACCGGATCTCCAAGCTCGTCTTCATCGACCAGTCGCCCTCCATGACCGCCAACCCGGAATGGACTCCCGCGCAGGTCGCCGAAGCAGCCGCCATATTCCAGCCGTCGCAGCGCTTCGACATCGCGAACGCGCTGCGCGGCCCGCAGTGGAAAGAGACGTGGACCGCGCTGTCGCGCAGCTTCTACACGCCGGACGCGGACCCCAAGGATATCGAGTGGGCGCTGGCCCAGTCGATGAAGGCGTCGCCGGAGAACGCGGCGGCGCTGATGGCGGATCATGTCGCGATTGATTACCGGGATATTTTCTCCCGGATCAATGTGCCCACGCTGTCGTTTGCCGCGAGGGGGAGCTTGTTCCCCACGGCGGCGCTGGAGTGGATTGCGAAGCAGACGGGGGGCCGGGTTGAGGTGTTTGAGAAGGAAGAGGGGGGAAGCCATTTTCTATTCTGGGAGAACCCGGAGAAGTTCAACCGGATATTGGAGGGGTTTTTGAGTAGCTGAATGAATAATGATATATGTTAGTTATGGGTTGTGACTGATTTGCTAGTGTGCTTGATCTTTAGCAATAGCAATATAGGAATGTACCTATTTATATTTCTACTCTAGGAAATATGAGCATTTAGAAGAACATATAGGCAGAGTTATGAGTTTAAAAGCATGTAAAATTCTCACCATGGCGTGTGTAGGAGGTAGTCATCTCATACGTAAGGAATAAACACAGCTTTTATTATGTACTAGTCTAATATCTAGGTTAAGTCCTAAATATAATATGTATTATTGCTCTCAGTAGCGTAGGAGAGGTGTGTATCAAGAAATCGAGGGGATGACCATGAATACGGGAGCCTAGGAGAAGGTGTTAAGGGAGAACGTGGCTGTCAGCCTCACTCAGACTCACCTATCCGGTTCTACTTCTTCTACTCTTTCTTGAGTACGTAAAAATTCTGGCTGTAATTGTTGCATCAAGGTCTCTAACCATCCAGCCTCGCTATACTCCTGCAGTACGCGGTACCAATCAGCATTTTCATAAGATAAGTATAGGAGGCGCCGGGAAGCTTCCGGATCGTTGGGATCGTGACGGGCTTTCCATTCTGGATACACCGGCAGCGTTTCCTTCTTTGACGATAAGCCAGACATATCTTCTATGGGGGTTCCCGGCATAGAATCGTTGTCGGAAACAAATAGATAAGCCGCAAGCGTACCAACTAGAATGGGAAGTTGGTTTTTATTCCCTGGCAGTAAATATGGTCGAATTGCTAAATCGGTTCTCTCCACCACAGTCCAAGTAAACACTTCTCGCATAAAGGTCACAATATGATGGTATGGTAGCTGTGGGCGTAGACTTGAGAGTTTAAAATCCGGGCGGTCGACCACGGGGGAATATTGAAAGCTAGCCGCGGCTTTCCTAAAAGTTATACTACTGATAAACCGGTGCGAGCGGTCAAACTCGGAGACTTTCGACCAGTATTCACCTTCAAATTTAGATACAGCCAGTCGTATCTTTGGAAATTCGACGAACTCGATAATTGCCGCAGGGTCAACTTCCGGTAACCAGGATGCGAGACCAATCGCGGCACGCGTGAGCGGTGTTGCCCATTGTTTATAACGGTTCCTTTCGTCTTCCGAAAACTTGGGCCAAGCTGTGGTGTCTTGACCCGATCGTAGGATTTCTATAACGGATGGGTGGCCCATTATAAAGTCCTGAGGTTTGTTACTCTAAAACTTGACTTGAAAGAAATATTTAACTACTAATGACTAGAAGTCTAGTTTGATCGTTAAATAAGCAAGACTACCTACCTAGTTACGGGACTAGAACGTATATATACCTACGTGTATAAGTTAGGCGGTGAGGTTAGACAGGAAGTTAATCTACCATCCATATTGACACTTTGTTAGGTCATACAATACACAATCAGTTAAAAAGAAATCATAAGCATTAGTGACACACACAATGGCTTTCAAACTGTCCAATGATAAAAGAACATCAAAGAAGCTGTTAAGCCAACACTAAAAATACTATGCTTGCTATATTGTGTTGGACACTAAAGCAAAGCAAAGCACAAACTCAAAAACAATTCCATTCACACACATAGGTTAAGTAGGTAGTTATTGGTCCTAGCAACTATCAAGGTTGACCAATCAAGACTCAACGCCCGAAACTTAATGCCTAGAAAATAAAGCATACCTACCTAACATAGAACTTCTACGGGAAAGCAACCAATCAGATGTCCAAGTAATCGGGAAACGGTATCGTTAACTGACCGATCTGCTAAGCTCGGCGACAGGGATATGAAGCTCTCGTCCCGTCTAGACTCGGCCGAGCTACCAATAAGAAACAACACAACACGCCATAAAACGCAATACGTAAGACGTCTTTCAGCTAGCAATCATGACGCGAACACAAGGAGAAATCACCTTACATAGGACGCCGCAATCGAAAAGCCCTGCCTAATAGAGTAAGGCACCTAGAGGCGAGAGATATTAGATAGTAGGTATTAGAGTCGAGCATCTTACTGTTTCCTCTTCGTCTTCTTTTTTTCCCCTTCTCATCATCCCTAATTGCGTGTAGTCCACGATCAATTCCGGGCCTATTCTTATATATCAACTGTTTTATACAGGCTTGACGTCAGTAGCCGTCAGGGATCAATTATAATAAAAGACATCACACACACACACACACACACACACACACATATATATATACCTAGGTATATAACTTGGCCACTTCCGTAGATCCCGATCTTCCCAATCGTCTGTCTAGGGGCCATTCATCGACAAGATGAGATATTCAACTGCTCTTTTGCCCCTTGCGGCCACAGCCGTCGCATTCGTGATCCCCGATGAAGCCACTGCTCAGCAGCTCGTCTTAGAGCCTCAGCAGCAGGCACAGAAGCCCGTGTCGTCATGGTGGGATCGCACCAACAACCTCGATAACTTCCTCTCGTCTGCAGAGAGCACTTTCGAGACTGCCCTCGATGCTCTCGAGAAACAGGCCAGCAAGCTGAGCAAGCTGAGCAGCTCGCTCCCCAAAGTGGAGTTCGACGTCGGATCCGAGATTACCGAGTTCCTCGCCCCGTCCGACTACGCCGTCCCGGGGCACGGACATTGGCACGTCACGAATTTGACAGTGTACCAATCCATCAAGGCCTCGAACTACAGCAAGAAATTTGCGGCTCTGGTCGATGATTACCCGGATCTAATTAAGAAGCTTAACAGTACCTCGACTAACATCACCGCCTTCATCCCCACAGATCACGCTTTCGAAAAGATCCCTCACCATGACAAGGATCATAAGCCGCCCAAGGAGTTCCTTGAGAAGTTGATCAAGTACCACATCGTTCCCGACTTCTACCCGGCCGGTCGCGTGCTCGCCCAGCACACCCTGTCGACTGCCTTGGAAGAAGAGGCGCTCGGTGGAAGACCTCAGCGACTACGGGTTAGTGTCGGGTTGTTCGGCGTCAAGCTGAACTTCTTCAGCAAGATCGTGTTCGCAAACCTGGTACGTCCCTCTCCTTTCCCCTCCCTTCCCTTAAAAATCCCCCACCCCTCTATCCTAAAAAAATCATACTAACACTCCTCCCCCTATCCAGCACACTTCCAACGGCGTTCTCCACGGCGTAGACAGCATCCTAGTCCCGCCACCCCCAGCCAAGACACTAATCTCCCTCTTCCCAACCAAATTCTCCACCCTCGAGCTCGCAGCCGAGAAGACAGGCCTAAAGCACCACCACGGCGGCAAAGACGCCCACCACGAGCTTACCGGCCTAACCGTCTTTGCGCCCACCAACACCGCCTTCCAGCGCCTCGGACCCGGCGCCAACGCCTTCCTGTTCAACACCGACAAGGGCCTGCACTACCTGCGCGCGCTCCTCGCGTACCACATCGTGGCCAACGAGACGCTGTACTCGGACGCGTACTACGGGCCCAAAGCCGCGGGTTTCGCGCCCAGCCTGGATCTGGCGTATAACGCCGACGCCGACGCTGACGCTGACGCTGACGCTGCCAAGGGGGGAGACGGCGCTGAGACGAGGGGCGCCAAGCACTACCATCTCGACCTCCCGACTCTCCTCGACGACGCGCACCTTGCAGTCGATATCACGCGCTGGTTCGGGTTCATTAATATCAAGGTTAACGGACACGTCGACGTAGCGATACAGGATGGCCTTGCCCAGAATGGTGTGTTGCAGGTTGTCGACCACGTCTTGATTCCGCCGCATAAACACAAGGGTGCTTGGAATGGGGAGGTCGAGGGCGAGATCAATGTTGAGGAGTTGGTTGAGAGGTTAGAGCCTTTTGTCAAGAAGGATGTTGACGAGGGTGAGGCTGGAGAGGAGGGTGTTGGTGAGTTGTAAGTGTGAGGTGCAACTGGGGACCTGGAAGTATTGGGTTCCCTTAATGAGTATACGAATGGGAAAATGGGAAATCAGGCTTAGTAGAAACGTCACTTTATATGATGCAAGTTAGAGGATTAAAAGAGGACTGGAGTAGGGCTTATGACGAGTATATATGCAGCATCACGCAAACGAAAGCGACGTTCGTTAGATCTAGTTTCTGCGCGAGTATTATGTTAGTTAGGTAGGTAACCTGGGTTTGTGAAGTTTTTGGTTTGGTTTAGATAGATAGGTAGGTAGGTAGGTATAGCAATAGACCTACTCATCTACGATCCTCAGACATCCATAATCTTCATCGTCCTTCAGGACTAGTAATCAGGAATTCCCTAAATCCAGCAACAACCCTTCCAGGGGTTTCATCCTCAACTTTACCCCCTAGCCTCCCAAAATCGCATCAACAAGCCTAACCTTCCCACGTACATCCACAGCACCCCATCGCTGCTCTCTACTCTTCCACGTCCTCCCATTACCACCACCACCATCCAAAGCCTTATTATCACCCTCGCCACCACCCCTAGATCCCTCCACCCCAAGCTCATCAAGCAAAACCTCCACAACCCAACACCACCTCCCCAGCCCCGACGTCCCCGCAGCCAACGCCTCCGCATCAGCCCGCGCCCGCGGCACCCGGGTGCAGAGCAGATGCAAGTCGAGGAACTGCGCAAACGTAGCACCGAACGCGGGTTTACTCTGCCGTCTCCCCCCCGCAGGAAGGAATACAGAGCGGAGCGTAGGCTCCAGGGGGCGGTCTTTCGCTGTTGCTGCTGCTGAGGCGGGGTTCTGCGGAACGTGCGAGGTGCCAGCAGAAGTCGACGGGCCACCAACGGGTGTGGATATAGAAGCAGCGGTAGTGGTGGCGGCAGTAGTGCTATTGAGAAGCATGACAAGCGGCCCGGCAGACGACCGGGCTAGATACCGCAGGTGCGAGGATAGCAGTTGCAGGGTAGTGTGCGCGCCGGCCTTGTTGTCTGCGGAGCGGGTGAAGAGGTTTGCGAGGAGGGCTGAGAAGTGCGTTATGAGGATTAGGTCTGGGATGTGTGGGGGCTTTTCGTGGTTTCCTGTAGATGCTGGGCTGGGAGTTGTGGTTTGTGCGGGTGGTATGGCGGGAGGAGGGGCGGGAGATGGAGATGCTTTTGGAAGAGAGGATGGCGGTGGTGATGCGGATGGCTGTTGTTCTGGTAGAGACGGTGGTGATAAACTCAACTCTTCTTCGTCTTCGCTGTCTGCCACTTCCATCCGCTTCGTCTTGGGCGGCGGTGATGGAGGAATGTCCTCTACTGTCTCATCCTTGTCCTCTTCTTTTGACATGCCTGGCGGGAATAGACCGAGCAGCTCAGCGTGAGCCGAATGCTCCTTATCTTCAGTAGTAGTCGTAGTAGAAGGTACCTCTTCTTCTTTTCCCTCAGGAGCAGCAGCATCACGCCCAAAAGACGCTGGCGTCTCAAGCTCACTGAGGACCTCCCACAAGCCCTCGATATCAAAAACCCTCGAGATAGAAATCCGCTCAAGACAACGTCTCACTTCCGCATTCACAACATCCTGCTTCTGATTCGCCGTCGGGCCTAAAGCAACCTGGACCTGTGCTCTAATAACATCCCTTAGCACCGGCAGTATCGCCGCCGGCGTCAACGTAGTAACAATAGCCGCTCTCTGCTTATTTGCACCCTCAAAGACCATCGTATGCGCCACGATCTGCAGCCCGACCTATCCCGTACTGACCGTCAATCCAACCCCCATCTTTGTCGTAGTAGAACCCGGGGACGCGTTTGTTCAACTCACCAAAAGCCCGAATTCGACATCCTCAGCACTGACCCCCACAACGGACCCGCGCTCCAAGCCGCCCAACAGCACCGCGTCATCCACCTCGGCGCAGCCAGTCCGTACTCGTCCGCGACGCCTAAGAGTCTCGCGACGCGCTGACTCGAGCTTATATAGCGTCGCGCCCGAAATGGGTTCTAGTAGCGGGAAGTGAGAGCTGGCCTGCGAGGCCGGCAGCCCCTCTTCGATATCATGGTCCATGTTTCTGCATTACTTGAAAGCATAGATACAATACATTTCAGGAATTGGGTCGTAAGAGAAGTTGAGAAATATAGAAAGTTTATCAGTAATTAATGACTTAGAAAAAGTATTAGCTCCGTTAAATTCAAGATTACATAGTATATAAGTTAAGCAATTGTTCACATCAAATTTCTCTTGTATAAAAGTTTCCGCACCGAATTACCTAACCATGGAATATTAATTAATGAGGAATTTCTAGTCGCACAACGAAGTCTATAAATATATTATGAAGGTGCTCCGACGTGGAGATACTTTACAGCGAATGTCATAATCCTTAACACAGCATATTTCCGATATCAGCAGCACGCACCACCGCATAGCTGAGCCTCGATTTGCCCAATTCAATCTGCATGAATTTCACCTAGGGACCACCGGTAATGCCTCTCCGTCTTCCATTGCGCCTTTGCCACCTCTGCTAGTCATGCTCACAGATTACCTAGACTTGCCACCTCTCCCTTAGGAATTTAAGAGAACTCAAGAAACTACCTATCCTGACACGAAGCCGAGGCCTATAAAGTGAGTGTCCATGTTGTAGCTGACTGGCTCCTAACAGCTTTCCCCACGTTCCATCTCCCAGACATATTGACCTTGTATTTTCAAGAGGAAAGCGTCGGAAACATATTCATCCATAAGCTTTGTCACACTGAATACGTAAACCCCAAGTGTAACAGAGCCCCGCTACTGTTCAAAACATCCAGCAAGACAACCTCAACTTGAAGACGTAGCTACCAATGCCGGTTACCTTATGAAAAATGCTTCCTAGCACTATAGTGCACCAATCCTTGTGTAGCTCACATCGCCACGCCGGGGGCAGGTGGAACATCTCTGCTGGGAACCTCTGGTCGCGGCCGTCGCCCTCCCTTCAAGCTCTTGACACGCGACATAAACCCATTGGCCTGCCTAGCACCATCTGGAGACTCTGCTCCATCATTGGTACCTCGGCGTTCAAGACTAGGCACCGGCGGCGTCACGGGAGGTACCTGGTTCGAATCCTTATGCTTGACAGAAATGCGCTCTTCTGCCTTGCCGTCAAACTCTGCAAAAAACGGGTTCCTTTCGCCAGTGCTACTGCCACTAGGCATATCGCCAGTCCTAGGAGTGTAGCGGTCACCATCCGGGTTGAATTCGCGAGGCTCACGCGGAGCTCGCTTGATGCTTCGGAAGCGCTGTACCACAGACTTCTTTCTGCCCAGTCCCTGCTCCAAGACCTCTTGCGCCGTCTCAGCTTGGTTGCGCTGGATCGCGGCACGTGCTGCTGGAGTACCTTCCAAGAAGGTTGAAGATCCGAGTCCTAGTGTCTCTTCGCCAACAACGAATTCGCTTGCCTGCTTCGGATCGAACAAGGTAGCCTCGCTCTTGCTTCCTGAAGACCTCTCCTTAACAACGTTCCCATACATGTTGGAGACGTCGTGAGGCTCTTGGCCCATGAATTGCATATGATCAGGCCTCTTATTTAGGGGACCCGAGCCTCCAATAGAATTGTTGGCAGAGTCCTTGGCAAATGCCTGCATAGGCGCACGACGACTACCCTTACGATTTCGGTGCGGGTTGCATGCATCAAACGGACCATCGTGGTGAAATACTAGGTAGAATCAATTAGTACATGAGCTAGAAAAGCTCGACACTGTGAACACTTACGCCCTGTTCCGTAAATGCTCGTAGCATCAAGCTGATCGATAATATCGATTTTTCGCGCTGTTTTCGGCTTATCCTTATCCTTGCCCTCGCGATGGCGTCGCTCTCGCTCTTTGCGTCGAAGCTCGCGTGCCTTCTTTTCCTCCTCCGTCAACGGCTTCTCAATCATCGAAGAATCGCTATTGCGGCGAGGGCGGCGGTCTGCCTGTTTCCTATGGGGAGAACCAGAGAGGCCCTTCTCCCCTCCGTTTGAGGCGCTATGCATTCGACGAGCCTTTAGAGCTTCTTCTTGCGACCGGGTCGGCCTGTGAGACGAGGAAGGCGGCGCACCGCGACCACGGGGAGGATTATTTTCGCCACGAGGTGGACCGCCGGGAGGGCGGTTCGCCGGTCGGCCGGGAGCTGTTCTGGTTTTCGCATCCTTACTGCCATCGTCAAGCGTCATGTTATCCTACAGACATCAATATTAGCAACCTGCGCAGTAGGCAATGGCCTGTAAACCATGATCCGTGCAATGTATGGCAACTTACAAATAGATCCTCGGCGGTGAACGATTTATGATCCTTAACTGATGACATCTTGGCGGACGAATTCGCAGTTGCAGTGGTGGTAGATGAAATATCGAGGAAAGGGTTTCTCGAAGTAGGTCGAGGAGGAGGGTCATCAAATGGAGAACGAGGAGGGGAGACCAAACTGTTAGGCGAGGCCGCACGGTTGCGAAAGGGGTTGTTTGACGAAAGATTAAGAGTCAGGCCAGGCGATTGGGTGGATTCGCGATTATCAAAAAGACCTATTGAATGGCAAACAGAAGAGACGATTAGCTAGTCGGTTCGCTGCAGATTCACTATAATGGGAGTGACGAAGTGACAAAGTGACGACTGTGATAGGCAATTGTGAAACAACAATCTCTACAAATGAAACAGGACAGGCGACTGGTCCCGTAAAGTGGATCGCAACCAGCTTGGATCTTGAACCTCCTTTATGGGCAGTGTGATATGAGTATGATATGTAGGTATGTATAATACAAGAATAGTATAAGAATGGGATAAGAATAGGACAAGAATAGGATGGAAAAAAGGGGGCGGCGGAGCCAAGCATTCCAGGCATTATCCATTATCTTGCTTTCTTTACTTACCTAGTAGGTCTGACGATTGGGTGGACATTGTGTTTAAATTTCCTTGTTTTTCTGGTGCAGGTTCTCCGTATCTCGCAGGGGATACTGCCCCGTAGCTTTGGTCGAAGGTTAGAAATACTCTCTCACGGAACGCTGATTGCCGGAATTCCTACTTTTTCAACCAATAGTTGGTTCGGTTAGGGGTTCGAAATAAACTTGTGCGATAGCGCGACCCGGGCTTTGCAGAAACCTTTGGCGTAGGTGGTGTGTCAGGGGTGGAAGAGATGGACAGCGATCTTCAGGGAGATGGAAGATAGGAGATGGAATATCCGCCAAGTTTGCCCGTGACGAAGCGATGACGTTTTATCACTGCTTGAAACGCAACGCGGCGCGGCGCCTTCGGGATAAATAGAAAGATTAATAAGATACCAATCGAATTGATAGGTAAGCTTAGGTATGGTAGGTATGGTAGGTATGAAAATGCGACAAGCGCTAAGAAGTGAAGGCTGGACGAGTTGAGTTTTGGTTCTGGTTCTGGTTTTGGTTTTGGTTTTGGTGGTAAGCCGTAAACCGTAAGCCGTAAACCGTAAACCGTAAAATAGTAGTGGTCAACTTCGTGGGTCGAAAACGGATAGGTGCGGTGGAAATGATTTAGATGTTTGTTACGGCAACGCGCGTTAGGCTGTTCTGCTTCATGCAAGGAACCTAGATGGAAATGCGAATAGAAAATGATGGCGCCCGTTCAGATGCTTGGTACAAATGTGACGAGGACGAGTCAGGTCGCAGATTCTCGATTTCCCGTTGCACCAAGTGTATTTTCGAAGTCTAAACTTGCAGCTCGAAAGCTTGGGGCAATGCAGGTGAGGAGGTTGCGAGGTTGCGAGGTTGTGTTACCGTCGGTAGTTGGTAAATATTCGATTAAATGCTGTCGGTCTTCTTTCCTTTGAGGTCGGGTGACGAGATTTTCCTGGGTTTAGCTCCTTAGCATTCTCCTCTCTTTCTTTCTCTCTAACACCCCTTTACTCCGGGTCGATTGCGCTGGCTGGGCTGGGCTGGGCTGGCTGGCGGGCTGGCTGGAAGGAAGACCCCTATTAACTAAGGGACGGTACTAAAATAATAAGTGGAAGGGTTAAGGTGGAAGGGTGCTGTATCCCGCTGTGGACTCTAATTGATTTAGGACGGGGTTTTTGTCCTGGCTCCTTTCTGACAGGATGACAAGGGGAATATCAGTTAGAGATCGACGAAACAGAAGCCAGCGGGACAGTTTAGCCCGTCTTACAAACCCGTCCGTATTTAATAATTGGTGTTGTAGACGGTTTTTTTTTTTTGTTGACAAACGAGAGAATTACAATTTAATGCAATTCGAACTCGGAAAAGGACGAAAAGAGCTTCATCGATCGAGTTTGAGAAACGAGGTGTGGGCTAACCTTATATTATTACAACATTATTGAACATTATCGAAATTGGGTTAGTGGAGTTCGTAAAGAGCAACAGGTGCACTGTAACTACCAGAGATCCCATGTATGTACAATATGTAGGTATCCCAGGTTGGTACAAATACCAAATTGGAATAGCTAAAATGCTTAAGGTACCTCTACCGTAGAAGGCACTAGAGCCAACACAGTAAAAGCCCAGTTAGTACCTACCTAAACGAGCACTGGTAAGCGCTGTAACCTGTAACTCGTATTGAATCTCGACAATCCTACCTACAGGACACATAATACAGAAAAGGACAGCGTCGCTTTATATTTCAATTGGGATGCGAGAAAGGGCGAAGGGGGGTAAAGGGATGGATCGAAGGAGCGCAGTGTTCCGTTAGTCGAAGCCGGTTGGGCGACAAGCGGTGACAGTACATGAATGATGCATTAACAAAGTTGTCTTTGGCTATTTTACCTTGAGGTCGCCAAGCCTTCTTCCGGGGATCTAACTTCTCTTTAATTATGTAGGTGCCTGACAATAATAGTTTCTCAATGGCCTAGACCTTAAGCTTAATACCATGTATATAATAGATACTATCAGGCCGTGTTAAGAATTGGCTTCCGCAAGGAGCTTCTCTCTTCTCCATCATCGACTAATTGCGATGTTGAGGAGCCTTGCTTGTTTATACTACTAATAAGACTAATACATACACTAGCTACCTTACAACACTTTTAATTTCTAACAGCTTAGAGAGAAAGGCTATTCGGATTATGCTAAGGGCGGCTTACCCCCCTGGTATTTGGTGTAATCTACTAATAAAATAAATCTGTTAATATGCCATATACCATCGCACGTGTATGTAGGCGTTATTACAACCCACTGGCAAATCCACTGGTAGTCCACTTAATATGTAGGTACCTATGTATATAGGTATACACGTACCTTTCATGCGAACCCCGCGCATGGAATCCCAGAGCATTATGTAATCAAATAGCCTCATAATATAGCTTTCTGATTGGCCACTCAGCCTCATACATCAAAGATCATTCAAAACAACCTTATTTTCAACCTTTTTACCTTGAATAACTGCATGCGATCAAGTCAAATTAGTATAACATTAATCCGTACGCATACAGGCTTTGCATTATCATTTAAATTGATTGAACCATTAAATGATTGAATTGAACAAAAGGCTATAAGATAAGGATGTAAGATAAGGATATTGCCAGGTGGGCGGTGTGGAATTTGGCCAATAAGAGGATGCGCATCCTGTGGAAAGGAGTTGTATGCGAAGAATGAACATTATTTTATACTGCCGATTTATTAATGTAGCTCATATTTCAACGCGTTTTATTAAAAGTAACTGCTAATAGTACTCCACCTTCATTCTAAATCGGCAGACTACCTAGGTATTCAAAAAAGGAACATATGCTTATTCCCTCCTTTTTAAGATGTCTACCTTACATAGTATGTATGTAGCCAGACAACAATGTGGCTCCGCCTCTGCCCGGTTGGCTGGTTACACTAGTTTTCTAGCTTTGGCTGGCCTTTTCTCGGCTTCATCATCATCAAAACCCTCGAGTTCACGTTTACGCGGCTGAGGCTGCTGGGGCTCTGAGTCCAACTCTGACTCTGACTCTGACTCTGACTCTATTGCATTTACTACTGGTTCCAGCGGTATTGCCTTTTGCTCCGTGTACAACTCCTGGAAGATCTTGCAGATACTCTCCCATCGCTTTCCTTGGCCCCATTTGTGGATGTTGCTAATCAGCATAACACATTTTTTATAATGCCCGGAATCGGATAGAAGAAAAGATGCGAAATTTATCATTGTATATTTCGTAAATTCCTTGTGTGTATCATCTGATCCAGGTATGTTTGGTGTTGGCCACAGAACAAAAAATTTCATGACGTCTTCTCTCATAAAAGCGCAGAAGACACATCCGCCTTGGATGATCCTATTATATGTGAGCAAGGCTGACGAACCACTACTGAGAGCTTGGTTCTCCGCTTCCGTTTCGCTTCGACTATTGAAATCGACCATAATATACGGGAAACAAAGGCCATAGGTAGTTGTCTCGAATATTTAAGCGAAATCTAGGTTTTTCACCAATTGAGGGAAGTTACCTAGGGAGGAACGTGGCGTCATACCCGTAGGCTAGGTCAGGTTCGGGAACAGTAGGGAGGCAAGCTTCGCTTGGGGAACATTGATTGACTACCTACCTGGTGCAATTGCCATGGAGTATTTAAACTAGCCCAGAATGGACTGTGCATTTCATGAGGTTGGACCTTGAATAGGTCGAAATCCAATAAGTGCATTGTGCTCAATTGCATCTCAAACTCTGTGCAATCGCGCTGATTTCCTGCTAAAACATATGCGTCATGCCTCTGTTCCATCTCTGCTAGTGGGAGTATATCCGTAGTAGACCGTAGGAATTTACGGTAGAATTTAATAACCGGTTCAGGAATCTTCTTCCTTTCCCGCAGCAGTGTTATATAATTCGGTTCCAAATATAAGGTCCTATACATAGGGTGACCGGCTTGGTAGGTAGGTAGTTACCTGATAAATGAGAGCGGCGTCTTTTGGTAGGCAGCAAGTTGGTATCGTTAGGTATTTGCCTACCTAGGTAGATAATTATTATTTCTTTTTTAGATACAGTATACAGTTTTTGAAAAGAGGTACCATACGTGGATAATACTTTAGGTGAATCTTGGGGGATAAAGGGCTATTTCTTTTTTTTTGGACTTGCACACGGACCGTTGTAGTTGAGGAATATGTAGGTGATTGTTAACAAAGGCTGTTTTATTAGCCACTAAAGTTGCGTATAACAAGCTGTTAGATTAGTTAGCCCTATTAGGTAAACTAATAACTTTATTTTCTTGTAATTAATCGTGCAAAACGCGTTCCCACGATTACGACACAATCAATTAACCTAACTAGATCATTAATAGGTTTTTCATTAATATTGCTTCATATCAACCTCTTAGCCCACGCAGTCGAAAAAAAAAAATGCCCCACAACGTTCGAATTCAATCCCTTGGCATATCTGTGGGGTACCTAGTCCTTGCCATCTCTGCCATCTACATACTAACCCGCCGATCTCCTCTTTATCGCTGCCCCTTTTCCATACGCCATAATATCTCATCAAAGGAAACCGGGGTTATTAAATCTCGGGCTTTATTAAGATCTACTTGCTAGGGTAAACTAGAGTTTAGTCCGCATATGTACCTAACTACCATACCATCATAAAGCTAAAGTGACGAGTAAGAAGAGCGGGCTCTATCATAGGTCGGTCAAGCCCAAGTTCACCAAGCTCCAGCATAGCTTAACCGCCGGATCGACAGATGCGCATTGACATCAATAAGCCTTTGAAGCTTTCGCGTTACCAAGGCAGCTTCAGAGGGGTCTCAAGGTTCTTTCCAAGCACCGTCTCGGCCATTCCAATATCTCCTATTATTCGAAAGTCAGTAACCAAAGCAGTTTAATTCATAGGTTTCTACATAGCCTTACGTGGACCGCGGGGAGCCCAGTATTCCCCAGATTTGCTAATATCTAACGTCTCTGTCCACTCCACGAGACTCTTCGCGGCTACTTCGGGAGTCACAGCTGAATATCACTTGTTTTAGCTTCACCACATGTAATGTCTTAGATTCCGGTTGCTTACCACCACCTTCGTCCCAGTGCTTGTCGAAACCGACACCTTTGGTCATCTCGGTGCGCATGAAACCCGGGTGCACGATGCTGACAATGATACCCTTTTCCTTAAGGTCGATACTGAGAAGTTTTCCGCCCATGTTCAACGCAGCCTTGCTTGCGTGGTGCGCGTAATTGCCGCCGCCTTCTTTCTCGTGCCGTAAAGTGATACTTCCGGCCTCGCTAGAAACCAAGATTATCTTGGATCCGGCTTTTAGGCGGTCGTTGTGCACGAGGCGATGCACAATGAATAGTGGTGCGATAGAACTAACGGTATACATGGCCAATTCATCATTCCAGTTCGGCCCTCCGGACTTGGAAAAGTCCTCGGTCATGAATCGCCCGGCGTTTATGATCTGCAAGCAGTAAGGTTGGCCATAGTATTGCAAAATCAACATATGCAACTTACTACGACATCTAGAGGCTTCTCTCCTTTGAGCTGACTCGAGAGATTGTCTCCGACATGTTGGTTAGTAAGGTCAATTCCAGAGAGCCACTTGATGCTGTCCGGGAATCCGCTAGGTGTAGCATCAGATCGTGTGGTCGCATATGTGAGCGTCTTGGGATTTGAAGCGTATTCCTTTACCAGTGCGGCTCCCAAGCCTCTGGTAGCCCCAACTATCAGTACAGAAGTCATTGTAGGATTAGCTATAACACTGAAGAAGATCGAATAGAAGTTGAGTATGTTAGGTAACCGTAATACGAGGAGATGATATATGTTTTAGTTTTCGTTGTGTTACAAAGCGTTACCGTTGACGAGGAAAGTCTCAGCACGCCATTGATGGTGAGATAGATGGTGACGTCACTTCTCATAACTACCCTTATCAGTCTCTTTCCATGATATCCTAAATCTAGTGCAACTTTGTCTACAAGACGAGGCTTAATCATATTTAAGCCATATCTTACTTCTCTGGTAACCATCAACGGGCCACGCACTAGCAAGGTAGCTATTAAGTACCAGGGAACCCCAGAGAGCAAGAATAGTCCATGATATATGAACAAATGTATAGGTATCTTATAGGACGAGTAGTCAGTAACAAGAAACCTTTCCTAAACATCAACACTTGTCAGTCAGTAGATAGATCCTCTTAGTAGGCGTCAAGAGGTAATAATACTCGAGCGTTAATTCAGGAACACCAATTATAGGAGGTCTAAATAAACAAAGTTGTTAGGCTATTAAGTCACTATCTCTAGACGAGATCCTAGAAATAATATCTCTCTTACAATACCTCTCGGGCATAAAGTCACATACATAATGTTAAAGAGACTGGTCAATTCCCAGTATCATCCACCCAGCTTACAATAAACAAATCCACACATCTCACGCAAGGGTTAAAGTCTAATCCATGATAGAAAATAGATAATTGCAAACAGATACGCAAACCAGACATTTTTAAATCTCGTACCCTTCGTAATAGCATACATACAAAACGCCGTCCCCGTCACATTACGATACGTTACGGCGCATTTTTCTCACTCTCACTCTCACTCTTTCGCATCCCCATTATATCTACCACATCCCCGTCAACCCCCTCGCATAAGGCCCTCTCGATCTCATAGCTTACTAGCAGGCGCCGCATTCCCTACCGCAGTGATCTCATCGTATAGTAGAGTTGTCAAGAAATCCGCGTAGTCTTCTCCTGTGATCTGGCCTGCGAAGTACTGCGACGCGAGGCCAAACTTATTGCCCTTGGGCGCGTTGGCAGAGAGTTGGTCCGTCTGTTCTTTTAGCAGCGCCAGCGCGTAGGCTTTGTCGACTTTCTTGCCCTCAGCTGTGGTCACGCCGTGGCGTACCCATTGCCAGAGCTGTGACCGGGAAACTTCGGCTGTGGCGGCGTCCTCCCTGTTGAGGTGGGTTAGTAGGGTGGCTTGAGTTAGGAGGAGTTAAGATATGGGGAGGAAAAAGAGTAAAAGGGGAGTATAGTGACAAAAGGTCGATGCAAATGAAGGATGTAAAGGCGAGAAAGAGGGTTGGTTCACTTACATCAGGTAGTTAATAGGCACGCAACCGATACCGCGGATCCAAGCCTCCATGTAACCCAGGCCGATGTTCAAGTTCTTCCGGATACCATCCTCGGTGATCTTACCGGGTACGTTCATATTGAGCAAGTCATTTCGACCGACCTTAACGTCCTCCCGTCGCCGGAACAGCTGGTTAGGCGTCGGCATGTGCTTGTTGAAAATCTCGGAGGCAATAGATGCCAGAGCCGGATGTGCTACCCACGTACTAAGAAAAGAAACAATATGAGCTTAGCTTATCCAGGGAAAAAAAAGAGGGAATGTAAGTAAAGACATACCCATCATGACCAGCGCGCACCTCCCGCAACTTATCAGCCCTCACGCCCTCCATCGCCTTATCATTCGCCTCCTTATCATCTTTAATCGGGATCTGCGCTGCCATGCCGCCCATAGCATGGACACCACGCTTATGGCACGTCTGAATCAGCAACTTGACATACGCGTCCATGAATGGGACCGTCATGGTAACCGCGCTGCGGTCCGGCAGGACGAACCCGCTGTTCTGGCGGAACTTTTTGATGGTGCTGAAGATGTAATCCCAGCGGCCGCAGTTAAGCCCCGAGCTGTGGTCCCGCAACTCGTAGATGATCTCGTCCATCTCGAAGGCGGCCAGGATCGTCTCGATGAGGACCGTCCCGCGGATCGTGCCGCGCGGGACGCCGACTGAGTCCTGCGCTAGGTTGAATACGTCGTTCCAGAGGCGCGCTTCTAGATGCGACTCCATCTTGGGTAGGTAGAAGTATGGGCCGAAGCCTTGCTTGATGGACTCGCGCGCGTTGTGGAAGAAGTACAGGCCAAAGTCAAATAGAGAGCCCGAGATCGGCTCACCGTCTACTGTAACGTGCTTCTCATCGAGGTGCCATCCTCGCGGTCGCACAATAAGCGTGGGGAGCACGCGGTCTGTTCGTAGCTTGTACTCTTTCGGGCCTTGCTTGAAGTCAACCTGCCGCCGTACAGCATCGTATAGATTTACTTGGCCGTTGATCATGTTGTCCCACGTCGGGGCGCTTGAGTCTGGTGTTGGTGTTAGTCGATTGACCAGCCAATGGCTCTTCACCTCCTGACACCATCATTACATCCGCTATTACTCACCTTCAAAATCCGCCATATAAGTCCATACTTCAGAGTTCAACGCATTTACGACCATCTTGCGGTCGGTAGGGCCTGTGATCTCTACTCTCCGGTCGACAAGACCCGGAGCTGGTGGCGCGCCTTTCCATGTCGGATTCTCACGGATGTGTCTTGTCTCAGGTAGGAAGTCCGGCAAGTTGCCTTTGTCGATCTCAGCCTGACGTGCGACACGACGCTCTAATAGTGTCTTGCGAGTGCTATTAAAGGATCGGTGAAGCAGTGCTAGGAAGGCCAATGCCTCTGGCGTCAGGATCTTTTTATGCTCTGGCTGCACAGTGCCAGAGATAGATACACCTTGCAAGATGCTGTCGGTGGTTGCCATGATTATATATATCTTTTGTGTTTTGAAATAGCGCCTTCAAGATTCACTTCGCTGGGATATATAGGTAGTTAATTGCCTCGGATCTTTGGTTCTGACGACGAGACTTGTTTTGGTTAATATCTAATAGCTATAAAGAGCTAGGTAGAGTACGAAGAGAAATCAGTAGTAATATATAAAATCCTTTGTCTAGCCTGGTATCCGAAAGGATTAGCGGCAATACGGCTACGGAGCAGATAACAATGGGTTCCCACGGTTATAAGAAGCGGCGGCGACAAGTTCGGGTAGAAGATAGTGTAGAAGCCAAGGGATGTAACCGCTTTAAAGTCGAGGTTCCCCTTTCTAAAAGGAGGGGTGTCTCAGACTTATGTACAATACAGTACTGTAGGTATAAGGTATATGTATAGGTCGCTCTCCGACTATGCTCGGCTGGAAGGAGGGTAGATGACTGGCTACGTGATGTTGATGTAGCCGATGAAGATGGGGAGGAATACCTAGGAATACCTAGGATTACCTAGGATTACCTACTTGGGTATGAAGCTTGTGAAAGTGTGGGGGAAGATGCTACTCCGTGAGCCGTCAAGAACTTTGGTTCTATGCTGCAAAGACGTAGAAAGTGTACGAGTAGGTAGTTATCGGCATGTATGAAGCCCAGTTCTTTGTACTCGTGTACCGCATAAGATCTCTTCACATGTAAAGCCGGGGAAGTTTTATTATTGAACGAAGGTAAGTTTAGAGCTTTAACCCCCGGTATCATTGGCCAGCATTCCCCAACTTCTCTTCCCCCTTCCCCACATCCCAGTTAAAAACGGTACAATACCATACCCCCTAACTAACAGCTAACTAACAACGAGCGCTTATTGGCTCGTTATGCCGTAAAGGGACAAGTCCCATCTGCCCGCCGCTCATAAGGAACCGTTTTAATCGTCAATTGAAGATGAGATTCTCAGTTGTTGATCATGACGACATTAATTCTATAGGTTAACGTTTCTACCATTCAAGTGTCTTATCTTCACTCTCAAATTACCTAACTGAAGAAGCACATTTAAATCACGATAATTAAGAGCTACTGTATTATACAGCGATATCGCTGCTCAACTAGGCTTTCATTCTCGGGGATATCTCGATATGATAAGAACGTGCATGTACAGTAAACGTATAGTAAACCGATTCCTTTGATAATAAAAATCTAGCCAGATCTATACCTCTATGTATCCATGGAGTCCCGAAGATACGGGACAATAAATAACAACGCTATTGGACGCTTTGCACAAAGAGACGGGCGACTGGAGTGACGTAGTCAACCTAGAATTCCCGAAGTACCGAAACTGCGATGCTCCCGGCTGCCGAGGTCGGATATCAGCCAATTCGAGGTCCTAGATCGCTAGAGTTGCCGAGAGTACCCGAACCCAATTCTACATGCTAAGAATATACCTAGTATAGTAGGCCTAGCTACTAAATCCTACGGGGATGCTTAACGGTATACTTACTGTGATGGAGAGAGAAAGTTGAGTAGCTGTATGAACTGACTACCTACCTCTTACTACTTAGGAAGGTAATAACAAAAGGTCTCAAGTGGGAAATAAGATTTATTAGGAGCAGTTAATAATTCATATAAGTAATTGCTGATATATTTGAAGTTTAAAGACGGCAACATCCTTTCTAGGAAAAGATCAAATGGGTTTTTATTCTATTGGGAACAATATACATGTTATTCATACGTAGGTATCCACCGCTGAGTTGCTTCTGGTAATATTTGACCTTGAGGTTCAAGATGAGAAATATGTACCTGTTTTCTCTTACATTCATCTATAGCAGTATTCGAAGAAGCTAAAGCCGGCGAGCTGCCACGATGTAAAACTAAACAGCATGGAAACAACTTCGTTATTCCGCAAGGAACTCTGACCTAACTACGAGAGTCTGCGTCTATACATACTGAACATGCATGTTCTTTGTTCTAGATATTTCATCTGGAATCCTGACGACCCCCGGGTAGCCTGATTGTGGCCCCGGGATAGACTACAATTGACTCGGATCAGAAAAGAACGGCAACGAGGTATATCAAAGACCACCATATCACTTACCTGACTCCCTCTGCATGGCTTCTTATTGCGTTCTGATAGAAGGGATATCGTGTTTCCCTCCTCGCCGTAATCTCGCCAGGCTTGAATCTCTGACAGCTGTTGTTGATCTAGTAGCTGTATTATAGTTCTCAATCCCGTCTATTATTTGAATGATCACTTGGCTCGGATCTCTCTATCTTGCAGTGTTTCTTCGTAGTATCGTCCATGACTTCGTAATGGAAGGGGTCGAGGCAGACATTGTATTTTCTACGGTTTAGTTGGTTCATAATCGCGATGTTTGTCTGACCATGGTAGCTCATGAGATCCCTAGCCGCGAGGCACAAGCCAAGGAGACGCTCCGTGAAATGTTATAGGACACCTTTAAGCCCGGGTTTGTTTAATAGAGCCGCGACCTGGCACAGGTTCCGTTTATGCAGGTGGTGGTGGAAGCCGAGATCTTCTATCCACATGTTTGGCTCCTGTAGGCTGCCCTGGTCGTCTAATATGGGACTGGATATCATGGTCGCTTGCACTGTTTCCTGGTTGTCTCCTACTCCAGCCGGATAGATTTCTTGATGCCGGGGACAATTGCTCTGGGTATAATTCTATTTAGTGCGTGCATTTCCGTTTCTTCAAGGAGTTTAAGGCTTGTGGCTTGTATTGCATGGCAGGAATGGAAGCCTCTTTCCCTGGCGCACTAATCGGCTAAGGTTAAGTATGTTCTCAAAGTCTTCGATAAGCTTGAAAAGAGGCCACTTTCTTGTTCAGTTCTGATAGCTTCTCATAGCGGTCGCAATTGAGTGGATGGGTGAATAATATTGTCAATATTCCCTGTCCACTTGAGTGATCTCTTGTTGTATTGTTGTGATCAAATTGTATACAGGAAGCAATGGAAGATATTGTTGTAGGCGATTATGAGTAGTATTATTATTGCTTAGGTAGGTATAGTGGAGCTACCAATTGAATGGATGTGTTATAGTATTGGAACTGTGTAGACTCTGAGGCATGGGTTATAGTTACCCTTGACTTTCTCGGAGGTGACCTTTATTGGAGTAGCTGTTTAATTATTCTAGAAGTCGGGGAGAATATAGCTGTAGGTGTGCGACAAGGAGGTGTTAGGATTTTAAGATGTGGTAGATATTAAGTGAGAGAGGTCGTTATTTATTGGGAGGACACCTTAAGAGGTAGGTGTAGGTAACAAGAGAAGATACGATATCAAATTGTTGTAAGAAGTCGAAGTGGGATCAGACATGCGACAGTCAATTTTAAATGCCCCCATAGTAGGTAGTATCTGTTACACTTTCCAGCGTTGTGCCTTCCATCCATCTCTGAATGAGGTACCCAGGCAAACTCGCATAATTGGTGGCATCAGAACAGCCGTATCTGCCTGCCTTAGGTACATACCTAACCTTAGGTACCTTCTGCTTGTTACAACCTCTCGAACAATTAGAGCAGGTGTATTGCAACTTCATAGGAAACTGCAAACAGGTACATCCTGTCAAACATGCTATTGGATAAACTGATGTGCTTTCTTTCCTATTATGTGGCAGCATCGAAATCTAGGAGAACTTGATGTTTATAGGTACCTAAGGTACCTACCTAATCAAGACGAAGTGTCAAATACAATCACTGCAATATTCGAACCCTTCGCCTAGGTAGGAACCTAACCTAATACATCCTAGGCTAGGTCTGAAATTTAACCGTCTATACGCATATAATTGACAAGACAAAACTATTGACAACAGTTTACTCTTTATTTTACTTATGTACAAGATGCTATAACTAATCTATACACGTCTTCGGCCGTTATAGGTAATTTGACAAGACTCAACTAGGGGTAGACTAGCGCTACTAATACGCCATAAAGTAGTGCACTACTTAGGAAACACCTGCGTAGGGACTTAATAAGAAGACTGGTGGTGTTGTTGATGATAATCCAACGCCTTCTTTTCAATCGCATCAAGCTCGGCTTGGACGTAGTGTACCACGGGCTCAACTATTTGGTGCACCTAACCCTTGTAAGGCTTGGGCCCGATCATGAGCTCTGGCTTGACGAGTGTGTCAAATTCGTCCGACGTCAGGGCATTAAGTTCCATTGCGCTGTCCTTTAGGTTTAGACCCTTCTTGTGTGCGTTCTTGGCGACCTTGGAAGCCATATCGTAACCGATCTTAGGGTTGAGGCAGGTAACCAGCATAAGCCTAAAAGTAGAAACTATTAGCCAATACTTAATTAGCGGTCATTGTTAAGAGATTAACTTACGATTCCTTCATAATGCTGGAAATCTTCTCCTCGTTGGCTTGGAGACCCTCAACAAGGTTCTTCTCAAACGAACGCATACCATCAGCAAGGATTCTTACGCTGTGTAGCAGGTTTCGGATGATAAGGGGCTTGTAGACGTTGAGCTCGAACTGGCCGTTCATGCCACCGATGGTCGTGGCAACGTGGTTACCCATGACCTGAGCGCAAACCATAGTCAAGGCCTCACATTGAGTAGGGTTGACCTTGCCGGGCATGATACTGGAACCCGGCTCGTTCTCCGGCAAGATCAGCTCACCTAGACCGCAACGGGGGCCGCTGCCAAGATATCGGATGTCTTGAGCAATCTTGGTAAGAGACGCAGCTAAGGTGTTGAGAGAACCGGAGGCCTGAACAATAGCGTCATGCGCAGCGAGAGCCTCGAACTTGTTCGGTGCCGTCTTGAACTCGGTTCCTGTCATCTTGCTGACTTCCTCGGCGATCGCCTCGGCAAAGCCTTCAAAAGTGTTGATTCCAGTACCGACGGCAGTTCCACCCTGAGCAAGTAGCCTTAGGTCCGGTAAAGAGCTCTCGACTCGCTTGATACCAAAGTCCAGCTGAGCAACGTATCCTGAGAACTCTTGCGCCAAAGTTAGAGGTGTGGCATCCTGGAGATGGGTTCGTCCAATCTTGATGATGTTCTTGGCGTTGAAATCGTCAACCTTCTTCTGCAGCGCGTCCCGGAGGCTCTTGAGAGAAGGTAAGAGCTCGCCTTCAAGCTCGAGAACAGCGGCGATATGCATGACGGTGGGGAATGTATCGTTCGAAGAAGCGGAACGGTTGACATGGTCGTTCGGGTGGACTGGCTTCTTGGTGCCCTTGGTACCTCCAAGGATCTCGATAGCTCGGTTCGAGATAACTTCGTTGGCGTTCATGTTGGACTGGGTACCCGAGCCGGTTTGCCAGACGACGAGGGGGAAGTGGTCAATGAGCTTGAGGTCAGCCACCTCGGCGGCAGCTTGTTGGATGGCCTTGCCGATCTTCTCATCTGTAATAATTCAGCCGCATCGTGTAAGCCAATACCCCTCCATAGCGTAGTTAGGGAACAATGCGCTCCGTGTAGGATTGTGGCATACCAAGTCCGTACCGCATGTTGACGGTGGCTGCAGCACCTTTCAAGATACCGAATGCCCTGACAACCGGAGGGGGCATTCGATCTTGAGGCTGGTTGATGCGGAAGTTAGAGAGGGATCGCTCAGTTTGAGCTCCCCAGTACTTGTCGGCGGGGACTTGGATTTCGCCAAAGGCATCGCTCTCGGTTCTCGTGTTGTCAGCCATTCTTATCGATGTCGCATGTAGGTTTCTTTGGAATTGTAGGGAATGCGTATACATATGCGTATGCGTATGCGTAGGATTGCTAGAGATGTGACTGGTGCGGAGAGATCTCGAGGTGACACATGACGACGATGTGGAGGTGCGATTGCATGTGCAAAGAAGCCGAGGAGCAATCCTCGGCCCAAGTAGGTTTCTAGCTTGGCCGCTGGCCGCAGCTCCTACCGATCGCAGCATGATTTACAGCGCGCAGTAGCTTCCCCAAGATCAATTCAGAGATGGAAGCTGCCAATTGGTCAGCTGACAGGTACGAGAAGGGATGATTGATGTTGTAAAAGGTCCGGTTAAACTTACAGGCCCGTAGGTAAGGATAGTGTATGTTTTACTAGGTAACAATTGTAGAGGAAAGGAGGAAAGATGTAATTGCTACAAAAAAAAACGCTCAATATTTTTTGAGGCTGCTTCAGATTACAATTCTACCGTCCGGAGACCAGACAGGCGCAAACTGCCCCGGCTTCCTATTTGCCGGCCCGTTGCGAAACAGGAAACAGTAAGCCAGTTCCGTTCGACCATTTTTTTTTTTTTATCCCTGCTATAAAATTGCGGTCCGGAAACACCCGATCGCGGTAAAATGAGATCAGACCTAACGTCTATTAAATTGTACTTCCGTACCCCTTACGTAAAGGGATATGTATTATGTACATGTAACTATTAATAAAGTGAAAACTCAACAAGAAAGATTCATACAGAGGTGATAAAAGGGGGGGATGACCATGTCAGAATCGAAAGGAAACAAACAGGTAGCTAGTAAAGAAGCGCATTTTAGTACGGACAAACGACTGATGCGAATTATGGATTATGAAGCAGATTTCGTTCCAACCAGAGCCATGATTAAGTACAACCAGTTTCGTAGCTTCGTGTAGCATAAGGAGGAGGCCGCCCATTGGCAATCCGTGCTCAACCGTCACCCCTCCCCATCTCATGTAAAAAGTAGACAGTAGAAAGTAGAAAAGAAAACACCGAAAAAAAAAAGAAACATGATCGTAGTGCTTAGAGATTTTTCTGTGTTCCGACATGGTAAAACAAACAGTGCCGTATCCAGATCCCTTGCAGCTACGTATTCCAGGAATTTATTCCCAAAGCATCCAAGCTATTCATCAACAGATGAGAAGGATGCAAAGGAGATGAACCTCTGTTGTAACTCCGATGTAACCTGAAACTCCTTGAAGTTGATGCATGTTCATATCCCTAATAGGGACGAAAAGAAAATTAGCAAGGCGACGTCACGAGTTAAGTGTCTTGATCATCATCTTGGTCTTATACTTGTCGACGATGAGTAGACCTCGCGCGAGGAAGATGTCGTCCATCGTATCTACCACCTTATTAAACGTGGAGGCAGCCCCACGTTCTTGTGTGAAACGAACAATGCAGAGCTGATTACGCCTGCCGTGCTCGATGACCGTCATGATCTCCGCTGCGAAGGAGGTTTCCTTCATCTCGAGATCTGTGAATAGGAAACTGTTAGTTACCGCTCTTGCATATAAGAGGTCAGGTATAGCGCTTACCATTCTTATTACCAACTCGTGCGAAGACAAGGTTACGTTCCTTGTCGACCACGATATCCCTCATACCGTGACGACGCCATCCTTTCAGCAAAATGACAATTTCTTGTCTCACGTGGCGACGGGGGATCGAAAAGCAAATGTATCGAGTTGCGGGTTTAACCCGGAACAAGCGAGCCAGCCAGTTCTGCTGGGGCTCGATATTGCGGCCTCCGGGTTTCTCCTGCGATTTCTTAGTCTGTAGCCGATGAGATGAACGGCTAGACGCTCGAGGAGGCTCCGGGTTAGAGGAATCATTGACCTCAGGACCTATATTTGCAATTAGTTTCGACGGTGGCGTTGGTGGTTACGGATGAGCTTACCCGCAAGCGAGACTTTGAACTGGGGTTGCTCTTTGTTACCACGCCAGAAGGCGAAAGGAAAACTCCTCTTCTTCGCTGGCTGTGCAGCTGGATTGGTCGATGAGTTAGTTTCCGTGTGGTTGAGGGCATCAATGTTCCCCAAACTAGAGCCATCTGATGATTCGAATTTTTCCTTAGAGCTGCGCTTAAACCACGACGATTTCTTCTTAATGGTGGCAGTAGAATCCGTTCTAGCTGGCATGGTAGCCATGGCGGGCTCGTCAGAGGGCTCGTTAGAACTGGGTACTCTTATCCCATCCTCTACATACTGCTGGCGAAGAGTAAGTCCTTGTCGCGCCTGTGTAATCTCTTTCACACCCTGGGATATCTCCTTGCGGTTATCAGCTGCGGCTGGGACTGTGATTTTGCGACGCCGATTAGATGGAGAATCGACTAGGCGTATTGTGTCCACAATCTGGGCTAGGTGTTCTAAGCCCGCACCCTCTTCAGCTAGTACATGACGGGCTGGTGAAGACTCGGCAGGCGCGGAAACGACTCGTAGTCTATCTCCATCTTCAAACGAGTCATCTTCCTTTGCACCCTCGTTAATAGCCGGTAAGGGTATTTTGTCTTTACCCCACTGTGTGCTGTACTGTGAGTAGATGGGAGCCGATACGATTCTACGCTCTGCTCCTGTCTGCTCAAAGGGCCTACCGGACTGGTCAGGTCGATTGCGTTGCGAAACCATCTTGCCCTGCCCCACGGGTTCGAGTATACTGCCCCTAACCTGATCGGTTCTCTTCGCTGTTGCATACCTATGCACGTCTAAATCTTTAGAAGCTGTCGGCAATGGCCACGACTCCCGTGACTGTGCGTTAACTCTCATTTCTCCTGCTCCTTGTGTGGCCGGGGCCGGAGTGCTGGTAGAAGTCAAGATAGTTTTTGACTCTGAAAATGGAGACTCGCCTAGGTAAGATTCTTGACTTAGGAGGGTACTATTGAAGGCATCATCACAGTCTTTTGCAATGGTATTGCTGAATTGGCGTAGCTCCTCGTTCCAGCACAGACCATCGTCTTTAGCCTGGGCCATTTCGGAGAGGTGTGCGACTGATCGAATTCCTTCGCGATTCTTAGATAACCTCTTCTTCCTCTTACTGGAACTGGTCGGGGTTGAGGGAATTTGGCCATAGGTGGTGCTGTGTACCGTGACATTGGTGGGACTGCATTCTGCTTCGCTTTGACTAGCTAATTGTCTATGCGCGCGCGAGAAGTTAACTCCGCGTTTGCGGCGTGAGGCGGACCGCTTATATGAAATCTCCTCGCCACTTTGGATTGAATTCAGAGAACGCCGCGAGCCACGTAGAGTATGTGGTGCTTTCATGTGCTTTCCACCTGTTCCACGTCGCGAATACGTGGAGTTGGTCCTGCCCGACCTACTACGTATGCTTGGGGCTTGTGAGTTTCGCGTAGACGTGGTGCCGTTGCGGTGGATTACGATCTTCGCCTGGCTAGCCACGACATCATCCAGAACACGGGAGGACTTGTATGGGTCGTAGCTTTGGATGGTGGCACCGCAATCAATAGAAGCTCTCTCCAGAGGCTCACCATTCTCATCAGTGGCAATATTAGAGATAACAGTGAATCGTGACATAGATCGTCCATTCTTGGACGGAAAATCCAAGGTAGTATACTTCTTCTTCCAGTTCGGGGGCTGTAGATGGTGATAATCGCTCGCGGAGTACGTTAACTCTGTACCGTAGTTTTCCAATCTCTTCTCCCTATAGCTGTAGAGGAGCCAGTAGAACGTCTTGAACTCGTTGCGCCTGTAGATTGAGTTAGTAGAGCGAGGGTCGCATAATATTAGTTAGACTTACTCGGGGCTTACTAGCTTTGATGCTAGTTGCTTCTCGTCAAACGTATGCCACACGGACTTTAACTGCCTGAGAGTCTGCATATCAAGCTCGTCTGCCGGTACCGGGTCGTATCGAGCGTCCCGTGTATAACCATGGGCACGGTCTCCATTGTTGAGCTTATCCAAGTAATCATATCGACGAAGTAAAGGATGCTGCCAAATCTCTCGAATGGAGATACGCTCATCCGGGTTTAACGTTAGTAGCCTGCCAATCAGGTCCCGAGCTTCGCGGCCGATGAAAGAGGGCATATGGTACTGGCCCCTTTTAATTTTTGCAAGCAGTAGATGAACATTGTCGTCCTCGAAGGGGAGAACATTGCACATGCAAGCATACAGTATGACGCCAAGACTCCAGATATCTGTTTTGTCACCCCGATAGTAGCTGCGGTTCATGAGTTCAGGAGCAGCGTAATGCGGACTTCCACAGGCAGTTTTCAGTAAGTGGTTCGGGCCTTGATGCATAGCGGACATGCCGAAGTCGGTAATCTTGATCCGATAGTCCTTGGTGAGAAGTATGTTTTCGGGCTTTAGATCACGGTGGCATATGTTGAACGAGTGGACATATTCCAAAGCATCAAGAATCTGACGGAAGAAGTACATTGTCTCGTCCTCGGCTAGTGGGCCAGATCTAGCAAGGTAACTGTAGAGATCCCCTTGTTCCACGTACTCGAGTACAAGATAGCTGTGTCTAATATTAGTAACTGAGTCTTAGAATTTTCGAACTTTTACATACATTTCCGACCTGTTCTCCCAGATATCGTAGAGCTTCACGATATTCGGATGATCAATCAGCTTCATAATAGCTACTTCTCTTTCAATAACGAATGGGATTCGATTCTCGGACTTGTACTCTGCGCGGGTGCGATCCCATCTGTCGAGGGCGGCTATGCTGCCCGGCTGCATCATTGAATTGCCGTTTCTGGAGAGGATCTTTACGGCGGCAAGCTGATTTGTAACATTATGTCTTACCAACCGAACCCGGGCGGCCGAACCATTGCCCAAAGTCTTTCCCAGTTTCCACGGTCCGATGTGGGTTTTACGGCGCTCACCACCAGAGGTTGTCACTGTGGTAGTCGAAGCTTGGGAGTTTCGCTTGTTGTCTGTGGCATTCTGCGGAATCACCGGGGCGCGAGAATTGGTCTTAGGAGGAGGCGCTCGCGAGTTGTCATGCTTCGAAGTAGCACTTGGGTCTGAGCTGGAATGTTGGCGCACCAAATTGGTGGGATGAGCTCTAAGAGGGTTAGGTTGAGGAACCTGAGCTTGAGTTGATTTGGTTGAATGCGTCGAGGATGTATTGTTTATGCGAGCAGTCGCATCACCCAGCGGGGCGCGGGAGGGCCGAGAGACCGGTCCACGATAATCCGCCATGTCGAAGAGATACTTAGACCATATCTATCCTAATTGGATTCCAGGCGGCCAATAGGAAGGATAATACGCATTAAACAATAGTAGGTTATAGCGTGTAGCTCGGCTTGGGGCACAACAAATTGCGGGAAAGGAAAGGAATTGACGATGTAGTAATGCGTATGAAGATGAGAGAGTGATGAGATAGAAAGATGAGAGTACGCAATAATAGGTACGACTTCGCACCAGGCGAACCAAAAACAACAAGCGTGTTAAGTTCTGCCAAATAGATGCAAGTCTCAAGTCTCAAGTCTCAAGTCCGAAGTCTGAAGTCTCGGAAGGTGATAAAAGACTTTGTGTTGTGCAGTAGCGCTTGGAAAAACGAGGTTGGATGCA